TTGCACAGCTATGATGGCGGCAGGCTTCAATTAAGTGACAAGATCTGCAGTTAATCTATATAAATATATGTGGTTAAATGGTTTTAAACTTGAGTTTTGAGTTGGTGAAACATATAGAAACCCTGTACATACTTTTATTTTACACACTGAGGTGAACTTAAATGAACTCAAATCCATTCGATTTTTGTTGTGAAAGCGTCCATCATCCCTGTTGGTGCTTAAATATAGAACCATGAGAACAGAACCCGTTTCCCAGCATGTCCACCAGCACCAGCGCTTTGCACCCCTGACCCCCAAGGACAGCTCTGATCAGCAGGGGGATGCAGGATTTCAGGACCTTGACTGTTCTCTGTTTAAATTTAGATTAAGGACAAAGACCAGACCTGGTAAATCCCACTCTGGCCGAGTCCAAAAAAAAAAAAGCTTCTAACATGCCCAGAATGTGCAGAGCTGTGCAAAAATCTCAAACCAGCTCTCCTTTCTTTAAGATTTCCTCTCAATGATCCCAATTTTCTGCTAACTTTTTAAAGTGTTCTTCATTAATAGCTCTTGAGACTTTCTTATCTTTCTTATTCGGGTTTTAAAACACAAAATCTTACCTGGTGTTTTTAGTTGAGCATTGTAGCTCCCCTCACCATCCTCTACAGGGCAATAAAATGTGCAAACTTCTCTCTTACTTTAGCTCAAATCCTAATGTTGATTTTTCAGATTTATTATTGTCCCATTGATACATTTTGGTTTTTATTCAATCAACTTTTTGTTTTTCAGCGTTTCTTGGGAGACAGAAACCAAAAAACACGTCAGACGTAATCATGAACTCTGACCTCTAACCTCTAACAGGCACATCTGGAAACTGTGTATTTATCAGAAGGCCGATTAGCATTCATTAGCATCTGTTAGCCTCCCTCTGAGCAGCATTAGCATGTTAAACTGTTGCACAGCGTGCAGTCTGAGGCTAAAGGAGTTCAGCAGGAGGATCAGAGCAGGAAAATCAACCGTTTCAGAGTCGATTACAGCAGCTTTGATGTTCTGACTCAGTTTATCCCAAGCTGCTCCTCACTAGTTTACATGTCAGCCGCAGCAAAACGTCAATCAAACAGCTGAGCAACATGTAGAGCTGCTCCATGCTTTAATCTGATCATCGCTGCTGCCTGATCAAAGATAAAACCTTTTTAATCTGGGATAATTACAGAGGAAATGTCTGCACAACTCATCTGTATGTTTGAGCTGGAAAAAAGGGAAAAATTAAAACACTGGGCTGTTCTCTCTGCCGCTGCGTCGTCTGAGCACGCCTCTCTGTGCTGTGTGTGACCAGTAAGAAGTCTGAATTTAATCTGAGTTAATCCAGCTCTCATTCCAGATTACAGTCTGAACTGATTGGAGCTTTAGAGGGGGAGCAGAGCGAGACAGAGACAAGCAGAAATTTAATGGGATTCTGACAATATTATACTAACTACGAGTGAGGAACCATTAAATATGTCGATAAATATGGAGGTTAACGGCCTACTCAAAGTACCAGGCTATTGAGGGGGCAAAATAAACCCAAATCATCACTCCTACACCACCGTGCTTTATTGTTAGTGTGATCCAGAAATTGTGTTGTTCATTTGGGTCAGACTATGTGTACCTAAACCTAAAACCTGAGCCTGTTCTTTAAGTAGCAAATAACTTCCCACCAAGAAATAAATATAAATATTAATGAATTATCGACTTAAAACAACCTCCTATATCATGCTGAAAAGTTACTTGTAAGTTAGTTTTGTCTTATTTCAAGTGTATGAAGATATTTTACACTTTGATCTATTTCCTGTGGAAAATAGACACTACTTAGGAAACCACAATGTCTTAATATTTCAGAACATTTCAACATGTATTCTGATGTTACATGATAATTCCTAACAAATTTACGCTGATCACTGAAAACGTTCTGAGTTTTCTGGTAAATCCTGGCAGTTAATTTTTCTGCCCAAACCTGACAGTAGAAAAAGTTTATATTTGACAGTTACTTTTTAATCAAAATTAAGGAATTATTTATGAAACATAATCTCTTGTGTCGTGATTAAATGTTACTTGTAAGTCAGTTACTTGCTATTTAAATTCACTGAGATACAAGTTAAGTCACAAATTAAAAAGGATAAAGTTGAGTCTTTCTTAATACTTTGAACTGGTCCAGAACCAGTTGGACCAGTGGCTCTGAAGTGTTTGTAACCAGTGGACCGAAACAGGATGGAGACCCAACAGTTGTGCATGCTTTCCCACTGAGCAAACATTCAGATGTCCTCATGTGGACAGCGGTGACATCACTGGTGAGGTCACCCTGCGGAGGATTTCCCTGAGAACCAACCTGAGTCTATTGTTCAGCATCCAGCTGTGAGTGACCAAACAATGACCTTTTATTACGCTTTCAAGAGGCACACAGCAGATTTTCTGAGCAGGGTTGTGTTGTCTCAGCTCTAACCGGCCGGATCAGTTTAACGACTCTGGTATCTCGGCTTGACTGAACCTGCGGCGCTGTTCCTGCGTTGGCGCTGGAGCGTTGCGCTGCTGTGTGTTTGGCGTGGAGCGGCTGCAGCTTTGAGTTTTCCTGCCCCGCCAAGACAATGCGATGAGGTGGAGGGGGTGGCAAGACCAGACAGGAAAAATCAAATCAGATAGAAAACCTCCGGAGTAGCGCGGGAATTCAGCCCGAAGTTCTCTGGATCTGTTGCTGCTGCAGGAGAAATTATCAGCTTTCAGACTCAGAAATAACAGCTAGCATGTTTTCTGTACTCCAGCTTCCTGCAGCAGGCCAAAAACATGACGGTCAAAGGTGACCTTGAACAGGATAGTTTAGGTCAAAAATCTTTCATCACATTTTTTGCACAGAATCCTTCTAGATCATGGAAGTTTAGTCTGGTCAGTTCAGGTCAGAATCAGGGTGATGATAGTTTTGGGTTTTTCATTATAGTTCAGTTTAATTTCATTGTGGCTTTTTGTTTGTCTGAGTCAGTCAGTTTTAAGTCGTATTTAGAGTGTTTGGTAGTTTTTAATTAGTAATTATTAATCAGGAATTATTAATAATTTTTTCATACTTTGATTAAGTTTTAGATGCAGAAGTTTTGTGATTTTGTAAATGTCAATTAGGTACTGAATACTAAACAATAAAGTTATTGTTGAATAACCACCTGACTGGTTTTGTCCAAACCAATGTTTTCTTCTGCCATTTGACTTCGACGGCAGTGTGGAGAAAAAAAGAAATCAATGTTATATCAGTTTGAGTGGCTAAAACATAGATTCATAAAAACAAAAACAGGATATTAAATCTATAGTTTCAGTATGTTTTAGGTAGTTAAAGTTTTCCCCCATTAATTACTGATTTTATTTCAGTTAATTAACAATGATATTTTTAAAGTATTTTTTAATTGATTTGACTTTTAAAGAAACTGAACAGAAAACGTGTTGGAACTCTGCTGTGGTTGCTAGGTGACGGGCGGAGCTCCGCTGTGGTTGCTAAGTGACGGGCGGAGCTCCACTGTGGTTGCTAGGTGACGGGCAGAGTTCCACCGTGGTTGCTAGGTGACGGGCTGGACTGCTGAATTTGTGATGCGACATTCTGAAGATTTTTTGAAACAGCTCTTTTTCCAGACACCAAAACCATCAACTTATTACCAGAAAACAACTGGCTGGTTTTTAGAAGCAGTAGAAACCATAACAGAAGTACAAACATCTGCATTTTGTATATTACGTCCCTTTCAAATCAATGTGACGTCAGAATTGGCCGTCAAGACCTGCAGTGTGAATGTAACCGGATGTGTTTCCATTGATCATATTGTTGCACAACTTGACGTTTTGAAAATAAATTAGCTTAATTTTGAAAAAACTAACTTTTTGACAAAAACATTCGGCAGAAGCATGAGGCAGTTTGTTTTTTTCTGCATGGAAATTGGTTTATTTCGCAAAACCTGAACGGAAAACATTTTCCACATGAATCAGATGATCAACCACCGGATGTTGCAACAGGCGGAAGATGATTTATCATGTGAACAAACTTATTCATGTGTGATTTTAATTACGTTTCTTACTTAATGGAAACTCAGCAGTTGTAAACTTGTGCTTTTTTTTTCCCATGTCATTAGTGGAATCTAAAGAAAGTTTTGTGCACATTTGTAATGGAAACACGGCTACTGTTTACTGAGAAGTCCTGCATCAAACCTGCGATGTATATGGGCCACAGTCCAACCTGTAGACTATTAATCTCAGGCTCATGTGGGCCCCACATGTGAATGCCGTTCTGCAGGATGAGAGGTCTAGAACTGTATTTCTAGCCTGTCTAAATAAATTATGATCTTCAGAAACTCATTTTGCAGCCTGAAATATTACATGTGCCGCCTTTGATGGTGTGCAGTTGTCTAAACTAAACATCGAGGCGCTAATTTCAGTGGTGAAAGGCTCTAAGTGAGGCCGAATATTGATCAAGGGAACGCGGTGCAGCTGCAGCCCGTTTGCATAATCTCAGATCTTTCCATTTTAAATGAGCCGAAGGTGTAGCGTTACAACTAATCCCTCTTTTTAAGATTTATACGACACTTTTTAATGGAAAACTAATGTTGTTCTGCACACATGTGGGTTTCATTGTGACATTCACTTTTCTTGTACTAGCATGTATTTTCCCTCAGTGTGCCTCGGATCCTTGCAGTGGAGGTGGTGAGTGCATGTTTTGCATGACTCATACAGACACAATAGCTGGAGGTAAATACCCCAGTTTGAGGTTAAACTGGGATTTTCCTCTGACTTTAAGTAAACTAAGGAGGAAAATCATTCCTTATAAGAGAACATGAGAAAAAAAAAGTGTTTTATCTCTTTGTTTCTGCAGATCTTGGTGGGTGAAGGTCTCTACTTCATTTTTGGCAGGCTGGGGATAAACTTGGCAGGAAAACCATAGCCCCCAATCCCCATCCCTCATCCTCTCTCTTCCTCCCCTTTCCTAATGTGATCATTCATTCATTCTCTTCTCTCGCTCAGATCATCACACCTCTCCGTCCTTTTGTCTTCCTGTTGTCCGCCTCTCCGTCCCTCCATGTGAACGATGTCCAGTCTCAGGTTTCTGTCCGTCCATGGAGCCTCTGTGCTGCTGCTGCTGCTGACGGCTGGTGAGTCTTAACTGTCTGAGTGTTGCAGCTGTTCAACTTCCTGTTCAGCTGAACTTATTTCACTGCTGAACTGTAATCTGACATGTTGGACCCCCTCTTCTCCTCCTCTTCCTCCTGCTGGAACCACCAGAGGTCTTCCTCTTTGTTAGGTTGACAGATGCATGTTTGCTTTAGACTTTGTGTTTTTCTTACACCATTTAATTAAATCCCTATCAATCCAAGGATGTTTGCAAGAAATGGAACATTTGAGTTTAATAAAATCTGTTTAGTAAGCAACCTGTTCATGCGAAAACAAACTGACTAATCTGCTGTTTACCCAAAATTCAACTTTAAGGCTCGTTCTTTCCACTCTGTAATTAATCGGTAATAAGTAGCAACACTGCAAATCTCTTAGTGTTCTTGAAATAAGACAAAACTTTTAAGAAGTTGGATCTAGTTTGAAGTCAATTATTTGACTAATAAGACATTAACATATACTATAAATGAAATAATCAACTTTTTCATCAATTTTAAAGAATTATTGGCTAAAATAATTAGTCTTTTAAGGAAGACTTCTATGTCCTCCTTAAAAGTTGCATATAAATTAGTTTTTGTCTTATTTCAAGAATGCTGAGATATTTGCACTAGAAATTAGACCAAAGTGACTTGGTAAGGTTTGTGTTTTTGTAGTGAAAATACAGAAGAAAAGCTGTAAAATTCCCATTTTTCACTGCAACAACATAAATTATTACCAAGTGCTTTTAGTATATCTGACAGTACAAATATCTTAGTTCACTAAAGTAAGACAAAACAACTTATACGTAACTTTTCAGCAAGAAATACAAGTTTGTTTTAAGGGAATAAATCCTTGTTATTCATTTTTAAAAATGCACTACTTCCATTTAGAGATTATTTTACTTATAACAAGATTTTTTCCTATATTAAAATTGAAATAATCTGCCAGTGGAATAAACACTTTTTCAGGATTATTGAATTTTTGAAGTAAAAAAAGATCCTATATCTTGCTGAAAAGTTACTTGTCAACTAATTTTGTCTTATTTCAAGTGTATTAAAATAGTAGTATTAGAAGCTAAACCAAAAATACTTGGTAAGATTTTGTGTTTTTGCAGTGTTCCACGTTCATTGCTGGTGATTTCTAATGAGACCCAGTCTGATTGAAGTTGCAGATTTCACACCAGCGTCTCAGACTGGATGGTTGTGGGAGAAGCATCGAAGTGTTTGCTGTCCTCACAGGCTCGTTTGCATTCATTTATAATCTAATTAACGTTAACTTCGGTGACTTTCAGAGAGTTTAGGTGGAGGAAATCAGATTACATCCTCAGTACTGACCAAATGTGAAGCAACAAGAGTTTAAAAATAACAGTCTGAGTTACAAACAATAAAAAGGGAAATAAGATGATAGTTGTGAAGGTTGCAAACTTCTAACTGCAGACATAGGCTGAGTTTAACGTGCTAATAATTCTGCTTTTGTTTTCTATTTATTTCTTATTTGCAGATAATTTATGTGTGCAGCTTGTTAAGGCTGTTTTACTCCTTCATATCAGTCATCCAGGATGGTTGTGAGTGAACTTGGAAGGAGATTTTTCACTAGATAAAGATGATATCAGACTTCCTGTAGCCGCAGTAATCTAACAACTACTGAGGTTATGAAACTAAACTTTATATCTGATGTTATTCATATTAAGTCTCAGCTGAAACAACTATAAATTAGCTGTAAGATTTATTTTAATTTTCTTTTCTCTTTTTTATGACAACACAAAAACCATTAAATAATGCATTATATCTAAATAGTGATTTTTAAGCAGTTGCTTTTGCTGACACCCAGTAGATGCTACCTGCGTTGTATTGCTAGCAATAGCTTTGTTTAAACAGTAGCAAGTGTTTTGTTAGCAGCTACCAAAAAGCAAACGGCTTTAAAAGTGGTAGCTTTATATTGTGAGGATTTTTGCCCCTCTTGGTGGCAATGGGGGCAGTTCTCACAAATAACATTTTGCTCTCTTGTTTTTCAAACTGCTGTTTTAGTAGATGGTTGAAAACAAGTCATTAGCATGTAGCTTTTAGAAGCTAACTTTATATTTATTTTAATGCTTAGTTCATAGATATTAATAAGAACTCGATGGATAATTTTAGATGATTAAATGTTTAATTTTAGCCTTTTTTTAGATTAAACTAGGTCAACTTTCAATTTATGTCCTTTTCAGTAGCAGTTCTGGCTAACAACATTTTTGCTAGCAGTTAGCAGTCACCCGTGGATTTTCATTACATTTTGTTTGAACTCAGATCATATTGGCATCTTCAAAGAGTTGTTGGGGACAGGAAAGACCTCTGACAGCAGTCAGTGTCACAGCTATTCTGAAAGGTCTCTGACTGAAGACTGTTGTATGGCTGCCACATGACTGTCCTGACATGCTAAGAGCTTAATTTCCAGGCAGGAGATTTGATATTTTCCAGTAATATGTCCTGGATGATCAGGCACTGCTAATCCACCTCATTTGCTTTTGCCGCTCCTCTTTAGCTGTCTGGCTGGTCATGTGGTTAGAAAACCATGCAGAGACCTTGGAGTCATAATATGATCCTTGTCCATTATGATGGATTTAGCGTCTTAGTTAAGTTAAGCTTTTGAGATGCTAATCATCTGCTACTCGTTGTAAAACAATACCTTGTTGCCACGGTGACGCATCATAAAAGTTGTCTAAAAGCAAAAAAATGGGAAAAAAATGCAGTAGTGCAACAGAAAGAGCAGCATGTTGTACAAACTGGAACAAATTTGGTTTTATGTTGCGTTTTTGTTTTTCTCTGCCTTTCTTTCCAATGGAAAAACTGGTGATGAAATATCCAACGTATTAAAACGTTTTGATTTTCAGTTGAAACTTCCTGTAGCTAAATGCGCTACCACTGGTGTTTACACAGACACAACAAGAGCAAACTTGATTACGTTTTTGTTTATCCTCCTCTTTAAAAAGCTGTTTATTCTTCCCTCTTTTCACCTGACTGTGTGAAGTTGCTGTGGCGTTTAGTTGCTGTTCTCCTCGGGGACCACAGCGGGGCGCTCATGCTCACTCTTAGAGCCTTGGAGTGAGCAAATCCAACATGTGCTGAGCCACATCTAAGTCACAAAGGCTTCAGCGTCTGTTGGTCAGAGCAGCATTTTTCAAAATTTATTCATTCATCTTCTCAACGGCAGCGATCCATCAAATTGCTCTGATGTCCAAATGTGGCTTAATAAGCCGCTTCCTCCCACGAGGGTGACCCCTCTCCTCCTCGGGGGCCAGAAAAATGGCAGTCGTCATGGTCACGGGGATCAGCGGTGACTGTGCGGGACAGATACGAACAGCTGTCCGCCCAGCGTCTGCTCTTTAAGCGGAGCGGAAAGATCCTACAGTCCTTGAAGTGCACACGTTCAGCTTGAGTTTCCTTTAATTTCACCCAAGCTGAACGTGTTGTACTCTCTGAAGTGCGAGGGGGTCGGAGAGTTTGTGTTGTGCAGCTGGTTTTGGTAAAGTTTCTCTCAGGATCATGTGACTTTGCCAACAAACACCCCCACACTCTTACAGACCCCCTCAGGCTTTTATTTTTCTGACTTCCTGTCAACTTCCTCCCCCCTTTTTCCTCTCAGCTAAACTCAGCCTCCAATCATCTTCCTCAATCATCGTCCTCACTTGGTTTATGACTTCCCATTTGGTTTACCATCCAATCCTGTTTCTTTCCCTGTTCCTCCTCCTCTTTGTCGTCTGATTCTTCCCTTTTTTCCCTTGTATTGTTTAGTTTCATTCCCAAAGTTATCCCTGCCAGGGGCGGTCCTAGCATGTTGGTGCCCTGGGCGAACAGCATTCAGCGCCCCCATCCTGCTTTTTTAACCAACCAAAATTCATCATTTACATTTCTATTTGCCAACACAAACACACTTAATATTTCTTTTAATATCTGGTTTGAAAAACGTGGAAGTGTGAAACAGCGTCAAAAGTATAAGAAAACATGCCTTACATGATATTTGTAAATACTAGCTATTGACGATAGCAGTGGTATTAATATCAATTCAAAGTTTTATATTGTTCCTATTTAATAGGTTATAAAATAGTTTCTAATAAGTATCCTCATACAATAGATTGATTACAGCAGGCTAATAGAACTTCCCCAACTAATGTGAATTAATCAAAGGATACGGATTGTGTAAAATTCACATTTTGTGCATTTTTCTTATTTCCACTTGAGTCCCAACTGTTTCTTAAACAGACAAGTGTTTAAATAAAACCACACAGACAGTTTTTGGCAATCAGCGTTTTTTGGTGTCTGTTTCAAAAATCTTTGGAAAGCAACAAATCAGCAGGCACTGCCCCGTTACCTAGCAACCACAGCAAAGCCCAGCCCGTTACCTAGCAACCCAAGTGGCGCTCCAGCATGTGTGGAAAGCAGCAGCTTATTTCAATTTAAAGCGACCCGAGGCCCTAAAATAGCTCAAAATCTCATTATTTAAGAATAATTGTGTGCAAAAAAATGTAACGAACATGTTTTGAATAGAATAGACTTTATTGATCCTTTAGTGTGGGTCATTGTCATTTTTATTTCCATTAGTAATAGTTTTATTTTATTTTCTTGCAGTTTACTTTGACAAGAATTTTAATATTTAAAACTGTAATATTTTATTTTGAAAACCAAATTTGTCATCCTAAGCAGCTAAACAACAAAGTTCCTGTCGCCCAAACGAGAAGCCGCCCTGGGCAGCTGCCCATGTTGCCCATATTAGTATTGATCCCAGTGTTGATCTACAGCTGATGTCATACGGCGTGTTTCTGTGTGTGTGGGTCAGCTGGTTTTCATTTCCTTGGCTCTGATGAAGCTGTGTGACTGACAGGTGCTCAGAGACGACACACTTCCTTTCTAATCATTATTAGCAGCCCATCAGTCAGCCGTGTGTTTTGATATCCCGGTGGGGACTTTAAAACAAGCAAACACGTCCCACTATGCCAGGTCAGACCGAGGTTTACGAGCTTCATGTCAGCGCTGGTATTTGAGTGATGGTTGGTTTAGAAAGTCTCACAGAAACAGTAACAACAGGAGCCCTGTTCGGGTCCATCCAACACAAAAACCAAAATATTCACTCAAAACGCTGCACTACGTCGTCCAGCAGGATGTTTCTGTTTCTGCTCAGGATCATTTGGGGAGGTAGCATCTTTAACTCCATGTAAAAGAGCAGGTGGGAAATGTTGGCCGACAACAAACCAGATCAGATTTGACGGATTAAGGATGGCAGATTACGAACATTTGACCTCATTCGCTGAGTCGCTCTTGTACGTTTGTGAGCATCAGTTTAGGTTTCAGGCTCCATATTTAAAAAGAAGCGTGACTACACTCTGTTTCTAGTCAGTTTGTTATATTTCTATGTGATTTTTACATGTTGCCACAGTGAAACATTTATTTATTTTTATGCTTTTTAAATAACTTCACTAAATTATCCTGGAAAATATTTAATTTGTCCCTCCAGGATGTTGCAGTGTATTTTTCTGATTATTTTGGCAAAAAATTACTGATTATGTTACACCTTTCAAAAAGTTGTGGTCAAATGTGCTGTTTTCTCTTTGCAATGACATGATTTCACTAAAGAGGTAAAAACAGAAGATAATTCACATTTGTGTTGCTGGAAGTGAAAAAAAAAGCCTTTTATAGAGCAACAAAATAGAAAGTTATTATCCCAAGATGTTAAATTACTGAAAACACTGAGGCAAACCTCATATTAGTGTCTGTTTTATCAAAATATTACCTGTTTAATTTATTATTGTGTAATATTTTTACTTTTGCGCTTTTAGTCGGGGAGAAATAGTTGATTTTGGCCCCTGAGGATTTTCATATAAGGGATTTTGGCTCTTATATGACACCACACCACTGCTCTAAGGGGAAAAGTTGGTGAAAAGTTCACTCAAATTTGCAAATGAATCTACATTAATAGTAGCATCTTCTTTAGGAACTTCCTGTAGAGGCCAATGCTTCAGTCTGAGGCACAAAATGTGCAGTAAGCTGAATAAATACTCAACATGTTTATCCTTCATGTCTAAAAACAGCTGACTGGTGTTGTTATGTCCGTATTGAGTCAGTGAGCATCCTGGGAAAAACTTTGCTCTTTTATCTGGAACAACTGCAGCCAAAATATCTTCTCCGAAACGTTCGCTCTGTTCAGCCTTGAGGGAAAAGGTGAGCCGCTCAGATTAGAAGTGGTGCGAGAAAAGAACCAGCCAAGGTAATTTAGGCATCTGGTGGGGATGCCTTCCAGATGTCCTCCACAGGAGGAGGCCTGGAGCGCCAGCAGAGATCATATCTCATGAGGGGGGATCTTGGGAACGTCAAGATCCCCCCCACAGAGCTGGAAGAAAAGGCCTGGAGGAGGGAGTTCATGGATCAATGCTCCGTTCCCCCTGAGCCCCAGAGATAAGGGCAGGAAGATGGATGAGAGGATTGAGAGCGTGCTGGAGAAAAGGTGGGACATTCCCGATGCTCATTCCAGTCCTCATGCAGCCACAGAGCTTCAAAGGTTTTACGGTCTGGGGTCCGAGTCCTCCGGCCTGTTTGTGCTGTACAGGAGGAAACAGGAAAGAGACCCAAGAAAAGGCAGCAGGAAGCAGAGTCAGGACTCACCTGCAGAGCTGCAGCTGTTTTTACGATTGAGTCAGATGGTAAAAGTAGCAGAAGAGTCAGAGAACGACCAGCTATCAGCAGCTAGCAAAACATCCTGGATGATCATCGGATCAGAACCAGGGAGTCACATTCTGCTGCTGAAAATGAGCTTTTTCTCTCCAATCCAAAATATTTATCCACACAACAATGAATAAAATAAGTTACATTTGAATGAAACCAAAGTTAGTGTGACATTTTCTTTTGAACTCTACAATTATTACCCACTTTGAGTTTATTGGTCTATGAAATTCTTTGTATTGTATATTTTACACTTTATATAAACTTGTCCTGGAAACTAGAACTATGTTGTTGTTGTTTTCCAGACACAAAAACACATTAATTTATTTCCAAAAAAATAACTGGATGGATTTCTAGGCGCTTGGACTTTTATTTTTCTGAAGCAGTAAAGACTGAAATGAGTAAAAAACGTGAATTTTTGACCTTTAAGGTTAATCACCTGCTGACTAATAAACTAACTAATAAAACTGTCGCAATAAATCACACACGTAAAAGTTTCCACATCTAATGCAGTTCCTGAACCTTTATTTTCACCGTTAAAAGAGCCAACATTAACAATGTTTTGTTTGTTCACATTAATGGACAGTAAAATCCAGATAAAAGCCGAATAAATCCTGTTACTCAGGAGGAGGAACACTTTTACTGCCTCTCTGAGGCCTTATCAGTCACTACTGTGGGGTTAATTCACTAGAGTTACGATGTGAAGCTCCAGCGAAGAGGCAGCTTTTTCCCAGGATCGTCTCTGGAGCGGCTGATGGATGTGAGGGAGGATGCGGAGGGTCCTGAGGGAGCAGCTTTCCCATCAGACCGAAGGGTTTTCTCATCACTGTCCCTCTCTGTGTGTCTACTCCTAAAACATCTCTGTTAATGGGTGATCTGTGTTTCTTCACCCACCTGCTCCAGTGCGTTTCCACTGGAGAATCAGCGCCACCTGCTGTTCGTCTGTTCTGATGCGACCAGCAGCAGTGGGAGGAAACGGGCTTTAATTTATGTTTGCTGGGCTTTTGGTGGCCAACCAGCACAAACTAATCCGTAACTGAGACATGGGAGAGAAAGTAACGCTTCGCCTTCGTACTCTGGAGAACCGCAGAAAATGCTGGCATTTTGATCTGATGATGCTGAAACTGCAGTTTTTAAAAGCTATGATTTCTTCCAAATGTCATGCAAATTGTGAGCAAACTTTTAAAATGTCTCAAAAAAGAGAAAAAATGAAATGTTTACATCGACTAGGCCTGCCACGATGACGTATGGTTACAGAAGTTATTACGATAATCCATAATATTGTTTTGAAACCATTTTCAAGTACTGTAACGATTTTGGCATAAATAGCTCAAAAACTCAAAGATCAATAAACTTAAAATTTTAATGAACATTTAAAACTGGGACTGCAAGGCATTTTATTGTGAACTAAATTTTCCTTAAAAATCCAGCTGGTTGAGACCAAAACAAAATCATTCGCTCTGTGGTTACCTAGCAACTCTCGCACTGTGTGGTTACCTAGCAACCCTCGCACTCTGTGGTTACCTAGCAACAGCCTGTTGAGTTACTTCCACAGCAGTTCATAACTGTTGCTCATAACTGCGTATAAATAAAACACACATGGAGTGAAAAGGTGACGCCACTGGTCTGGAAATATTTCAGATATTTAAAACAAAAAACTAATCAACAATTATTGATATTCACTGATGTGAAATATTTTTGTCGAGATTTGTTTTTCAGCCATGTTCAGCCCTGCTCTGAATTTGAAGGTTTGAAGAAGATTTTCTCCTTCAAATACAACATTGTTGGCATTTGTGGGACAAGTTTAGTCTAATGCAATATAGATGAGAAAATGGTGCAGTTGTTCAAAATATCAGCTTCCAACTGTTTTATCTACTCACTTGTGGACCAGAACAATGTGCATTTAAGTTGAAAAAGGCCACTGTTTCACTTTCTCTCTGAAATTTCAGAAAGTGAGAAATGAGTGAAGGCTTTGGAAAATCTCTGGGTGACAAAACTAATTTAGTTTGGCCTCAGTTGAAGTGAAAGCAAATGAAAACTAAAGGAGTTTAAACCTAAGTGGCTAAATTAAAACCAAGAATCTGTTTATCTGGGCTGTTGGGTCCAGCTGGATTTTCTTTAACTGTCTCTCTCAGACAGCAGCAGTAACTCCGTTTTACAATAAAGTGGAAACATGCGCACAGTTTATGTGAAGCCAAAAAATTCACCAACTCCCCACAGACTGCTGCAGGCTGCTGGAAAACAGCTTACACACATCCACACATCGAAAACTAAACAAAAACAAGAGAAAACATGAATATATCATCTCCGGTGGTAAAACTTCAACTAAATAAATGTTATTTATCCTAAAATGTCAAGAAATTAAGTGTTGATTAGTTTGTTACTGATGAGCCATAAATGCAACAGATGGATTGATGGATGTTTTATTAGTTTGTAGTTTTAATATTGAGATAATTTTTTCAGTAACTGAGACAGAAAGTCGAGACTTAATGTTGACCTCTGAGTTTGTTGACCTCTTACTGACCGTTTTAATGTTTCCAGTTTGTGAGGCCGAGTACTACAGCGACTCCACGACGCCTTCAGAGTACGACTCCGACTACAACACCACCTTCGAGTACAGCTTCTTCAGTGAGTCCCGCGCTCTCAACCATGTGGTTTCTCCATCTCAAACTGCTTCAGCGGACTGATTTTAGGAGGTAAACAGCAGGTGGAGAAATGAAACCCGTGCTATTGGCTGTTCTCCTCCCAGGTAACAGCAGCGTGGACGAGCTGGACAAGTTCATTGGTGGGATGATGGAGATCGACACAGACGAGGAGGAGGAAGAAGAAGAAGAAGTGTCTTTCACGACAGCAGCTACACCCAGGAAAACCACAGAGAGGAGCAAGATGGGGCGAGGCGGGTCAAGAGAGGGCGATCTTGGTAGCAGCGCCTCTCTTCCTGTTTGTCTGGTAACAAATCAGTTTCATTTGGTTCCACTTAAATGTTTTTAAATCGCCAAATGTTTGTTAATACACTGGTGTAAAACTAACACATTTCAGAAAAATATCGTCATTTCATAAACCTGACTTCCAGCAAGCCAACATAGAAACCCAGTAGTCTGGTTAAATCTACTGCATTTAAAAAATGTGAGTCAGTTTGTTCACATTAACGGAAACTGAACTCCTGAGTTTTCTGAAGATGCTCATTCTGATTCAAACCTCAGTCTCCACTCCAGCTTTTTGTTTCCGCTCTCGAGTTTTTACAATTTTATTGAATCCAGCAGCAAAGACAAACAATAAGCGCAGCAGCAGAGGATCCGGATCAAAGCTGCGATCCGCCTGATGTTGTTCTTTAAAGTGCTGATTCAGCAGCCGCGTGCAGGTGGCTTCTGTTAACACGGAGAGTCCATCTGCTTTCTGTGAGAGTGGATCCGATCTCTGCCAGCGTCAACAAACACAACACTCCTCTGGACCGGCCAAACAAATACAGCCGAGTGGGTTCATCCCGACACGGAGGACCGGGGCTGAAAAGAACAAGGAGATGGAAACGCTGCTGTTTATTTTAAGTATAAGTGACCCTGATTGAGTCCGAAGTTCTTCTGGGTTGAATCAGTGTGGGACTCGGTGTCGTCTCATTGTTCAGCTTAAGAACCGGCATAAACATCTCCAGGCTGTCGTCTGCACCACAGAGGCAGAAAAATGGAGTTCAGGGACAGTTTTTAAAACCTCAGACGCGACAATTTAATTACACTTTTCCTCTCAACAAAAGACAAGAGTTTGTCTCGTCTAAGTGGTTTTACCTCCTGCAGACTGTGACAGGACGACATCTGGACTGAAGCAATCCTAGAACCGCTTCAGTTTTGTATATAGAAGCTAATGAAGACTCAATATAAGCCCAGTGTTGATGGGGGGTAAGAATGTGTTTACATACTTTAAAGACATTTCTCACTGCTGCAGTTTGAGACGTTACTGAGGCGGCCAGCAGGGGGCAGACTGTGAGCATACTGCCAACATTAACAGTGACATATTACTCTTCCTTATAAAGGTCAGGATATACAAAAATGTTCATTAATCTAAGAATGTATTACAAATGTAATACTATTGTAAATAAGAATTTGTGAGCAAATTAATTTAGAAATAATCAGTTATTTCTAAATTAAAAGACATTTAGAAAAACCTGATTATTTGGTCAGTTCTGAATATTTTGAGCTCATTCAGAGTGAGATGTTTTTAGGGCATTTTGTCACTTTAAATCCAAATAACTTTCAGTTGGTCACGCCCCCCAATTTCACGTTTACACTGGGACAGGAAGTGGCATTGAATTGAACTGATTTTAGAAGCAGTGGAGAGACAAACGGAAATACAAACATGTGCAAAAAGTGAAATTTTTATTATAGGTTCTCATTTAAAATCATAGAAAACTGCAAGCGATGCTCCATTATCCTAATTTAGGGACTCTGTACCCACATTTTATTATGTTGCTGTATTTGTTGGGCTGAGTTTCCACCTCAGGTTGTTTTTGGGTTTTGCTGATGATGCGTTTACTGTCTGCAGGAACTCAGGAAGCTGCTCTGGACGTCGATGATCCTCGTGGTTCTGTTCTCACAGCAGCTGTGACACAAACTTACGGAGGAACCGTAAACGTCCAGGTGAAACACAAACATGGGACGGACACGACAAGCATTGTGCATCAGTTTTAAACCACCTTTGGTATTTTTAAACAGTTTGCTCTGAAACCGGCAGACTTACAGACGTTTTAATCAACTTTCTCCAGTTTAACTCTTTAAAACCTTTTGTGTTCAGTGCTGTAATGGGAAATGAATCACAGGAAAACCAAAGAGTAAATGTAAAGGAACAGAAACCCATAGCACAAGACCTGCATCCCAGATCGTACCTTACATGTAATTTGTTTGGGAAAAATAGCACAGGAATCACCTTGCTAGAGTTAAAAAATAAAGTTTTTCCAGATAAAGAAATGGTGGCAAATTTATGAGCTACTTTTTCCTCACATTTCAACATGATGAGAACAAAAGAAATTATGAAATGTAATACTATTGTAAATAAGATTGCATCCTCAAGGTTTTGCTGAATCATGTTTTTCTGTTTTTATAATTAGCTTTATTTACATTCTGGTTTTCATCTATTTTTTTCCACAGCAGAAGAAGAAACATGAATTTCAGGCTTAAATGGCTCATGACAGACTTTGTTTATAGATCATAATTTACCTCTGAGGCTCCAGGATGGATTCGTTATGAAGAACAAATGTGTTCCCACAGTCATTCTGCTTTGTTTCAGAAACTTTTCCAGTCTCCCAAAGGGAGACGCTCTCCCACTCAACATGAAGCAACCCGGAGAGAAGCAGACATTTCAAATCCACAAACATTTCTCTGGAAACAATTAATTCAAACATCAAAACACATAATTTAGCTCCTTTTAAATGTCATTTTGGCACCAATGTTTAACCTACTAGCTGTATCATATGCCTCCCATCATCCACAGGAACTCAGCATTAATTAAAAAATAAAATAAGAAATAAATAATTTCTTCAGGCTAAGTCACTGAATCTTCAACCTGAATCAGAGGAGGTCGACTTTCTCTGTTCGATTGGACCGATAACAAAAAGTCATTTTATAGATGAAAAGTCTAAATGACTAAATGTTTCCCTGCATCTAATTAGTTCATGGTGTAGTTACCATTTTGAACAAAAACCGTCGCTTTTCTCGACATTTAGAGAAAAAACTATCAGATTCAAGCTGCTGCATGAAATGAGACTCAAACAAAAGTTTGTCTGCAGCCGCGAGAAACGAGACGTTGGATTCAGCTCATTATCTCACCTTCCAGCTCAGATCCTACATCCTGAAACGCTGATATTATGCTGTGATTTATGCTTTTAGCTCAAAAGCTAATTAGTTTTTAAGCTAATAACAAAAATTTACTTTTAAAATGTCAGTTTTGTTATTAGCTTAAAAATGAGTTAGTTTTTAATTAGTTAAATTTTTCTTATTAACTTAAAAACTAACGAGCTCGTAAGCTAATAACAAAAATCACATCCAAATTATCTGTGGAAAATTATCCGTCTACATAGATTAACTTCCCAAGCTGCAATAATTCAGCAGTTCTGCACAGTACTACTCGATACAATCCAGGAGTTTTTCCTTGGTTCTGATAAGCTGTACCTCAAAATGTGAAGATAAGTAGATGTTAGTGCTTATGGTAGTGCTAAGACAGTTTAACTAATTAAAATCTACAGTTGTAGTGTTTCTAAAGGGGATCTCAGGTATTTCAGCTAGGTCTAAGAGGCTGTAGCTCTTAACCCCGGTAAATACTGGGGTCCACTCAAAATACAGCGTACAAGTAAGACAAGCTAAATATTTCCAGAGTAAACAAAATTCTGATCTGGCGATCCCCAAGGCTCAGTCATCGGTCCTCTAATATTTAAGATAAATATGGTAACTCGAGTAACGACAGCCATGTCTTCAGTTGAGTATTTTTGACAAAGCTGTGTTCCATATCAGCTTACATTTGTGGAAAATACGCAGCACATGACTCTTTCAGTTCATGTATTTTCCCGTTTATACGTTCGTCTTGATGAGTTCGAGCTGCTGTGAACTTGGCTGAAGCTTCAGCTGATGGTTTTCTGATGGACTGTTTGTCTCCTCCAGGTCTTGGCGGGTCTGCTGAATCACCTGGAGCGCAGCGGGTTGGGTCCGTTTGAGGTCGGTGGAGGCTGAGCCTCCCTGACTGGTCCAAACATGGCTGCCCTTCGCTCTGATTGGACGCCTGCCAAGCCAGCCTGAACTCGACTCCAAACAGACTGAACGGCGTCACACCCTGAATCCTTTCAAAGGGAATCCGCCTCATTTTGGCAGCGCAACATTTCCTCTCTGTGGAGACATTTTTAAATTTATTATGGAAATATTTAAAGTATGGATGTTGGATTTTGTCAGAATATTTCTCTAGAAATGAAATTATAACCAAGCAAAATGTCTATTTTCAAGTAAAAAAGTCTGGAATTTATTTTTGATAGAAAACAAATGGAGAACCATTGGGATCATTTTCCTCTAAAATACTTTATTTTACAATTTCACATCCAGTTTAACCCCAAACACCAGTTTAATTATTTTTAAGAACCCAAAGTTATATTTAAATATGCCCCACAAAAATATAAACAGTTATAATAAAAGCCTTTGTTGTGGTCAAATGTTCACATCAAACTGCTTCAAGTGCTAAAAAGACAAAATCCTCTGAAAATGTAGCAGCAGAAATGTCATTGTTATTTCACAAATAAGATCACTAACATAAAAAACAGAAAAGATCCAAAGAGCTTTTTTTATTGCATCTTAATGTGAATTTTTGTTGTTATGTCTTAATTTAGGAGCCAAATGCATCATATCAAAGTAAAACGTCTGCAGTCTCTGTTTCTCCTCATTATGAAGCTTTGCACAAGTTTGATCTCTAACCTTTCATCTAAATAAAGATTTTCACTTTGTTTGCACTGCAAAAAAAAACCAATTAATGCATGTACTTTTCAATAAAAGTAATAGCAATAAAGGAAGAAAGGTTTCTGCAGAATGTGAAATAAAGACACTTGTTTTTTTAATGAAAGTGAGTCATTTTGTTTGAAGGAGAACCACAGCGCCCTCTACAGTCACTGAAATTATTATTGGTTTTAATTTAAATGCTTCAGATATCAGATTAAACAAGAAGCTGCTTCATTTACTGATTCAGAAAGATTAATGCATGAAAATGTCTCGTATTTTTCAGTTTTATTTTCTGTCTCATCAAGTTAAGATCAAATCTAAAACCTATTTTTTATTACATTTATTTTATACGGATTATCAAGGGGATCAATATTTATTTTGCATATGTCCATGCAGGAGAAATAATGATCAAATATCTTCTTTTAAAAAGTGGATAAATCTTCCAACCGAAAGCAGGGAAATCAGGCTCAGGGTGTTTAGTATGGCTGCAGTTACTTACAGCTTCCATAAATAAAGGCTTCTTATCTTTTCCACTTCATCATTTTGGGTTTAAATTGTTCTGGGAGGTTTTAGATGAATGGTGTGAGCAAGCTACACCGTCTGGAAGCACCTTGTTCCTGTTTGTAACTCCAGATTGTGACCAAGGGAGGAAAACAGGAAACGTTGTGGATTAATCTGGCCAAGGTCACCGCAAAATAGGTCGGCAACAGCAGATCTACTTTTTATTTATTCTTTTACAAATTATGCTAAATAATAAAGACATGAAAGCAAAGCCTACCCTTGTGATCCACCGGAGGAGGATGGAGATTCCCAGTGCGTCAGTCGTCCAGAGGAGGAGGTGAAGCAACGATGGTTGGTTAATTTCTCCTCTTTTTGGCAAAGTTTTGACTAGATTTGACCTTTTAGCCCTCAGTCTTAGTGCGATGCTCAGGACGAGTGCAGCAGATGTCACGGCCGTGTGACCCGTCAGCTCTTCAATTTGCGAAACCACAAGATGTAAATCTGGCGACACAACCAGAACCGCACACACAGTAAAAAACTCAGGCGGGATCCAAATGACCGCTCAAAAAGAAGAAAACTGACCAATAACCTTTAGGCTCTGGCGTGCCCTTTGACCCCCACAGACTCACACAGATGTGCGTTACGTACAAGAAGTTTGGACACAAAAGATCTTTCTTTCTCCACAATTTTGATAGTATAGAGGGTTCGATAATAAAACTAAATCCAAAACCTGTTGTCTGAAGGAACTTCTACACAATAAAAATGACCCAAAGTTTCACGGCGTCACGGGAGGAGCTGCTCTGTAAGCTGCTCTGTAAGCTGCAGCTCTAAGGCGGAGCTTCGTCCTGGAAGGCGGGGCTAGGTCCACAGGTTCACAGCTGGCTGATTTCCATGGAGATTAAAGGATTTCTCTATCATGCATCAAAGGATCAAAGCAACATGTTCCTGACGAACGAATAAAAAATAAGATGTAAAGCTTAAAAAAGTCAGTTTTACATGAAACTGGTCCTTTGAACAAACATGAAGACGTTTTTATTAAACTGGATTCAATTACTGCTGACCAGTCGGTTTTCTATCGACTGAATCAGAAAACCGAGTAAATAAACTTTTTCCATTTAAATCACATTTTGACATTTTAAACTGATCGTGACTTCCTGTCTGCTGGAGCCCTGCTGCTTCTCACGCTAACGGTTTATTTCTGGTCTCTGGTACGTTGAAATGTTTGATCGTGATCTGAAGCGTCTTCTAATGAGGAAAAGTCCATCACTGTCAAAATCTGGCAGCAAATGTTGCTGAAACGGAGAGCAGGAAGTGATGGATGCCTCAGGGCCGAGCGGATATTTCAGTCCAGCAGAAATTTGCACGACAAGAAGAAAAAAAAGAAAACGTACTGTACCTCGAAAATGTCAGATTTCAATCTGGATTTTATGAGTTTTACAGAACCTGTTTACATTGAGGAGGGAAACATCTGAACGAGCCTAAAGTTACAAACAAAAATAAAGATTTTATTTCCTAAATTGACATCAAGGTGCAGTTTTGACCTCCAGACTCAGAAATGAAGCATCAAGCAGCAGCTCTGACCAGAGGATGAAAGTCTGTTTGAAGCTTTTCTCTGACCTTCAGTGAAACTCGGACGTCAGCAGATTAAACATCGGCTTCATTTCCAGACTGAAAATGAACCCAAAGTTTCGGCATTGATGACGGATTCTTCTGATCGAGACGACAGCAGCAGAACGGACACGTCATCGCAGAGGAAAACAATTCAGAGTTTACGTCAGCGAGGAGAAATATTTAAAATTCTGCATGAAATTAAAGTCAGCCTTTCATAAAATGAGTAAACCACCTGATGCAAAGAAATTAGTAATAGAAGCAAAAATGAAACAAAAAATACATACATAGAAGCCAAAGTTGTTATAGCTGACTAAAACTAATAAGAAAAATTAAATATGAATTATTAATAAATGAGAAAACAACTGAATTTAACTGTAATTAAAGAGGAAAAACTACATTATGTTTATTAAACTAACTGAAACATATGTAACTTATAGATATAATATCCGTTGTGTTTATTAAATGTTTATAGCCTTTTGGACTGAAGTGAAATTTATGTTTCTCTACATAAGCAGTTTACAAATTACGGCTAATCCTGGCGTTGATTATGTTAAAAGTTGTTCTATAATAATTAAATCCATTTTGGAAAATAGCCTCTTTTAAAAACAAAAATTATTACCACAATTAATAAAAACTGGACTTAATACTAGGAAACAGTTGAAAATAAATAAAGCTATTTGATCAGACAGAAATCTTCAGATGAAACTAAACTAATAAAAAGTTAAAATCTATTTTAACTCTGATCACATCTTGAGATTACAAACCCGGCTCACATAATCTGAATTGTTCTTATTGAGAATAGTTTAGATCTCAGATTTAAAGTTCTCGTTTTGTTTGTGTTTTAGTGAATCCTGTGCTGCTGCTGCTGCTGCTTGTTTGCAGCTGCGGCTCATTTTTCTTCTGACGGCGACAGAAGCTGCTGCAGCTGGAGGTCGCAGCGTCCTCTGAATAATCAGAGCGTCGGTGACGTCAACTTCAGCCTCGCTGTCAGGCGCAGATTTATCTCCGGCTGCTGGTTTTATACAAATTCAGATGAAAAAAAAAACAACTAACAGAAAAACTTTGTCACAGTTTCTCTAAACCTGATGTGGATCTGGCTGGAAAGAAGCGAATGTGCTGAAAATACAAATAAATAACTGAATCTAGAGAATTAATTTAGTATAAAATACTTCCCTACATTCATTATTTCTTAGTTTCTGTTAGCAGAAATTAAGATTCTGTTTCCATGAAATCAACCCTGATCTCTAAATCCAACATGGCTGCAGATAAATCAGCCACATTTATTTAAACAAAACATGTTAAGAATTTTAAACTTTATGCTATTTAGTAAGAAAAAATAGAATTTAATTCTGATTTCAATCTCAGATTTATTTGGAAAATGTCAGGACTGTGAGATTAAAATGAGAATTAAAAATGGCTCTACTAAATTTAAAGTCAGAATACAGATTTTTTTTTTTTCCTCATGATTATTATTTTTGTTTATTTACAATTAAGTAATTCAAACCTTATAATCCTTACTTCCCTCTCGCGACACTGACTTTCCCCCAGAATCTTGAGAAAAAAAGACAAAATATTTGGAATTAAATTCAGAAAATGTATTTTAAAATTATTTTTAAAAAATTGTGGAAAAAAAAAATAAAAAATTTTAAGACTAATGTCAAGTTTCTGAGAAAAAAGAATTAAGAAAGCAAATTCTGAGATTACATTTTGAAATCTGAGGAAAAATGTATGTATATATATATATATATATATATATATATATATATATATATATATATATATATATATATATATATATATATATATATATAATTTAAAAAAAAATTTAAGAATTATTTTTTTCATACATATATATATATATTCTGAAATTGCTGATTAAAATAGAATTATTTTTTAGAAACCAATTTTTCACTGCAATTTAGAACTAAAACTCCCAACATTTCAGTGTTAATCCATATAAATAATCTTTTCATTCATTAGCTGCAGTCAAACCAAAATAATCTGTACATCTTTAAACTGAAATCCTAAAAAACTTACATGATATGAGAAACTTTTCATTGTGAGCCGTATAATCGGAACAGAGCAAATCAATGTTGAGTTTTCTAACATTTCCCAGATTGTTGTTCTTGTTTAAATCTCTTGCTTTTTTCTCAGGCTGATGGCATCCTGTTGGGTTTCCTCACTAAATCTGTTTAGTTTGTTCAATCTGCTGACAGTCGTTCGGTTTTCTGTCACTTTTAAAACATTTATCTTTGAATGTTACAAATCGCTGCTCCAGAAATGCAGATTTAAGACGTTATTTCCCATTTAATCCAGAGTGAACTCTCTGTGTTTGATGCTGCTGTTTTTGCCTTAAGCTGAACGGTTTTGGTCCGTCTTTCTCTGGACCTGCTGTCGGATGAGGAGCGGCTGAGATAGGAGCTGCTCCGTGCTGACATTTACCCGTTAATGAAAGCCGAGATGAAAGCAGAGACCAGAGCAGTCGAGCTGCAGGTCGCAGCACGATGCAAATCAGACGAAGAAAAGGGCACAAACCTTTTCCTCCTGCGTCATTATTAAGCTCAGAGCTGACCTGAGGGCAGCCTGATCGAACCAGCTGCTGTTAGCAGGGCTGCAGGACGCCACTTTATCGATACGCAGCATTCGTATGATAAACAGAAACTCCTGAGGCTGCTGACCTTTGACCTGCTGCCTTTGTTTAATGAGCAGGTGGAGACAGAGGGATTTCTGTGGTTGTTTCCGGGTATTAGACCGATCCCTCAGAGGATTACTACAGCCTTTAATTCATCTATTTCAAAAGAAACTAATTTGTGTTTCATTGTGGTCTGGAAACATTTAAAGTGACAAAATAACTTCAATAATGTGATTCAGATCTGGTGAAATGACAACGAAAGAGGCAAAAGCTGACAAATAAAAGCAACACTGGCAACAAAAAACATCAATTATAATTAACTAATTTATAATAATTAGAGAAACCAAGTTAGAACAGAAATAAAACAGATCATTTTTTTTATACAGATCATTAATTTATAACATTTTGTTATAAATTAATTAAACTGCCTGTAGAACCAGCATTTGTTTTTATCAATAATAAGAAATTATTCTCTTAAAACAAGCTTCTGTATTTTGTTGAAAAGTTACTTGCAGGTTAATTTTACCTAATTTAAAATTAAGTAAGATATTTACACAAGAAACTAGACAGAAATACGTGGTAATATTTTGTATTTCTGCAGGATTGAACTTTTCAACAACAAACACTTTTTTTTTAAAGCACGGTGAAGGAACTATGATGCTGTGGGCTTGTTTTTGCAGCCCAGTGTAAGCTTTAAAATATCAGAACGTCCTCAATGAAACTCAAGTGGCAAATCAACACAGAAATGTTTCAGCTGAGCCATTACTGCTGGTTCTAGTCATCGGCTGACCTTTGACCTCCACATACACATCAGATCAAGGCGTTTAATAGGAACTCAGAAAAGCTGCAGACCATCAATCACAGGACAACACAGGGTCACGGTTTATCTGATGAGCCGAATACATGAATAATCTGAGAGAAGAGGAGGAGGAGGAAGAGGAGGAAGAGGAGGAGGAAGATGAAGAGAAGGAGGAAGACGAGGAGGATGAAGACGAGGAGGAGGAAGAGGGTAAGAGGCGGTATAAATAAAGGAGCGGGAGAAGCTGGAGCTCACGCAGAAAACTTGCAGACGGAAACACCGTGAAACCGCAGCGGAGCCACAGACGAAGAAATCAAACGTTTTTCTCATCGGGTTTTAATTATTTTCCACATTTAAAGTAAATTCCTGTCTTGTTTAAAAGTTCGGTAGTTTGGTAGTTTGGAGGTTTTCATTTCAGTTCTTGATTTTTTTTAGGTGCTCTAACTGGAGATGGAGAGCCTGCGAGCCGTCATCTACCTGTCCATCTTCCTGTCAGTGATGTCATCCGTTTGTCGGGGTGAAAGGTCAACTGAGGGTCAGCTGCCGTCGGCGCCGGACGAGCCGACCTTTGGATTTGAACTGGTGAGTGTTTCCCTCTCAAACTGGAGCTCAGGAGGTTTTTAATATAATAAAATATAAGTAAATATCGAAAGCTCCGGTTTATTATAGAAAAGCTTTTCAAAGTAATAATGTTGATTTCAGGCTGCATGTGATATTTAGTCAACATGTACATAAATGTAGCGTTTAAGAAAACATTCAAACTTAATCATGTTAAAATTATTTTTTATTTATCATATTTAAATATTGAAAAACTTAAAATAATGTATTTTTAAGTTCAAACTGCATAAGAATCTGTAAAAAGTTTCTAAATAATCAGCTGTCACATGTACAAGTTAAAATAAATAAAAGAGAAAATGGAGGATTCTGTTGTTTCATTGAAAGATGGAGGTAAACATGAATAAAATTAATACGTTTAAAGTAAATAACTGTGACAAGACTGTAAAACAACAGTTTACAGTTTACTTTAGATACAATAAGTAAACATGATATCAATGAATAGTTAATAATAAATAAATATTTGTATAAACTTCGTGATAGAATATGAAATTGGTGCTAAATATTTTATAATTTTAGGATATCAGGAGGTTTAGACTAAAAACACAATGAACTTATTTTATGTTCAATACGTTAAACTGAATTAAAGATCATAAAGATTCAGGACCAAGATATAAAACTGATGGTTTATTAGTTTCAGAAACATTTATTCCATCCTGATGATAAGGCAGGAAATGTCACTGAAAGGTCATGATGGTGCGTTCGGATGACGCAGGAAAACTCAGAGACACTGAGAGGAAAACAAAATCCCATTATGGTTTAGTTCATTTTACCGTTTTATTGTTATCATTTATGGGGAAAACGCATCTTTCTGTGGTTTGTTTCACATAAACTTCTCACTACATAAACTTCTCACTATTTCACTCACATGTTTTATTTATTTGTTTATGTTACATTTTCTAAACCTACTGAAAATAACTTCAGGTAGATAAAACAAAAGTTACATAAATTAACGATACTTTTTGTGTTAGTTTGACAAAATACATGTACTTTCAGTTATCTTAATTTTATTTTGTTTTGTTTGCTCAACTTAAATAAATTGTGTTATTTTGCTGCTTTTGTATAATAAAATAAAATCTTTCAAACAAACAGTTCATGATTTACTCTTTAGTTTTAGCAACTACAACCAGCCTCTAGTCGTTTGAGTTATTAGTTAGCTCGCTAGCAGCTACCTCAAGTTGTTGCTTGATGGTTAGGAGCTAACAGTTCATTAGGGAAACTGTTAGCTCCAGAAGTTAGCAGGGAGTCAGTTATTAGTTTAAAACACGTGCTATCTAGCTAAGTTTCCATTTTAAGTCATGGAGGTGGTAGTTAGCTTTGATAACTGCTTAATAAATTAGCTGCTAACAAGCTAACAAGCTGTCAACCTCAGCTTCTAATTCTGGTGATTTGTCAGTTGGATCATTAGTAGCTAAACTAACTTGTAATTCAAGAATGTAACTGTTTGCATGCTAAGTGTTAGCAGTTGACTTGAGCTAAATAACTTGGAAGAATTACAATCAATCAATTAATCTATCAATTAATAAATCAAATTTATTCTTATAGCACATTTCAGCAACCCGGCAGTTAAAAGTGCTTTACATCATAAAAAGACAATTTTCTGTCAGTATTTAGCCTGAAGTAAACTCTAATTTAAACACGTAACTGTGAGTTTGTTAGCAGTTAATCATTTCTGAAACAAACTACAACTCTAGCAGTTGGCTAAGTGTTAGCAGTTAAACTGAGCTAAATGCTAGCATACTGTCAGAATTAGCATATCGTGAGAGTTAGCATACTGTGAGAGCTAGCAGAGGCTAAATGTTAAGCTGTTAACAATTCTGGCAAATAAATGCTAAGCTACAATTTTAACATGTAAGTTTCCAGCAGTTAAGCTAAATACCAGCTCTTAGAAAATGAAAATTAGACAGTTAGCAGTTAACTACTACTACTACTAACTAGTATTTAATTACACACCTTAAAACTAGCTCAGTTTTTGTGTTACTAAGTTGGAAAATAAATATAGATTGTTCAAAAGAAGCATAAGGAAATATAACAATATATAGCAGAAATTCTGATCTAATCTTATAGTTTTCAACAATAAGTGACTGTAAAAGCCTCCATTAGCAGTTATCCTGCAGACAGACTCAGCCTGAGCTGCCAGGTGGTCAGAAACCGTTAGGTGTGAACGTCTTATCTGTGTGAACGTCTTATTTGTGTCTCGTTTGCGTGAGCAGGCTGAAGCTCTGCAGGGTCTCCTGGATGAAGCTGACAACAGAGTCGGCCTCTCCGTGGAGAAGAAGGCCAGCGTCATCCCCAGGGTGAGAACATGACTGACGGCTCTCCAGCCTCACATGGCAGCTGCTGCCACCAACATTAGCATCACGAAGCACGACTGCTGGTTCATTTTCAACCAAGCCTCTGTTTGACGTTATTTTCTGAGGCGAGAAAAATTATTTTATTCATCACAATATCAATCACATTATTTATTTATGCAGCACATTTCAGGATGGAGGGGGTTCAAAGTTCATGAATACACAAATACAAAAGGTCACAAAAACACAGATTTGAGAACAAATATTACATTTACATAAAAACCATGAGTATGTTTCATATTATGTATGTAGGCCAATATGGTAAATCTCAAAACAATTAATATTTTTTATAAACTTAAAAGGATTGATGACTTTGCCAAAAAGAATCATTTCCTCTTTAGTTTTAAAATTCAATTCAATTGAAATAAAGTAAACTAAATTAGATTACAACTAAAATAAAAATTTAAATTAAATCAGATTAAATTAGTTAAAATCAGATTAAATCAGATTGAATTAATCCTCCTGTGTGTCCTGTCAGTGCGATGTGGGCGAGCGCTGTGCGATGAAACACGGACCTCGGATCGGCCGGCTCTGCGACTGCCTGAGGGGAACGGCCTGCAACACCTTCTTCCTGCGCTGCTACTGATCGTTTCTTTTATCCGGTGAGGAGGTGAAATCTAATCGTTACTCTAAATCGGGCCAAACGGACCCGGTCCTCACAGATAGACACTCTCTCCTGTTCGTCTCAGTGTTTCTGTTTTAAAGTTTCAACAGAATTCAGATTCTTTTGTTTTTGTTGGTAAAGATTTTTCAAGAAGCTGGAAAAGATTTTATGATTTTATGATGTAATTTGTTCGCCTGACGAGTCAAACTCAAGCTTTTGTCGTCAGATAAATTTGAAATGTTTCTTTGACACATAAATGTGGATTATTGTGTTTATTCTTGAAGCACAGCTGTAAACATTTAGTTCAGTTTGTCTTTCTCTGTTTGTTGTAAATTATTTTTAAAGTATCTGAAATTCAATGTTTACTTTAAGTATATTGTGTGTTCTCTGGTATATAAAGTTATTTGAAACAGATGTTATAGATATTCTTTATCTGCCTATTTGTATGTTTTTGTCTGTGAATCTTTACCTTTTTTGCAATTAAATAAATGGTGGTGTACCACAGAGCTCAGTACAAAGACCTCTGCTTTTCTTCACTGTTTTGTGTCGTATTAAAATGTAATTTAAATTCACATGCAGATGAAGCTCTGCTGGACGGTTATTTACTGGTGTTGGGTAATAACACTGAAAAAAAACACAAATGGATTCTGTGTTTAAGCTCATTTGTTCCACTAAAGTTAAGAGGAACATAAAACAGATTTAACTCGTAAGGAACTGCAAATGTAACCATATGGCAGCACTGAATAAGAAAAATATACATTATAACCCTTTATAAACATGGCTGAATTCCAGACATTGTGGGTTTTTGCAATATTAACAATAAAAATGTGTTTGAAAATTTCTTTTAGATCCAACAAGTTAGTGAAGCACAACTTTCATGTTTCAATAAAGTAACGTAAAACCCAATAATAAAATCTTCAGTTTATTTTTGCACTTCAATAATCCATATTTATGTAGGAATATTGTCATGGATCAACAGATTGAGACCTACAGAATGGCGCCGCATCATTTAAGCTCCGTGTTTCGGTACCTAGTGGGTCTGCAATGACACAAAATGGCGGATTGTAAGTTCTGCTCTGAATTTGAGCAGCATTGATACTTTACTTAATTTAGCAAATATTAAACACATCTCTGTCCTCCTTTTTGTACATAAACTCTTTTAAAATCCTAAATAAACACACCTGTTGTGTTTTTTGAGGTTTCCGTCAACCTTTTCTGAAGTGATGCTTTAAAATCGATGATGGAAGTTTAATCAGTTTCTCTTCTCCCAAAAGCTAATGTGTAGCATTAGCTTGAAATGACAAACTGGATGTTGTGTGAGACGGCCATTAAACATCCACTGGAAATATGTAGAAAAGTGGGACTTTCAGCTGCTTCCATTCATTCCACTTCACATATTGGGGACAAGAGGAGAGAAATATGAAGCTTCTGTTGCGTACATTTTATTTTCCTTTCTAGTAAAACATTTACTAGAAAGGAATCCAACTATGGTTGTTTCTCACTGCAAAACACAAAATCTTACCAAAGTATTTTTGATCTAGTTTCTTGTGCAAATATTTTAGTGCACTTGAAATAAGACAAAACTGACTCACATGCAACTTTTCAGCAACATATAACTCCTGAAAAAGTTCTAGTTTCATTGGCAGATTAATCCACTCACAACAAAACATTTTTCCATATTACAAGTGAAATAATCTGCCAATGAAACTAGAACTTTTTTATTTAGATATTTTGCTGAAAAGTCACTAGAAAGTTAGCGTTGTCGTATTTCAAGTGCACTGAAATATTTGCACAAGAAACTAGATGAAAATACTCTATGTTTTTTTGTTTTAACGTTGCTAGAATAAACTTGCTTTGAATTTTCCTCTTTGTGTTTTTTTGCTTCCTGTCTAGTGAGAAATGTTCACCTCCTGCTGACTTTCCATTACCTGAATCGTCCAATCAGAGCAGGCCAGGTCTGATTAAGGAAACCTTTAACATGTCGTTCAGGCGGGCATCGATTTATCAGCCAGAATCAGGAACAGGATGGCATTTAGCTCCCAGCTTACAGCCCTCAAAGATAAGATGGAGTAATTACTGGATCCAGCAGCTGCAGCGCCGGTAGAGCTGCAGACAGAAGCAGGCCGATGCTGACACACATTCACACATTCAGGGCATTTCAAAGGTTTTCACTCCCTTTGTTACTACTGCAAACATCACTGTTTCAGCTCCACTGAGTGAAAGGTTTCACTACCTTCCCTTAATATATATATTCCAGCTTCGTCATCAAGAAATGAGTTTTGCGGGTTGATGTTTGCAGACTAGGTCCAGCTCAGTCAGACTAATAGACGTCTCCTAACATTAGATTTAAAGCATTACCACAGCCTGCTTACTTGCCTCAGGACTGGACTGATCCCACCACCATTTTCCACCACATGGATCTTCGTTTTCAGATTAGTCGTCTTAGTTTTCTTCCACACATACTGTTGACTGCAGGCAAAAGAAAAGTTCTGGTAAAATAAGACCAGAACACCTTAATCTTGTGCCCTCTACATGCTTTGAGGCAGCTTACAAAGGTGACTTCTTGTTGTGGCTTTTGTCAATAATTTATCTCCTTAAAAAGACTTAAAAGTAGCTTAAAAACATTACATTAACTCAAATGTTGGCAATGTACAGCTCAAGTTTATTTCACATTAGAAATGTGTTCCACATGAACTAAAACTGAGTCATGATGAACTTGGAACGATGCGATGCTTCAACAAATAGCACATTAGTGATTTCACACAGAGAAGGCAATGATCTGGTGCAATTCAATGCACTGAATCATGAGCTTTATTTTAGTCCAATAAAGCTCATAATTCAGTGCAGCTTATAGAATCATGCTTTAGTCTAAAATAACTTTTTATTCTAATTTGACAAATTAGGATGGAGAGAAACTGAACTGAAACTGAATGAGAAAAACTTTCACAAGAAGGAATTGCATCCTAATTTCTGTGTTTAGTATCCATGTTCAGGGAACATCTGTCATCTTCCAGTTCTACATAGTCCAGTTAACAATTTAATTATGTGATAAGGGTGTTAAAAAGTACCATAGCTGAAATCTCAATCATATCCCTGATTGAGATTTCTTTTTTTTTTAAAGTCACTACGTCCAAATACCAAGAAAATGTGATTTTTTAAAAACTTTTTTATGAACATCAATAAATCCAGGCCACTTTAGTAAAATCCCCACAGCCAGGGGTTTTGCTTCTTTCTACAATGTTGAAGCAACATTTTAGAGGTTTTTTTTTTTTACCTTTTAAATAGTCTCATCTGCTGCTGCGAACACATTTAAGGTGATTTTTTAGTCATCAGACAGCAGAGCACAACGGTTCCTGTCCTTCATGAATTCTCATGTGAGAATTTAAATATAAGATTTTGCTGAATCCTTGACCGCAAACGGAACAACTAAAGGCTTTTTCTCCGCTGTGAACTCTTGTGTGCTTCAGAAAATCCTGTTTCCTCCTAAAAGCTGCTGCACAGACAGAGCAGCTGAAAGGTTTTTCTCCTGTGTGGATTCTTGTGTGCTCCATCAAAGCGTTCTTCCATTTAAAAGCAGCCTTGCACACGGTGCAGGTGTAAGCTTTCTCCCCTGTGTGACTCCTCATATGACGGTTCAAACCCACATTGTGTCGATAACTCTGGCTGCAGATGGAGCAGATGAAAGGTTTCTCACCCGTGTGGGTTCTCATGTGCTGCTTTAGAGTATATTTTCTTTTGAAGGATGCATCACACAGGGTGCAGCCGTAGGGTCTTTCTCCCGTATGAATTCTCATGTGTTCCACATAGGAATTTTTCCATGTGAACGTTGCGTTACAGACAGCACAGCTGAAGGGTTTTTCCCCCGTGTGGATCCTCGTGTGCTCCAGGAAAGTGTTTTTCCATCTGAAGGTGGCCTTACAGAAGGAGCAGGTGTACGGTTTTTCCCCTGTGTGGCTCCTCATGTGACGGCTCAGTCCCACACTGTGTCGGTAGCTTTGGCCACAGATGGAGCAGCTGAATGGTTTCTCGCCTGTGTGAGTTCTCAGGTGTTGCTCTAAAGTATACTTTCTTTTAAAAGTTGCATCACAAAAAGAGCAGCTGAAGGGTCTCCCTCCTGTGTGGACTTTTCTGTGTCTCAACAGACGTTCCCTGCGACTGAACGCTTTCCCGCAATCACTGCAGGTGTGTAGTTTATACTCTATGTCACAGATTATATCACCTGATTTCAAACTTGGCTGTGGTTCACTGCTCTCCTCCCAGTTTCCATCGCTGATATCAGTCTCTGAAGAACCAGAACTTTTTTCTTCATGATCTGATTCTGAACATTCATCTGGTTCTGGTCCCATAAAGTCTCCATTCTCTTCAGTCAGGGTTTGATGAAGCTTTGTAGACTGAGATTTCTCTTCATCCTCTTCACTCTTGATGTTACTAAATTTGAACTCAAAAATTTCAACTTCCTCCTGCTCTTCTTTAATCTGTGGGTGGTTCTGGTGATCCTGGTCCAGTTTGGGACAGCGGGCTTGCTCCTCTTTGATTACTTTCAGCTGCTGGACGTCTGCAGGAAACAAAACAAATCACAAAAGAGCTTTAGCGTTAAGTAAATACACCTGGTCTAAATACAACTTATTTAACACTCACTGTGGAATCAAAATGAGAAAAGCACATATTAAATATGTATATCAATTCAATATTGTAAATGTAAACATCCTGAATTGAAACTTGATCTCTTTTATGCTCGTGTCTTACTAAAGTATTCACATTTTAGTCCATCCAGCTAATCAATATATTTATTTGGAATCATACAGTCAGATATTTCTGTCTTTTTCCTTTTATTTTTTGTAAATAAGGGAAACCAGGAGGGATTTCTCAATGTGCAAAGCTGGTAGAGCCATACACATACAGACTAAAAGCAGTAATAATTTTTTATCTTTGAAAATTCTTGACAACAATGTAAATTACCTGCCTTGAATGCATTGGTTTCTGTTGGTTTATTTATTAAAAACCATAATAACTACACTAAAGTTAGAGCTTGTCAGCTGACAAACTGGAAAGGTTAAAGACACAAATACTTTTGGACGGCAGTGCATGTGTGCAAAATTATATTTTTGCCAAAATGATATTAGATATCTGAATGATTCCTTGTCACATTTATGTCAAATTCCCACATTTTTAATACACTGATATGTTTAATGTTTCTTCTGGAAACAAACATAAATAAAAACTCAGGTTTATGCCACTACATCCTATATTATCCAACCTGAAAGTGATTTACCTTCAACTAAAACAACTGATTACCGTTAGTTTTGGTTGATTCATCGGAGGGTTTTAACCTCAGATCCTCCAGCGATGACATTTTAGCTGCTGCCTCAAACACAAACACAGAGACACGGCCAGCCTGCTCCCCGTCAGTCCGTCCATCCGATTCGGTTATTTACCTTCATCATCCTCACTGCGTCAAGCTAACAGGCGCTCAAGCTAACCTCGGCAGCTACGCGGCCTAACTGACGCCGAATCAGGGAAAGATATTTTAAAAACAATTTGAGTAAAATGTGAAAATCAAAAGACGATTCTATAGATGCCTGCTCGCTGGGATAACAACGACTGGATGTTGGAAAAACCAACGGATAACAGAGCGACAGTTAATTCGCTGCTTAGAGTGAACCACTTCCGGTGATGCACCGCGATGCATCCTTCAAAATAAAAGCCTCAAATCCACAGACCTATTCATTAAATTAGATTATTTAAAAACCATTTATTTCAGGAAGCCCATCGCCAAGTGAAGAAATAGATTAATTAGAAAAACTCACAAAAACATTAAATTTCCCTTTGGAATTTTTTACAATTTGAACATAGTGGAGCAGGTTACATCCTGTCGTATGTCCTCCGGGACGATAGGTGGCGGTTTGCAATCCGCCATTAAGCACAAACAAGAAGCAGCGGATGTGACTTCCTGCTAGAATCCATGTAAAACTCTTGTTTATCGTTATGTTTAGACATTTCTGAGTGGATTTAATCACCTTTATGTGTTGTAAACATGCCGTACAAACTAGAACGCTTCTTGCGGTTTTCTCTCAGTGGTAAAAGGGCGTTTATTCCCGGAAACAACGGCAGCTTCGGGTATTAGCTTAGCCTGTTAGCTGGAACCAAAACAGTCCCACAGAGGAAGAGAGAGCCGCTTTGGAGGACAGACTGGAAATCTGGTGGAGTTTACTGGGAGAAAGGCTTCTGTGGTGCTGGTGTGAAAACACCAGAAAACAAAGATGGAGGAAGGGACTCGCAGAGAGCAGATGGACTCTCGGTTTCAAGGTAACAGGCAGAAACACTATCGTGATAAAACAACAATAAACGAGCCTCGTTGCTGTTTTCTAACAATCTAAATGTCTTCGTTCGATTTTTGTGCGTTTTTCTGTTGCTATAGTTCGTCCTTTTCAAGACATTAGATGTTATGCATCTAAAGATTATATTTTTATTCAGGCGTTCAAACTAAACCCACATTAAACGAAACCAGGATCTGATTCTCTTATTTGTTTTTTCCCCACACTTAATTTTTTCAAATCATGCAACTTATGTCGAGGATGTAATGATTTCTCGGAGGATAAAATCTGTACTTGTTGACGTCGAGTATTTGTTTTAATTCAGCTTCATGCTAGAAACATGGGAAGAGTTTCTAGCATGAATCACCTGCAAAGGTCTCTCTACAACATGTTGGTAAAAGTTAAGTTAAAAAGAGTCGTAGCTTCATTTCATTAAAATGTTTAAATGATGGCAACATGGAGTTGAAAACTGAATTGCTCTTTTTAAAGCTTAAATTCTGAGCTAATTTATTTCCCTCTGTTTACATTAAAGTCTGAAAAGATGTGATTCCAAAACCACAAAAAAATCAAACATTGATCTGAAATCTTTACAAAATGATCTGAGATGATTGGTACATTATAGGATGAAAACTAAAATTCCCCCCAAAATTAACAACCTGACCAACATTAGTTAATCTGCAACAGCGCATGCAAAGTTGAGGCAAATTAAAAGAAAAATGTGCAGGGATTGTATTTTAAAATGAAGAAGTTCTTGTATTAGATTGTTGGTTTAGTTTTAATATTTAAATTCAAATTGTAATTCTTATAAACAGGTCTGACTCTGTCTTTGTTTATCAATTAAACACAACACAAAACTTTTATAAGTAAAACCTGGGTCCAAACTACATTTTGTGTCAGTTTTTTCTGAATGACCTATAATTTCAGAGTAACCTGACTTTGTTGTTTTGCTTTTTATTGGTGCAGAATCAGTTTACAGTGATGCCCTGCTGCTGGAGAGCTAAATGATTGAGCTTGGAAAGGAAAGATGTTTAGGTTTATGCACAGAATGAATGCTTTATGTATGTTTGACTTCAGCTTGTCCAGGATGAATTGCAGAATATAAAATCCCTGTAACTTGTTTAGGCGATGACACCAAAACTAGAAAACGCAGCATGTGATACTTCAGATGAGATCTGTGTGTTTAACCCATTTGTGTTTCCTGCAGACATCCAGCAGCAGATGCTGACGAAAGAGGAACTTCCTGCTGAGGAGGAGAACTGGACTCCCTCACCGGACCAGAACCAGAACCGCACTGAAATTAAAGAGGAACAGGAAGAGACGAAGATCATAGAGTTCATATTCAACACTGTCCCTGTGAAAAGCGACGATGAGGAAGAGAAACCTCAACTCTCAGAGCTTCCTGACTGTCATACTGAGGGAATCAGAAACTCACCAGAACCAGACGGATGTTGGAATGAATCAGATGATAAAGACAAATCTTCAGGTTCTTCAGAAACAGATGTCAGTGATGGAAACTGGGAGGAGCGCGATAGAGCTAGGCCAGGATTGGACCCTGTTATAAATGTATTATCTGTCACTGATATTGTGTATGACACAGGTAAGAAGCTACACAGCTGCAATGAATGTGGTAAAACTTTTAACCAAAAGTCAGATGTTTTGAGGCACAGCAGAATTCACACAGGAGAGAAACCTTTCATTTGCTCCATCTGCAACGCAGCTTTTTCTTGGAAGCACGTCTTGGCTCAACACATGAGAACGCATAGTGGAGAAAAACCCTTCAGCTGCTCCATATGTGGTCAGCAGTTTGGAAGGAAGATACATGTCACCTCTCACATGAGAAGTCATACTACAGAAAAACCTTTCACCTGCTCCATTTGTGGACAAAAGTTCAGCCGGAGAGAAAGTGTGACGCGGCACATGAGACGCCACACTGAAGAAAAACCTTTCAGCTGCTCTGTTTGTGGGCAAGAGTTTGGCAGGAAGGAAAGTCTGACCTATCACATGACTCATCACACTGAAGAAAAACCATACAGCTGCTCCGTCTGTAACAAAGCTTTTACTTTGAAAATAACTTTAATGGAGCACACGAGAACCCATTCAGAGGAAAGACCGTTCAGCTGTTCTGTCTGTGGTGCAGCTTTTAAAAGGAAACATACTTTAGCAGAACACACAAAAACCCACACTGGAGAGAGACCTTACAGTTGCTCTGTTTGTGGACAAAGTTTTGTTCAACTTATCAGTCTAACTCGTCATATGAGGGGTCACACAGGAGAAAAACCTTATAGCTGCTCCACCTGCAATAAGACGTTCAAATGGAAACAAACTTTTCTGACGCACACAAAAATACACTGTAGTGAATAATTTTCAATCCTGTGAACAGACTAAATATCCACGGAGGTTAGACATAGTCTGGTCATGTTTTCTATGGGAGATGAGCTCACATTGAATCTGCCGTATTTAAATATGGAAATACCACAGGAAAAATTATGTCATTTTTATCAAAAGAACAAGCAAAAAATAAACTAGTTAAAACTTCTTCATGTGTGCCAGTCAATTAAGTTTGGTGAGTATTTATATATGTATTAATTTGAATTGAAATTGTAATAAATAATTAAAAAACAAATAAATTATTGTATCAGTTTTTGATCTATCCAATTGTTAAATGTTTGTGTAACTAAGATTTGTTTTTATTTTGAGTTAAAATCATACATTTTTGTTGTAGATTTTAATTATTGTACATTTCTTGCTTCATTCTGAAATTATTTTAGCATTCAATATTGGTTCCTAAAGCAAAACACCAGCAGAAGAAAATCTTTGGGAACCTCTGATCTAATTAATACTCCTGCCCAACCCCTTAACTGCAGACCTATTATATTTTCTGCAGCAGCAATAGCCTCAGCCTCTGAGTTTGACAATTTCAGGCAAGATTAATACATGATGTAATGCAACAAAACTATTAAAAAAATAGAACAGATTCCTGTTTAATTGCAGGTTCTTTTTGTCCTAAAAAAACAACTTGCAAGAGTTGGAAGTTTGTAATTAAATAATGTTTTCAGCATATTTAAATTGGACACTTTTAAAATGTTCCCTTTTTTAGATGCATCCTTACTCTAACAGATCAGGATCAGCTCTGAACTGACCTGCAACCAGCCACTCATTTTGTTCAGGTGTGATGGAGCAGGGACGCATCTGAAAGTTGCAGGGTGGCTCTCCAGGACTGGACTTGAGCGCAACTGATCTAGATATTCTTAAAGACTTTGTGGTACAGATTATTAAAACTATTAAAAAGATTATCAAACCAATATATATATCTTAACTTAGCACAGGTAAACCTTTCTATATTTTCAACAGAAATACAATTCTCCTAAGGATGACGAAAGATTTACTTTGGTTATTTGACCACTAGATGTCAATGTAACTCCATCTAGAAAACAAAGCTGGAACGATACCATCTCCAAAACTTATTCGGGGGGTTTTGTGATATTTTCAGTCAAATAGATCTTAAAGAATGACAAGACAACTATGTATCTTAAGCATTTTATGAATTAATTTCGATCCAACCATACGGTGGTTTTGGTGTTCTTTCACTCAAATGTAATTTATTTAAAATCACTTTGAATATTGTGATCAAATAATTTTCTTTTTCTGTGTAGAATTGCAGCTCAATGTTAAATGTACCAACACAGACACTGAAGCATCTTCTTTTAGGTTTCGTCGGGCGGGATACAGATCGAGCTTTTATTTTGAAGGCTAACATGACCCGCTCGCTACCGGAAGTTATTGTCTCCTAGCAGCAGTTGCTAGTGCGAAAAAAGTGTTGTTTTCTTTCCCCAGTTTATATTTCCATGTGTTGTCAACCTTTTAGAATCTCTTAGACGTGCTGTGGAAACCACAGGGGGTTTTATGGCCTATGAGGAGAAATTATTTTGCTGTTGTTTGTCTTGGTTTCGTCTCGGGAGCAACAGAAGCTCTGAGCGTTAGCATCTTCCGTTAGCTGGAAACAGACAGTCAGCGATTCAGAGACGCTTTGGTGGAAAACAGACCGTTTCTGATGGAGAGAAAGGAGAGAAATGTTTCTGCTGCGACCGGGTGAAACTATGGAGGAACCGACACACAGTGAGCGGATGGACTCCGACTTTCATGGTAATTAATTAGCCTTTTCTAAAGCTCTGTTATTGTGTTGATATTTGGTCATCAACAATAAACCCAACTGAAAACATCAGGAAGAAGAAAACTAGGCAAATTTGCAGCAATACTTTTCAATTTATACCAATAACAATAATAAAGAACTGTTTCAGGATTAAATATTTTGTACAAAATTGCTTATCCTCTGAAACATGTTGTTGTTGTTTATAAACAATATGTATGATTGAGTGATTGCGGGGTTTGTTTACAAGTTTAAAATAGAAATAGGAAGAAAAATGCATCAATGAAATGGCAAAGGGGTGTCCTTGACCCAAAGTCAGCCGCAACTAATTTCTCCTGAAAGACTCAAAACCAAATAGAGAAATAAAAGAAAAGCAAAACTTATACTACAGGAGAAACACACCAGAGGACTGATTTAATTTTTAATATGGGAACTATTTTTTAAGCTGTGTGTGTTTCCTGCAGATGTCCAGCAGCTGACGGTGGTTAAAGAAGAGCTTTCTCTTGAGGAGGAGAACTGGAGTCCCACACCAGACCAGGAGGACCAGAAGCCTCCACGAATTAAAGAGGAGCAGGTGGAGAATGAGGTCACAGAGTTCATATTTGATCCTGTATCTATAAAAAATGAAGACGTTGAAGAGAAACCTCAGCTCTCAGAGCTTTATCACGACCAGATGGAGCTGAACAGAGACGATACAGGAGCAGAACCAGATGAATGTTTGGAAACTGACGAGGAAGACAAAGCATCGGGTTCTTCAGAGACAGATGTCAGTGATGGGAACTGGGAGGAGAGCAGTGAAGCTGAATCTGGTTCAGACTCTGTGAGAAACAACAAATCTTCGGTAGGTGATGGAAACTGTGAGAGAGATGAGAAGCTTCACATTTGTGGTGAATGTAGTAAAGCATTCAAACGCAGATCATGTTTGGTACGACACAACAGAATCCACACAGGAGAGAAACCCTTCAACTGTTCCATCTGTAGCAAATCATTCACATGGAAACGAGGCTTGGTTATACATATGAGAACGCACAGTGGAGAAAAACCTTTCAGCTGCTCAGTCTGTGGTCAAAGGTTCTCGAGAAAGGAGTCTGTGACTTCTCACATGAGATGTCACTCATCAGAAAAACCTTTCAGCTGTTCTGTTTGTGGGAAAAAGTTCAATAGGAAAGAAAATGTCATTCGGCACATGAGATGTCACACTGAAGAAAAGCCCTTCAGTTGCTCCATCTGTGGACAAAAGTTTGGCAGGAAGGAAAGTTTAAGCTATCACATGACGCATCACACTACAGAGAAACCCTACAGCTGTTCTGTCTGTAACAAAGCCTTTACTCTGAAAGTAACTTTGATGGAACATACAAGATTTCACACAGAAGACAGACCATTCAGCTGCTCTGTCTGTAAAACTGCTTTTAAAAGAAAAGCCTATCTGACAGAGCACAAAAAAATTCACACCGGAGAGAAACCTTTCAGCTGTTCAGTCTGCGGCCGAAGCTTCCGTCAGTCTAACAGCCTGAAGCGCCACATGAGAAGTCACACAGAAGAAAAACCTTTCAGCTGCTCCGTCTGTCAGGCAACATTCAAATGGAAAAGTGCTTGTGTAAAACACGTGAAAAATCACACAGGTGAATAACCGGTGAAGTAGCGATGCAGCATTTTGCAATGTATTCATACCCATTAAAATTTCCCACATTTTCTAATGCTACAACAACAAACAGCAGTCCAGGGTTTCCATTAAACCAACAAAAAGTAGTGAATAATGGTGTGGTGGAGGAGAATGATTGTTGTTCAGGATCATTTTATCAGTTTTTGCAATCGGTTGATGGTATTCATAGCTCCTGTGGGCAGAACAAGCAATGATTAGGTTTTAGGGGTGAATGAAATCTGTAGCATATGTTTGGAAGATGGATGGACCAAACCTGGGTTTGGGATGGAGGTGGATCGCTCAGTAAATCTGAATATTATTTTAAAAATTAATTTCAGTGACTTAACTTTAAGTGAAACACATTATATAAATTAATTACACACAAACAGATGTTTGTGTGTAATTAGCTTTTAAGCTTTTATTCCTTAATTGGAATTAATTTTAACTTTAAGATAATGAAATGCAGCATTTCAGATTAAAATACTATATTAAATCAACAAAAAACACTTTTAAAACAGAAATGTTGTAAAAAAAAAAAAAATTATGTTTAATTCCGGATTAAAGATCATTTTCAAAGCACACTTTAATCTGACAGACGAGCCTCATAGTAAATAGGCGGTTTTATGGCTGATCACCAAATTTAGCTGATGCCAATTTTTGTTGTCTGAAATGTAGCTAAATGTAGCAACAAAATTGCTAACGGTGCACGGTTAGCTTTTTGATTCAGTGGTGTTGTTGCAGAAATGTAACCAAAAACTTGCAGGACAGCAAAACACAAAGGCTGGAGTTGTAAAGGCTTTAAATTGTTGTAATGTTTCAAAGTGTCCCTGTGAAAATTCAGACATAGCATTAACTGAGGATGTGTGGGGAAGATTGAGGTTCTCTGTCCAAGCTTTATTGTTTCACGATAATACAAGAAAAAACTGAGATGATTGTGGTTTCAAAGTGACAAAAATGTGAAAAATTCAAGGGTATAAATATTTTTTAGCAAAGTGTAACAATTTTTTCTGTTTGGATTTTAATTGATGTGTAAAATTAAATAAACTCTGCTGCATGACTGATGCCCATGAGTGATTTATGTCTGTAAAATTATTTAATATAAACACATTTAACACATTTTGAATCAAAATGCAGCAATTCATACAACGGTACAGTGCAGAAATTTTTGTTTACAGCTCTAGAAATGTATACGTTGAAATCAAATTAAAATAATATTAGATAGTTTAATAAAAGTTAAACGTTATTGGAACGAGTTGTGGTATCATTTAAAAATGCTCTTTTTCTGTGCAGAGATTTTTTGCATGTGATTTTGGTAAAACAAGTTTTGTGGCTCAGAAAACACAGTAAATTCACCAGAGATCAAAAAACTTACTGCAAAATAAAGATAAATATTAATCATATTTATAGTTACAATTTTCCATCTTTCATTGACTTAATTATCAATATAAAGTAAAAAATTACTAAGAAAAGTCAGAGAAACTGATATTTAATATTCACTTCGCGCTTTTATTTTGAAACGACCTCAGCACAAACGGAAGTTGCTTTTCGCTAGCAGTAACACTGAAGGCTGTGCGAACAAAAACAGGGTTTTGGTTTATTTAATGTAAATTTCCATGACGTATCGCGCTTCCTTTTATTTTATAAACATGCCTTAGAAGCCGAAGAGCAGGTTTATCCTCTTGAAATTATTATTTTATCTGAATTTCCTTCCGGAAGCAACCGAAGTGTTAGCTTAGCTTGTTAGCTGAAAGCAGCCCGTTAGCATCGAGTCAGAGACTTCATGATGGAGGTTAATGAGAGAACAGCTTCTGCTGTGGCTGTGTGAAAACCTCACCGGTTAAAGAAAAGACAACAGAGATGGAGGAAGCAGCACTGAGTGACCAGAAAGAATCAAAATTTAAAGGTAATTATTATTATTTTATGTAGATCTATAAATGCATATTGTTCTAAAGATCAATTGTAGTTTCATTACAAATATAAAAAGATGCGAATTAATTATATATGTATAAATTCAAGTGTGGATTGTAATTAGTTAGATGTACTTGAAACATAATACTTTTTAAGCCCAACACCTTTTGCTTCTGCTTGAAATAATACATGGATTTATATCCAATTATTTAAAAGTGTTATTTTGTTTTTCTGTCTGTCAAATGTTAAATTAATCAAAGGTTAACAATTTGAACAATGTGTAAATTTAGGCATGGTGCAAATTAGACCCATGAGGCACTTAAGGAATGAAATAGATGTTTTAATCTCAATGTTATTTTATTGATGTTATTTCTCCATCAAGACTTTAAAATTAAACAGCTATTGCTTTTTCATTTGAAGCTGTAAAGTTGGATTAATTGTGTAATTACATGAATATGATTGACATTAAGACAGTTTTTTTTTTTTTTTTTTTTGTCTTTGGTCTTGCTTCTTTTTCCTGTAGACGTCCAGCAGCTGGTGGTGATCAAAGAGGAACTTCCTACTGATAATTGGAGTGAAAGTCCAGACCAGAAGGACCAGAAGCCTCCCCAGATCAAAGTGGAGCAGGAGGAGAATGAGATCACTGAGTTTATATTTGATCCTGTTTCAATGAAGAGTGAGGATGATGAGGAGAAACCTCAGCTCTCAGAGCATCTTCACAACAAACCCACAGAGAACTCTGTTGGACCAGAACTAGATGAATGTTTTGAATCAGACAGTAAATATAAAACTTCTGGTTCAGAGACGGATGTCAGTGATGGGGACTGGGATAACAATGAATCTCAGTCAGGTTTGGACTCTGTGAGAAAAAGGAAAGTCTCTGAAGTTAATATGATATGTGATGCGGGAGAAAAGTTGCACAGTTGCGCTGAGTGTAAAAAAACATTTAACAGCAGATCATATTTAATAAGACACAACAGAATCCACACAGGAGAGAAACCGTTCAGCTGCTCCATCTGCAACAAAGCTTTTACATGGAAACACGGATTAGTCCAGCACATGAGCCTGCACAGTGAAGAGAAACCTTTTAGCTGCTCTGTCTGCGGTCAGATGTTCAGAAGAAAGGAAGACGTCACCTCCCATATGAGGCGGCACTCTGCAGAAAAGCCTTTTAGCTGCTCTGTTTGCGGGAAAACATTCAAAAGGAAGGAAAGCGTAACTTACCACATGAGACGTCACACTGAAAAAAAACCCTACAGCTGCTCTTTCTGCGACAAATCCTTTACTTTGGAAGTAACTTTAATGGAACACACCAGGATCCACACAGAGGAGAAACCATTTAGATGTTCCATCTGTAATGCAGCTTTTAAAAGGAGGTACACGTTAACAGAACACACCAGAACCCACACGAAGGAGAGGCCATACAGCTGCTCTATCTGCAGCCGAAGCTTTGCTCACAGGTCATATCTAACCGTTCACATGAGAGATCACGCAGAAGACAAACCTTACACCTGCTCTGTCTGTAACGCAGCTTTTAAGAGGAGGTACACCTTAACAGAACACACAAGGACCCACACCAGAGAGAGACCTTACAGCTGCTCGGACTGTGGCAGGAGCTTCATGCACTGTGTGAGTCTGAGGCGCCACATGAGAAGTCACTCAAGAGAAAAACCTCTTAGTTGCTCCATCTGTAAGGAAACGTTCAAATGGGAAAAAACTTTCCTGAGACACAAAAAAATCCACACACGGAAATAAATTTTCAGCTGCATACAGGTTTACTGGAAGTTTGTGCCTTGTCTGAGTAAAAGTAATTGACATTTTATTCTGCAGTTTGAGAAACCCATAAGTCACACAAGCACACACACAGTCACTAGATGTTTTCATTTTTTAAGAAAAGAGTAACTCTGTGCTGCATGTTTGCTCACAGTGATTGACTCAGAAGCTGCATCAGCTTGTTGGTGTGAATCTAGGGTGGTTAATGGTTCCTACAAAACTGAGAAAGATTCAGCTCTTCAGAATATCAAAAATTATTTTCAAGAGGCTCAAATAAACTTAAATCCCAGTTACTAACTGTAAGTATCTAACGCCTAAAGCTAAAATTGAGTTTCTTTTTATCCTGTTTTCAGTTTAGCTGTTAACTTTTCTGTTTGTTTGCAGCTAAGCTTCTGAGTTAGAACCAGCAACCTCGAGAAGAGAAATATCAAATTGAAAGTTACAATAGTTACAATAAATAAAAGGAATTTAATCACATGATTCATATGATGTGGAAGAAAAGTGTTTCCACTGCAGTTTTGTGAAATACATGAATTTTGATACGTCCAAAAAAACTTTATTGAAAAATGTTTTTTTCCAAAATTGGTGAGTTTCCATTAAGTACATTTATTTTGCATAACTTCAATTTCATAGTTAATGGAAAAGAAACTATTGACACTCAGCTGGAAAACTGTCAAGTCAGCAGCTTTTTCCGTGAATGTTTCGACCATTCATGGATTTTTGTTAATATTTTTTTCATTTGGAATATTTTAAATTGGAGAAGATGATTTTTGAGGGGTTTATTAGCTCTAAGTATTAATCATCACCATTCATAAATATAAACATCACTCTTTCCTTTTTGAATTGTTTTACTGAAAAACTTTTTGATGATTATTCTAAATGAGCTGCACCTCAACATTTTTCCAGTAAATATAATTCATGGTGATCCAGTGTAACTTTAACTGGACTATTGATGACACTTAAGACATGGCAATAAAAACATCTGAACCCATTTTACTGATGTGAGAATTATTTTAACTACATGAAAAATACACACCATTACATCCCTGCTGACTAGATATTTTATATATATCTATATATATTTCTTTTTTACATCTAGACAAATATCTGATCGAAAACATGCAAATGCTACAATTTTTCACTATTCTCATTTGGTTTTTAATTTTTGATCGACTCATGCACAGGCCTAAGGAGAATTTAGAAAAATCAAAGACAACCTGCTAACTCCATGGAGAAATACCTTGGACTGGGAATTGAACCCACAACCTTCTTGCTTTAAGAATTCAGTGCAACCAATTGTGTAAGTGGTGAAGTGGACAGAGGTACTTAAAAAGTACCAAAGATATATTAAGATTCTTTTTAAATTTGGTTGAAAACTAAATAAAGTAAAAAAAATAAAACATTTCTCAACCTGAGGAAACTTACAATGCTCAAGTCAGGTCCCTGCCAACATAAGTAAAAATATATATCAATATATTAGGAAATCATTGAAAAGTTCCTTTATCAGTGAAACATAATTTAGATTGCACATCGACTGATGTTTCCAAGTCTTTATGCAAGAGGATTACGGTCACTGAAACAAAAATAAATAAAAATTGTTTCCTCAGAATTCTGACTTCCTCTGACACACAAAAACAAAATCACCTGAATCTGACATTTTTGACACAACTCACGTTTCTGAAGTCAAAATTTAAAAAAGTAAAAATTTTAAGAAAAAATGTCAGAATTCTATGGAAAAAAGTTTAAGTATTATAATTATAAGTAAAGTTTTCCAATAAATAGAATTCTAAGAACTAAAAGTTCTAAGAAAGTCATATAGAAAAAAGTCCAAATTAATAGTCAAAATTCTTACAAAAGTTGCAATTGTAAGAAAAAAGTCAGTTTTAAGAACAAATAAGTAAATTCTGTGGAAAAAGCTAATTTCACAAACCTTAATCCTCTTCCATATTTATTTCTAATTATGTTGATTTTCTGCATACATCCCGTGAAAACAAATATTTAACATTACATCATTAAATCTCACCAATGCAAGAAAAAGAAAACATTTTAATCCAGAAAGATGGATTTTTTAACATGTAGCGCAACAGTTGTATACATTTGTGCAATAATTACAACACAATAATTGCAGTAGAAGTTATTTTCATAAATACTGATTCAGTTTCTGCTGTTATAAAACCAAGAGTGAATATGGGTTTGAAGTTTTTATTCATAATAAATTAATTTATTGTTGATAAATCAGAATCCTTGTGATAACTGTTCATCTTTGCCTCTTGTGTTTTTTTCAAACAAAATTGAAATTGTGAACCTTTGACCCCAGGCTGTACAGCCCAACAGTTATGTAGCTGTGTGGGTTTTTGTATGTTCAATAAGATCTTGTTTATCCCTAAACTTGGCCTTACAAAGCAAACATTGGAGAAGTTTGTCTGCACTGTGACAGCTCAGGTGGCAGGTGAGACTGGACTTACGGCCAAAGCTTTGCTCACATAGAGAGCAGCTGTAGGGTTTCTCTCCAGTGTGTGTCCTCATGTGTTCTGCTAGCGTGTATTTTCTTCTAAACGCTGCATTACAAACTGAACATTTGAATGGTCGCTCTCCTGTGTGGACTCGGTTGTGTCTCAACAGATCTGCCCGGTGGTTAAAAGTTTTACTGCACTCGGAGCAGCTGTGGAGCTTCTTGCCGCTCTTGCAGGCAGTTACGCTAACGGGGCTGTTCTGCAGAGAGTCTAAACCCGACTCTTTGTCGAAGGATGACTGTAAATGCTCATCCAGACTTGGCTTCAGGTTCTCAGAGTCTCTGCTCTCCTCAGCTTGGCTGAGATGAATTTGTGACGACAGAGATTTGTTTTGAACATCTCTGCTCTTCATCGGGATGGCAGGTAATCTGAGCTCTGTAATCTCAGTCTCCTCTTCTTCCTCCTTAATCTGTGGAGGGTTAGGCTGCTCCTGGACCACTTTGGGACTAGAGCTGCTCTCCTGATGTGAAGGCTCCACTTTAATCACCAACAACTGCTGGACACCTGCAGAAACAAGAAAAAGAAAAGAAGAAAATGGAAGAGTTTATTTTTAATTTTAACAACACATTTATTTTTTTTTAATGAATATACATTGACAACAGAATGTATTGCAAGAAAAAGGAAAAAAAGAAAGGCAGAAAGAACGAGTGAAAAGAAGAAAGAGAGATAGAAAAACCTGCATGGATCTTGGTGTGCTTCACAACGTCCTGGTTCCTCCTGAATGCAGCCTTACAGATGGTGCAGTTGAATGGTTTCTCTCCCGTGTGAATCCTGGTGTGCTCCATCAAGGCGTTCTTCAGTTTGAAAGCAGCCTTACAGATGGGACAACTGTAGGGTTTCTGTCCTGTGTGACACCTCATGTGACGGGTCAGGCTGATGCCATGACTGAAGCTCTGGCCACACATTGAGCATTGGTATGGTTTCTGTCCGGTGTGGCTCCTAGTGTGCTCCACAAGCGTATATTTTCGCTTGAAAGTGGCCTTGCAGAAAGAGCAGCTGAACGGCCTTTCATCGGTGTGGACTCTCCCGTGCGCCATTAGATTTCGTTTTGAAGTGAAAGCTTTGCTACAGATGGAACAGCTGTGAGGTTTTTCTTTAGTGTGGTAGCTCATGTGATACGTCAGACTCTCCTTTCGGCTGAACTTTTGTTCACAAACCAAGCAGCCAAAAGGTTTTTCCTCGGTGTGACACCTCATGTGACGAGTTACGTTTTCCCTCCTGCTGAACCTCTGGTCACAGAAAGAGCAACTGAAGGGTTTTTCTTCAGAGTGGCTTCTGTTGTGTCTTACCAGACATGGTCGGCTGTTGAAGGTTTTCCCACATTCAGAGCAGCTGTAGAACTTTTTCGCACTCATATTACCTAATGAAGGCCCACCGCGCTCTCTACAAGGTTCTGAAGCCTCTGGAGGTTTAAATGAGAGCGATTCTGGTCCAACAGGATTCCTGTTCTCAGACTGGATGTGATGAAGCTCCAAAGACTGAGAAAAGTCTTCCTCATCTTCATTTTCGACAGGGTTAAATACAAACTCTGTGACCTCAGCCTCATCCTGTTCCTCTTTAATCTGTGGGTCACTCTGCTGGACGTCTGTGGGAAACACAAACAATGAAAGGTTAAAGGAAGTAGACCTAAAGGCGCAGCAATCAGTTTGTAGTTATTTGGCAAAAATATATATCCACTATTTTACAAGTGAAAAAAATACACATGAACGACGGATGGATGTCATTCAGTTGTGTCTTCTGTAACATTGTTGCTGTTACATGCAGTCATCATATGAATGAATGACATTAAGTTATTTTATGTTGAATTTTAAAAACAATAATAGGATGCATAATCTTAACTTTATAGCTGTGCCTTTTTATTTGTCTGATTTTGTAAATTTGTCCTTACTTATTCTTTCTCTCTTTTTTTACCTTTGTGTAAAAACATGTATCTTATTCTGACTGGCTTCTGTTGCACCTGAATGTCGCCACTGGTGGGTGAATAAAAGATATTTACATTAGAAAAAGGGAACCTGCTGGCATCAGCCTGTCAATATTGGTGCAGTTTTGGGGGTGAATCTGGGTGAATGTGGCTCTTTAAACCGCTTTTAGTGTTCAGTATGATTACAAAAGCTATTTTTTACATTAAGATCCCAGATTTTAAAAAATGCTGAAGTTCTTTTTTATTATTATTTTAACTACACGAATCGCCTGACGATCATTTCAAAAATCTACAAGTATTGTTAGTCAAGTTAGTGTAATTTTCTAGTATTTCCAGAGACGTGTGTGATATTATTACCATCACGGCGCGTCGGTTCCTCCATTTCTGTTAATTGTCTTTTCTCCGACGCTGAGACTTTCTGAGACCTTTTCTCTCCCAAACCTCCATCAGAAAAACGATCTGTTCTTCATCAATGTGTCTGACTCACTGTTTACAGCTAGCAGGCTAGGCTAGGCTAACTACGCGCTTCTGCTGCTTCCGGGAGAAAATAAATAAGATACAACTAAACTTCGCGAAGAGGATAAAAACAACACAAACACATGATTAGTATATTTTCGGACACGCAAAAAAGGTTGTTCAACACCGATTAGCAAGACTTAATGAATTAGCTCCAATTTGTTTGCAGAGCACCGTCACTTCCGGAAGTGATTGAGTCCTTCAAAATAAAAGCTTGCGCGTCAACGGTATGTGCGCTGATAACGGCCTGCGTCAGATTAAAAGGGTCTTTCCAACAATAACTTATAAACGGTACTTTTAATTTAGCCCACATCTATTAAAATATTTTTTATGACGTATAGTTATAATTTTAAGGGCTGTATTTTTATTGGCTGTAAACAGTAGCGCCTCCAGAACATTTACAAGGGTTGGACAAATGGGTCAATATTTTAGGATGGCACACAATAATTCCAATAATAACAATAAAGAAAAGAATAATACATAATAACACACACATATGTATATATAAATATACATATAAATTCAATAAATTCAACAGGCTGGGAAGCTGTTGAATTTGAATCCTGTAAAGAAATTTCACCCTGTGACCTTCAGCCATTTGCTACTGGAACTTCATTGATAGAAATATTTTGACTGTGCCTTGAAGACTTCAAATCTGAACGTTTCATGTTTTTTAAAGTCAAATATGAGATTCAGAACACAAATGTTTATTGTAGGCTATATATTAATATATACAACTAAATCAGACATGACACATATAGCAGAGGTGATTTTCCTTTCTGCATTATTGATTTTTAATAACAAGAATTAATATGAGCTTGAACCCTGGAAGATCTCCAAACATCTCAGCAGATTTTCTTTAGCTGCAGAACAGTGAGTAAATTTCCGTTTTTTTTAAATGGCTCCAAATCACAACAATTTTAAGAGTTACATTCAGTCCAGAACAATTTAATTCATTGCAAATACAACAAAATTTTAATAACTAGATTTATGCACAAAATTTTTTACAATTGAACAACTTCTCTTCATATTTACTTTCAATGTTGCCTATAGACGTCAGGTTATTTAAAAAGCTGTTTTGCTAACAGACCAGTTGAAAGGTGTTCTTTGTTTTTCTCATTTCCAATGTCAGAGACCGACTGACGCTTTGCAGCTGAGAGGTTATATCGCAGGATGGATCTTTGTGTGATTCACAAAGGCATGTCTCCACCTGAATGTGGCCTGACAGGTGGAGCAGCTGTATGGTTTCTCTCCTGTGTGACACCTCATGTGGCGAGAAAGGCTTATATAGCGAACGTAGCTTTTACTGCACAGTGAACAGCTGTACGGTTTCTCTCCAGTGTGGGTTCTGATGTGCTCCTCTAAAGTGAGTTTCCGTTTGAACGTTGCTTTACAGGTGGGACAGCTGAACGGTTTCTCTTCTGCGTGAGCTCTTATATGAACAACTAGATAGGACCGGTACCGAAAGCTTTGGTTGCAGATCGAGCACTTATGGGGTCTCTCTCCAGTGTGTGTTCTGATGTGGTCTTTCAAGGTGTGTGCTCTCTTAAAAGATGTGTTACAGATGGAACAAGTGTAAGGTTTTTCCCCTGAGTGAACCTTTGTGTGTTCCATCAAATTCTTCTTAGAAGAAAAAGTTTTGTCACAGTCTGAGCAGCTAAAAGGTTTTTCTCCACTGTGGGATTTCATGTGTCGCACTAATCCGTTTTTCCATCTGAAAGCTCTGCTGCAGACGGAGCAGCTGAAGGGTTTCACTCCTGTGTGGATTCTCTGGTGTTCTGATAAATACCGTCTGCGAGTGAAGGTTTTACTACACTCAGAGCAGCTGAAACCACCAGAGGACTCACTATTGGTCACTAATTGTGTTTGAACACTCTCCTCCCACTTTCCATCACTAACGTCAGTCTCTGAATCAGAAGTTTTGTCTGCAGGATCTGATTCTAAACATTCATCTGGTTCCACAAAGTCTCTGTTCTTGGTTTTGCCATGATGAAGCTGAGCTTTCTCTTCAACATCTTCACTCTCCAGAGGACCAGGACTGAAACCTCTTTCACCAACAAGAACTTTTTTAATTTTCCCAGATCCAAAACCTGCCTTACTTTCACTGATCTCCTCCCCATTTTCATCACTGACGTCCATCTCTGAGGAATCTGAAGATGAACCAACACTTTTATCTTCAACATCTGATTCTACATATTGTTCTGGTTTTGGTCCAACAGAGTCTCTGTTCCCCTCAGTTTGGATGTGATGAAGATCTAAGAGCGGAGGTTTTTCTTCATCTTCACTCTTCACAGTGAGAGGATTGAATATAAACTTTATTATCTCATTCTGCTCCTGCTCCTCTTTAATCTGCAGAGGGTTCTTTTCCTCCTGATCCAGTCGGGGACTCCAGATCTCCTCCTCAGCAGGAAGCTCCTCTTTGATCACCACCACCTTCTGGACGTCTGCAAGAAACAAAACAAGTAACAGGAAACAGCTCTCAACCTCTGATTCCACAACTAACATAGGTTTGAAGTTCTGAAGAGGAGCTTTTGTTCCATCATGGTTAATTATATTACTGGTCAAACCGTCAATATGTCACCATTGGTTTCAATGCAGTATGATAATAGCAATATCCTGGTCACTTCTCGCAAAGGTAAATGCAGTTAAAGCTGCAGAGTGTAACTTTTATAAAAAATATTTTTAACATATAAGATAAGATGATTTATTAGTCTCCCATAGGAGAAATTCATCTTGGAAGAAGAGGTGAAACTGCAATACAATAAAAAGCCCATCCAAAAGGACAGTGAGCATGAAAAAATACATAAAAAAGAAAAAACATAAAAACAAAACAAAACAAAAAAATGTAAACAAGGCATATCTGTTGAAAAATTTGTCTTTGCTTTCTAGAAACGACCAATCAGAACCAGGAGGAGGGTCTTAGTGCTGTCAATCATCACCTGTGTGGTGCTGCTAATCTTCCTCTCCCTTGCACTCTGCCTGAGTCTGTACAGACTGTCATGACTATTAAGGCTAGTTAACATAGCCACTGATAATAGCAGTTTTTTTCTGAAACTGTAAGTTGTTTCTCCACCATTAGTAGATTGAGCACCAAGTACATGAGCTTGATTGACAGGACTAAGTCCCTCCTCCTGATTTTGATTGGTGGTTTTTGGTCAGGAGTGTTGGATTTCTTCAGATAGCAATAGATGCTCAGAAAGCAATTTATTATCTATCTCATGTCATACTGTCATGCCATGGTGACAAATATATAAAAAAATATTACATGCTGCAGCTTTAATTAACTTTTTTACACTAATAAAATAGATTTGTGGTATTATGTTTTATTTGTTTATTCAGAAGCAGTTGGGCTTAAAAATGGTCAAAGATTATTATTATTGTTTTTTGACATTATATTATGCTCCCGCCATTTATGTTTTGGGAGACTTCTGGGTCATTCCAACATTAAATCTGTCAATAATATTAGTACATTTCTTTGATAATAGGCTCCAAGTAAATCACTGATTTTGATTCATTTTAGAAACCAAGTCAATGTAAAAATGTGAGATTGTTTTTTTTTTCTAGTGATAGTAATGCTTTAAAATAGGATCTAAATCTGATTTAGTCATTTTTAATGCCTCATCAAACTGGATGCACACATTTGTAAATCAAAGTGTTATTACTTTATTTCATTTATGCATCCAGATGTAGGTTATCATCTTTTCTATTTGTACTGTTTACATTGGTGGCGTGCAAACGTTCAAAGAGCCGTAGAAGATAATCACCATCACAGTCAGAGTGCATCTGCTCACTCTGTGTCGTTTCCTCCATCTCTGCTTGTCGTATTTTTCCGAAGCTGACGTTTTCAAATAATCACAGCAGGAACTATTATCTCCGTAAACTCATTCAGAAACGGTCTGTTCTGTAACACTGTCTGTGTCAAGCTAACAGGCTAAGCTAACACTCGACGTTTCCGTTATTTCCGGGAGGAAAATTCAGCTCAAACAAAACTTCACAGAGAAGATGAAAAAGTAAATAAGATAAACAAGGCATAGTTAGGCTATTCCGACGATTGGTCCAACCCCGATTCACGAGAGACGCTAAATTAGCTGCACATTGTTTACATAGCTTCTGCAACTTCCGGTAGTGACTTAGCGCTTCAAAATAAAGGTTGCGAATAAATACGAACCTATGACAGATTTATGTCAGAATATAAGAGTTTGGGCAAGTTTAAAGAAAATGTAATGAGACAAAGTAAACATTCTCTAAGTCTTATTTAATAAATTATAATCTACAATTATATGAGGCTCATTTGTCAAACTAAAAATTAATTTTGAAAATAACCTTTACTCGGTTATATGTTTTATTAAGGCCACATTTCTCTAAAAATATATTTTTTTACTTACATTTAAAGAAGTAAAGGCTTAAAAACATCAATATCTATGTCATCAATCTATAGAATGTTTTCTAATTAGGGAATTAAGTTAAAGTAACTATATACACACACAGGTGTACATATAAAAAATTCCCTTCTCACCCACTGCGGGTGGTTCTTATCCTCTGAGCTCGGGTCCTCTACCAGAGGCCTGGGAGCTTGAGGGTTCTGCGCAGTATCTTGGCTGTGCCAAGGACTGCACATTTCTGGACTGAGATGTCTGATGTTGTTCCTGGGATCTGTTGTAGCCACTGCTCCAGTTTGGGGGTTACTGCCCCGAGGGCCCCGATGACCACAGGCACCACTGTGGTCTTCACCTTCCAGGCCCTCTCCAGTTCCTCCCTGAGGCCCTGGTATTTCTCCAGTTTCTCGTGCTCCTTTTTCCTGATGTTGCAATCACTTGGTATTGCTACATCTACCACAACGGCTTTCCTCTGATGTTTATCCACTACGACAATGTCTGGTTGGTTCGCCATTACCATTTTATCTGTCTGGATCTGGAATAAACACTTTCCAAACACGAGTACTTTCAAGTCGATGTAATGTATGCCTGCAACCACAGGTTGGCGGTAAAGCACCAGTTTTTGTTTTTATTTACCTTTAGTAGAACATTTTATTTCAGTTAAACCTATTTTATCAATCATTGTTTTGACTTATTTGATTTTAATTTGCTGTTTTTTTAAAAAATTTGACTAAAGTTATATCTGTGTTACAGATGTATTTAAAATATCGCATCTGTATTGTATGAAACTGCCAGCTCAGTTTCAGATGGAGACAAATTAACTTTTTTATGTCTACATTATATTTTAACAATAAAACATTCATAAAAACCGCCTCATCAGAAAATTCACAACTTAACCAATCAAGTTTATTTGAAGAGAACATTGCAGCAGCACAGCAGTCCAAAGTCATAAAAATACAAAAACCAAAATAAACACATCGTACAGCCAACAGTTTTGAAAACCAGAAACACACATAACATTTTTTCAAGTGCCATTGTTAAAATAATCCATCTCTCTTTCTTTAGTACTGATTTAAAGCAACGCTGTGTTTCGGCTGCTTTGTGGTTTTCTGCAAGTTTGTTCCAGCTCTGACGTGCATGGAACCTGAATGCTAGTTACTGCAATTTTTGAGTCTTTTATTCCTCAGTTTTTGGCTAAATGAACAAGTGCCATCCCTCTGAGTATTAGTATTATTCTCTCATCTGCCACTTAATACTTTAAATAACATTAGCAAGTTTCTATTGAACTGACCTATAGTGAGCAAACATTAATTTTTATCAAAAAATACTAATAATCGTAACAGTTGCTGAGTTTAAAATTTTCAGTTTTATTGACTCAAGTTGGCCCATTTTTATGCAGCCATGTAAGGTAAAATTGTTACATTTCTGTGTTTTGAGTTAGACAAAAAATGGTGGCGAGGTGGATAATGTTTGCGGAATCTTAAAGATCCACTGAGTCCAAAATGGTTAGGAACATTAAGTAAAACCATAACTTAAACTCTTCTATGAGCTTCTAGCTTTGATTAAAATCAACCGGGGAGTTAAAATAATCAACTCTGAACAGCAGCAATGTCAACTTTGGTAGAAGAAAAAAGTAAAATAAAACAGATTCATGATCAATAAATCACACAACCAAAAGAGGTCAACCCTGGGTTTCAACAGTATCAACATCAACATGGTTTAAAAGGTAAGTTGACACTGGCTTTTCAGCACAGCACACATGAACATTAAATACTCCCAACAATAAAAATACAGTATTTCAACTAAAAGATTAAAGAGCCCTGATTGTGTTTTGGGGATTGGACAAAAACACCCTGAGCAAGTAAAAGGTTATTTCACTGGATGGATCTTTGTGTGGGCCACGAATGCTTGTCTCCACCTGAATGTGGCCTGACAGGTGGAGCAGCTGTATGGTTTCTCTCCTGTGTGACACCTCATGTGGCGAGACAGGCTTATATAGCGGACATAGCTGTTACTGCACAGTGAACAGCTGTAAGGTTTCTCTCCAGTGTGGGTTCTGATGTGCTCCTCTAAAGTGAGTTTCCGTTTGAATGTTGCTTTACAGGTGGGACAGCTGAACGATTTTTCTTCTTTGTGATTTCTTACGTGAACGATTAGATAGGACCGGTACCTGAAGCTTTGGTTGCAGATCGAACATTTGTAAGGTTTCTCTCCAGTGTGGGTTGTTTTGTGTTCCTTTAAGGTGTGTGCTCTTTTAAAAGATGCATTACAGACAGAGCAGGTGTAAGGTTTTTCCCCTGAGTGAACCTTTGTGTGTTCCATTAAATTCTTATTCGAAGAAAAAGTTTTGTCACAGTCTGAGCAGCTAAAAGGTTTTTCTCCACTGTGGGATTTCATGTGTCGCACTAATCCATTTTTCCATCTGAAAGCTCTGCTGCAGACGGAGCAGCTGAAGGGTTTCACTCCTGTGTGGATTCTCTGGTGTTCTGATAAATACTGTCTGCGAGTGAAGGTTTTACTACATTCAGAGCAGCTGAAACGTCCACAGGACTCCCTATTGGTCATGGAGTTTAAACCTGACTGAGCTTCACTGCTCTCCTCCCAATTTCCATCACTGACATTCGTCTCCAAAGACTCTGAAGAAGAATCAGAAGTCTCATCTTCATCATCTGATTTTGAACATTCATTTGGTTCCACAGAGTTTTTGTTCTTTACTGTTTGGCTGTGATCTCCATCATCTTTAGTCTTTCCAGAAGCACCAAGCGTTTTATTTGACCCAGACCCCAAACCTGACTGAACTTCACAGCTCTCTTCCCAGTTGCCATCACTTACGTCCGTCTCTGAAGAATCTCTGTCTTTGCCATCTGATTTCAAACATTCATCTGGTTCTGGTTTCACAGAGTCTCTGTTTTTCTCATTTTGGTTGTGATGAAACTCTGAGAGCTGAGGTTTCTCATCATCCTCTTCACTCTTCACAGGAACAGGACTGAATGTCGACTGAGTGATCTCATTTTCCTCCTGCTCCTCTTTAATCTGTGGAGGTTTTTGGTCCTCCTGATCCTGACTCCAGTTCTCCTCGTCTTTAGTCTCCATCAGCTGCTGGACGTCTACAGGAAATACATGGTGGATTCAGTACAGAAAAATTGTACCTCAGTAAGAGGATCACTACTTAACCTCATTTGTCAAGTAAAAGTTAGACATCAGAGAAGTCACCATATTAACTGTAAAAAGTATTTTGTATAAAGGAAACTTGGGTATTAAATAACATCTGATTTAATATTTGAAAATAATGTTGTCATAGATATGCACAAATTCTGATATTTACAAGATAAAAAAAAAACATAATTACAAACAAATATGCAAAAGGTATAAATTCAAATTCAAAAATGCTTTATGGATTCCAAAAGTAAATTAAATGTAGCTGTAACTGAAATTAATTAAATTGTAGATAGTAAAGGCTGTTGGCAGGAGATGTCTCTTGTAGAGGTCTGTTTTGCAGCGAATCTGAAGAAGCCTCTGACTGAAGGTACCGTTTCTCTAATCAAATATTTTCAATATAAATTACTGGAACTAATACTTCCATTAAGTAATGTATATATGTTAAGTATTTCCATTGATAGTCTAAAGTTTTTAGTGCATCTTCATGACCTACGTAAGGCTCAGCAGATAAATAACGATGGAAAAACAAAGCTTGTGTACAAACAGGAGGTCTCACTGGTGCAGTTTCGTATCTGCACCATTATTGGTTAAAATGTTTATCTTTCATTAAGTGAAGTTACTTACAATGAGTATTCAGTGAGAGTAGTGATACTTCACAATAATAATACCCAAATAAAAGTAAAAAGTATGATTTAGTAAAACTACACAAAGAGTTCATTCACTGATTTGTTTTTACAAAATGTTTCTCAAATAAATGTAATTGAGCAAATATAACTATTTGCTAGCCACTTAAATTATTTTGCCTCACAAACACGTTCACTGCAGCTGATCTAATTTTGAAGATCTGAAGGAACTTTCACATCATTGCACAACCAAATTAAGGAAGTTGGGATATTTTCCTTTTGTCAGGCTCAACAACTCAGAGAACCTGACTAACCTGTGTGTACACTTTTTAAAATCTAGATTTTATAACGATTATTTTATCTATGCATCCAATTCCAAGTCGGGACTTCACAGTGAGCGTTACTTTATTTCAGTTTTACAGGTAACTCGTAGTTGTTGTTTTTAAGAATTAAACCAGTCATTGGCGGCATGTAAAGAGCGGCAAAGAAGAAAATCACCTTCACACTTCACGTCCGTCTCCTCGCTCTGGGTCGGTTCCGCCATCTCTTCTGCGTTTTCTCCAACGTCGAGACCTTCTGAGGTTTTCACGCCATCGAAGTTAAAACTTTTCTTAAACTCCTTTAGCCGTTTCCGGCTAACATGCTAAGCTAACACTCGACGCTGCCAGGACTTCCGGGAGGAATATTAACATTAAATATCTCTTATATTATCGGTGGAAAAGTTTGAATACCATAAAATGTTTATATTATACTCGAAAGACTACTAACTTGAAATTTTCACTTATTAAAAGAGGGGAAACGAAACGTTTATGACGGAGGTCATGTTGCTAGGAGGCAATCACTTCCGTTGGATTTCAGGTCGTACTGGACTTCAAAATAAAAGCTAGATCTGAATTAGAAATTAAAACTGAACACTTTCCATTTCACATAATGTTACATGGACCACCTATATGAGGCCGAGCCTAACGGGAATCAACATATAACATATGGAAAGGAGCGTTTTTTGACCCCAACTGCTTCTTTGATAAAGGCTAGTAATTATGACCTGTTTCAATTCAATTAATTTTTATCATCCAAAAGAAAAATTTAAGATTGTCTGAAATACCAAGCATCTTCATAGAGTTGATGTGGATGGTGATGCTTTGGGCAGAGAGGATCTCTGGTAGCCATCAGACTTGCAGCAAATCTGAAGAAGCCTCTGACTGAAGAAACTGTTGCTGAATAAGAGATTCATGACGGTCATGATGTGTTAACAGTTCCATTTCTCCACTGAGGAGACGATATTCCACAGTAACCTGGATGACACCACTTGTTTTCAAGTTGTGCTAATCCACTTTGTTTGCTTTTGCCACTTTTCTTTAAATGTCTGGCTCATTAGATGTTGAAGTTGGGGATCTGATCCTTGCTCATTATGACTGATGGGAGAAACAGCTTGAACTTCCTCTTCCTCTCTCTGCGGTCCTCCTCTGCATTCCTTTTCTACTCCTCGTGACTTATTGTTTTGATAATCGTCTAATTTCATTAGATGCAGCCACATTCATATCGCACAGATTCTCAACAAATGTTATCTTAATGCATTTAAAAAGCCCAAAAGGTCCAGTTCATATCTACTAATTTTTAAAGAAAGGTTGTCTACTGAACAAACTTTATTGGATTTTTTTTCAATATATTTAAAAACCTAAAATCCTAATGAGTAAATGCGCCACCAATAGTTTTTGTAATGAAACATTTGAATGGAACTGTTGAAATGTACACATGAACAGTATGATTAGTTTGACTTCAGAAGCAATGTGTTAGCATTAAGTTTAAATTAATAAAAACAGAAAACAAGAACTTGTAAAAAAAAAAAATTTCCTCTTTTCCTTTCACTTCACAAAGAAACATAAAACACGATTGGTGTTATTCTTTTAAATAAAATATTTTGTTTCGTTAATGCATACTTCACAACTTTGCTTCATTTCTCATAAGTGTCTTTGTACAAAGAAAGACAAAGACACTAAATTCAGGATTTAAAAAATAAATTGCTCAGTTTTCAATGATTCACTGCATCAAGAGTCTTCATTCTTTTCAGGACAAACTTGGAATCACTTCCCTCCAGTCCAATGAATCAGTTTATTTTGTTAGTGGTGTTTGTCTGTCCCACTGCTTCACTCCACTTCAACCAGTCTGTGGAGCTAAAAGGTTGCTCACCCGTGTGCGTTTTTGTGTGTTTCATGAATGCACTTTTCCACATGTATGATGCCTTACAGACGGAGCAGCTATACGGTTTTTCTCCTGTGTGACGTCTCATGTGACATGTTAGACTTAAACAATGAGCGAAGCTCTTACCACACACTGAGCAGCTGTAAGGTTTCTCTCCAGTGTGGGTTCTTGTGTGTTCCACTAAAGTGTGTCTCCTTTTGAAAGCCGCCTTACAGACCACGCAGCTGTAAGGTTTTTCTTCTGTATGACCTCTAATGTGAAAAGTTAGATGTGACCTACAGCTGAAACTTCGACCGCAGACCGAGCAGCTGAAAGGCTTCTCCCCAGTGTGCGTTCTTGTGTGTTCTACTAAAGTGTTTTTACTCTTAAAACCTGCATTACACACAGAACATATGTAAGGTCTTTCTTTTGCATGTGTTTTTGTGTGCTTTTGTAAATTTCCCTTGGAGGTAAAAGCTCTGCTACAGACAGGACAGCTGTAAGGCTTCTCTCCAGAGTGGATTCTTATATGTTCGATTAAATTGTTCTTTCTTTTAAAAGCTGCGTTACAGACAGGACATCTGTAAGGTCTATGCTGAGTGTGGACTTTTGAATGTTCTTTTAAAGTAGCTTTGGAAGTAAAAGCTTTGGTACAAACAAAGCAGCTGAAAGGTTTTTCTTCGCTGTGCGTCCTCATGTGTAAAGTCAGAGATTGTTTCCATGTAAAGGTTTTGTCACAGATAGAGCAGCTGTAGGGTTTTTCTCCAGTGTGGATTCTTTTGTGTTCTAACAAATATCGTCTGCGACTGAAAGTTTTACTGCACTCAGAGCAGCGATGTAACATTTTACTTTTCTCACAAACTGAATCTGCGTTATTGCTTCCAGACCCCAAACCTGACTGAGCTTCACTCCTGTCCTCCCAGTTTCCATCACTGACATCTGTCTCTGAAGAAGAATCAGAAGTTTTCTCTTCAACAGCTGATTCTAAATGTTGATCTGGTTCTGGTCCAACAAAGTCTTCGCTTTCCTCAGTTTGGTTGTGATGAAGCTCTGGAAGTTGAGGTTTCTCTTCATCATCTTCACTCTTCACAGCATTGAATATAAACGCAGTGATGTCATCCTCCTCCTGTTCCTCTTTAATCTGTGGAGACTTCTGGTCCTCCTGGTCTGGTCTGGGACTCCAGTTCTTCTCCTCTTTGATCACCATCAGATCCTGGACATCTGCAAAAAACCACAAAAGACACATCTCTCTTAAAATCAATGTGACAGTAAGGTAATGTAAAATTATATGTGAAAATGCATCAAAATGCAGGCATGAACTATTCTGATAACATGCAAAACTTGATCATCCTGGTGTTCACTTGAGACATAAAACTATTGTTCAAGATCAACGACCAGAATCACAAAGAACCAAGGCTTTATCATCACACATTGTGATACAACAATCCACAAGCACAACTTGGAGATTGAAGGTAAAACAGGCAGGACAATTAGTTCCTATTGTTGGTGCATTGATTCTCATATCACTACTGCTGTGCATGACCTCATGTGCAGCACAACAAAAATGTGCTTGATTTTAATGTCATAAACAGATGGGTGGATAATTTAACAAACTTCCATAAAACTGTATTTTTGTGTTTTAATAATTTAAGCACTTTGAATCGTCTGAAATGTTCTTCACACAGAAACATGATTTGTCTGTGTGGCTTTCAGTAAAATGTTAAAAAAAACAAACATTTTAATAAAGGTAATCACAGTCCATTTACTCACGATAAACTGCTTCCTCCATCTCTGTTAGTTGTCTTCTGAGATTTTTTAAAATAAAAATACAACAGAAACGTTTCTCTTCATAATCACAAGAGTCAGTCGGTTCTCCATCAAACTGCCTGTTTTCCTGTCTGCTTCCAGCTAACAAGCTAAGCTAAAACTACCGGCAGGAATTTCAGATAAAATTACAGAACTTAAAACTTCACAGTTGATGTAAAATCACCTCGGCTTTAAGAATACATTTAAATATTGTCGTAAAAACGACTTAAGTAACATTTTACACTGGAAAAGGAAACAAAATTCGGTCGCCTCGCTTCTGCTGCTAGCAGATAACTACTTCCGCTATACGTCAGATGATTTTCACCTTCAGAATAAAAGCTCGATCTGAACCGCAGGAGCTGCATTTAGTTATATTAATAAAAAAAAAAAAACTAGAAACTTAGTTTCTAGAGGTATCTTTGTTTGATTAAAGATACCTCTCGAAAATAACCTTTCAGGAAGTTTAAAACATGCTATTTAATAAACCCACATTTCTGTCTTAAAATGTTTGAATTGTTCTGAAAATTATAAAAGAAATAAATGTTGAAAACATAATTTTATGTTTATTTTTTCTATACAATGTTTTCTTTCTTCTGTGAATTAAATTACTGAAACAAATGAAACATGAAAAATAAAGTACTGAGTACAAAAACTAATCCTCTGCAGTTTAGAATGACCCGGTATAAGAAACAGTTAATTTCTTTTGGGAGCAATTATTCTTTAACTCTAAATTAAAGTTTTTATTCTAGACAAATGTGATTACATCTAAAGTTGTCAAAATTAAGGCAAAAAAAGAAACGAGGAAAAAAAGTCTGACAAAAAATTTAAATGACTTAATTGGGTCCTTTAAAGGAAAACAAATAAAAAAAACTTAAGTAGAGCTGTTTCAATTCATAAACAGCAGTTGCCTAATTTGAGGTTTTTGTCCTTCCAGGAGTGATTAAAAAAGGCCATTTTCTTTCCCTCTGTTCAGGGCTGACCATTATGTTCTTGATTTTACTTTAAAAATGACCTTACACTGGATCCAATTGAGTCAAGATTAAATTCAAACCAAGACAATCAAATCATATCATCATATTTAGTTCCAATTGCAATAAATGTTTTATAGTTACACAGCTTCTCTTCAGCTGGAGGTCCAGCATCTTCCTGGAAGGATTATTTCCTCTAAAGAAGTACTTTAGACAGAGAAGCTGAAAAATAAACAGCTCATTCTTCAAATCAGTCTGGCAGATGTTTTGACTGCAGTTTGTGCAACTGGAGGGTTTTCTTCCATATGTGTTCTTGCATTGTTCTTGAAGGTTTTTCCACGTGAACATCACTGTGCAGATGGAGCAGCTCTACGGTTTTTCTCCGGTGTGACGTCTAAGGTGACATTTTAGGCTCGTCAGATAAGCAAAGGTCTTTCCACAGACCAAGCAGCTGTAAGGCTTGTTTCTGGTATTACCACATATATGAGTAGACAGATGTGACCTACATTTGAAGTTTTGGCTGCAGACTGAACAGCTGAAAGGCCTTTCGCTATCATGAGTTATTGTGTGTTCTACTAAAATGTTTTCAGTTTTAAAATCTGCATTACAGACAGAACATGTGCAAAGTTTTTCCTCTGAATGTATTTTTGTGTGTTTTGTTAAATCAGTTTTTAAAGTAACAGCTTTGCTACAAACTGATTTTAAACACCAATCTGGTCCTGGTTCTACAAGGTCTCTGTTTTTCTCAGTTTGGCTGTGATGAAGCTCTGGGATCCGAGGTTTGTCTTCATCATCTTCACTTTTCACAGGAACTGGACTGAATTTTAACCCTGTGATCTCATTCTCTTCCTGCTCTTCTTTAATCTGTGGAGGTTTCTGGTTCTCCTGGTCTGGCTTGGGACTCCAGTTCTCTTCCTCTTTAATCCGCAACAGCTGCTGGACGTCTGCAGGAAACACAAAAACAAGCAAATTACAGGAAGTGGCTCTCATATCAAATGTCATATTGTTATAAGACTTGAGGGTATAGAAGGAGATGTTCTTAAAGATGCAGAAATTTACTATTCTGATTTGATTAACAAAATTTTACATAATCATACTGATGTTCACTTATGGCAAAATTCTAGAGAATAAAGAAGGTGGAATATTTGCAGCCTGAAATGTAAATAATAGTCTCTTAAGTCACTACACCCTTCAATATAAAAAAATATGCACCCATTTATTTATCCACTGCTTTTAATGAATTTAATCATTTTTAATTAAATAAAAATAATAGCTGTATACATGTGAGCAAAGCATCATAAGCCAGCAAAGAACAGTTCTCACTGTGACTTGAGTCCTTCCATTTGAGCCGATCAAAAGAATCGACTCGCTAGTGAACGGCGCATCAATATTTTTCATTCCTCTGATCACATAATTAATCCTGGAGTTGTTTTCTTTTAACCGATATTTTCAGGGTTTTTTGAGCGACCAACTTATTCATTATCATTTTTGTCCACAATCACTGATAAGCTGGCCGTGGCGTCACACTTTAAGCTGACGTCACAGAAAAATGAACGGTCGCTTACGTGCAGTACCTTGCGGACCCCTAGGGGGCACAACACGATTATGGTCAGAAAGCGAATGGGGGATATTCGCCTTGCAGAGAGGAATTCATGACTCCTTATTACTGTAAATGATCAAGTCCCAGCACTACTGTTAGTGAAATGTTAAAGAACCGATTGACCAGAAGATGATCACCAAACTGAGAGTGCAGCTGCTCACCTTGTGTTGAGTCCTCCATCTTTGGCAGCTCCCTTTTCTCCAACGCTGGCTTTCTGAGGTTTTCACAAAATTACAACAAACGTTTCTCTTCTTAAACACAAACAACCTGCTGGACTCACTGTTTTCCTGTCGGCTAGTAGCTACAGGCTAAGCTAACTCTACTGGAAGGAAATTAAGACTAAAGTACAAAAAAAATCTTTATAAACAATTCAAAACCGCCTCCGAAAACCAACTGAACGTTGTTAATTGTTCGCCTTAGGTTTGATGCTAGGAGACAACTACTTCCGCTATTCGTCACATTGGGCTTCAAAATAAAAGCTCGATTTGAGCCGCACTTTAACACAAGAACTGCATTTAACTATATTCAAGATGAAAGTAAAATATATATTATTTACTTTGATAAAATGACAAAAACAGTAACGCTCAGTGACTTTAAGATAACTACAGTATTGAAAATATCAACATGTCATATCACTCATTACAAAAACAAGAGGTTGATTTAGTAAATTTATCACTGCAGCTTGGCACACACTGGAATGAAATAGAGACAAACAGGGTAATTAGACACGTCACAGAAAATGACAGCATGAAAATAAACAAAAGCTAAATGAATCAAGATAACCACTGAATAGACTATATGTGCTGCCTTCACGATATTAAATAATGCAGTGCTCAACTAACATCAGAGAAAAAGATTTTAAAAATATTTAAATGTAGACTACACTATGTACACTCCCTGTGCTAGATCTTTAATCTTTTTCTCAGAGTTATGATCTTTACTTACCCGAGGAGACCCCGAGTCATCATCATGCTGACGGCCTCTAATGTCTCCTCTCTGACTTTACTCTTTCTATTGTGGTAATAAAGATTTATTTTAAAATATGTGGAAGCCAACAGTGTACAACAGAGTTCTTGACCCAATCTGAGCAAAAACAAAATTACATGAATAAAATCGTGTGAGAATAAATTCAGAGAATAGTTATAATGTAGCATCCAGTCAATTGTGAGGACAGAACTGAAGGTTAAATTATTTATTGAAATCATTCATCAACCAACACAAAGGCTAGAAAAGAATAAGTAATCTTTACAATTGTTTCTCTCTCTGTTGTTATTAGTATCTCATTACATTAGTGGAATTATTTCAATTAACACAGCAATAACAGATTGTTCTTAAAACATCTCAAATTATTCAAACTACAAAGTTACTGACATTATTCCTTATCGACTGAAACAAAAACTGAGTTTCCTTTTATCCTTTTTCTGTTTTGCAGTTAACTTTTTCAGATTCTGTTTACTTATGATTTCCTTTATTAAACCATTATTTCACCATGTAAAACCTCATTTTCAATAGGTACGGCTATCTGGCTATTTTGCCAAAATTATCAAAATAAAAGCACATAACCTTAACAGTAGTTACAATGAACACTTCACTCAGCTAGTTTTTACACATATTCTTGTGTGGCTCCTGAATGTGTGTCTCCACTTGAATGTTGCCTTACAGACGGAGCAGCTGTTAGGTTTATCTCCAGTGTGGGTTCTCATATGGTTCCTGAATGTGTGTCTCCACTTGAATGTTACATTACAGATAAAACAGCTGTAAGGTTTCTCTCCAGTGTGGGTTCTTGTGTGTTCCACTAAAGTGTGTTTCCTTGTGAAAGCCGCCTTACAGACCACACAGCTGTAAGGTTTTTCTTCTGTATGACCTCTAATGTGAAAAGTTAGATCTGACCTACAGCTGAAGCTTCGGCCACAGACCGAGCAGCTGAAAGTCTTCTCCCCAGTGTGCGTTCTTGTGTGGTCTACTAAAGTGTTTTTACTCTTAAAACCTGCATTACACACAGAACATATGTAAGGTCTTTCTTTTGCATGTGTTTTTGTGTGCTTTTGTAAATTTCCCTTGGAGGTAAAAGCTCTGCTACAGACAGGACAGCTGTAAGGCTTCTCTCCAGAGTGGATTCTTATATGTTCGATTAAATTGTTCTTTCTTTTAAAAGCTGCGTTACAGACAGGACATCTGTAAGGTCTATGCTGAGTGTGGACTTTTGAATGTTCTTTTAAAGTAGCTTTGGAAGTAAAAGCTTTGGTACAAACAAAGCAGCTGAAAGGTTTTTCTTCGCTGTGCGTCCTCATGTGTAAAGTCAGAGATTGTTTCCATGTAAAGGTTTTGTCACAGATAGAGCAGCTGTAGGGTTTTTCTCCAGTGTGGATTCTTTTGTGTTCTAACAAATATCGTCTGCGACTGAAAGTTTTACTGCACTCAGAGCAGCGATGTAACATTTTACTTTTCTCACAAACTGAATCTGCGTTATTGGTTCCAGACCCCAAACCTGACTGAGCTTCACTGCTGTCCTCCCAGTTTCCATCACTGACATCTGTCTCTGAAGAAGAATCAGAAGTTTTCTCTTCAACATCTGATTCTAAATGTTGATCTGGTTCTGGTCCAACAAAGTCTTCGCTTTCCTCAGTTTGGTTGTGATGAAGTTCTGGAAGTTGAGGTTTCTCTTCATCATCTTCACTCTTCACAGGATTGAATATATACGCAGTGATGTCATCCTCCTCCTGTTCCTCTTTAATTTGTGGAGGCTTCTGGTCCTCCTGGTCTGGTCTGGGACTCCAGTTCTTCTCCTCTTTGATCACCATCAGATCCTGGACATCTGCAAAAAACCACAAAAGACACATCTCTCTTAAAATCAATGTGACAGTAAGGTAATGTAAAATTATATGTGAAAATGCATCAAAATGCAGGCATGAACTATTCTGATAACATGCAAAACTTGATCATCCTGGTGTTCACTTGAGACATAAAACTATTGTTCAAGATCAACGACCAGAATCACAAAGAACCAAGGCTTTATCATCACACATTGTGATACAACAATCCACAAGCACAACTTGGAGATTGAAGGTAAAACAGGCAGGAAAATTAGCTCCAATTGTTGGTGCATTGATTCTCATATCACTACTGCTGTGCATGACCTCATGTGCAGCACAACAAAAATGTGCTTGATTTTAATGTCATAAACAGATGGGTGGATAATTTAACAAACTTCCATAAAACTGTAAAACCCTGAAACACAGAATTCCTTTATGGAGGCTAAAACATGTTTAGTTGTTTTTCATCATCTATAACACTTTCGTTTGTGTTCAAACCTCTCTTTACTTAGCTAAATTATGTCAAGGTAATGTACTTATTTTTGTGTTTTAATAATTTAAGCACTTTGAATCGTCTTGTTGCTGAAATGTTCTTCACACAGAAACATGATTTGTCTGTGTGGCTTTCAGTAAAATGTAAAAAAAAAAAAACATTTTAATAGAGGTAATCACAGTCCATCTACTCACGATAAACTGCTTCCTCCATCTCTGTTAGTTGTGTTCTGAGATTTTTTAAAATAAAAACAAAACAGAAACGTTTCTCTTCATAATCACAAGAGTCAGTCGGTTCTCCATCAAACTGACTGTTTTCCTGTCTGCTTCCAGCTAACAAGCTAAGCTAAACCTACCGACAGAAATTTCAGATAAAACTACAGAACTTAAAACTTCACAGTTGATGTGAAATCACCTCGGCTTTAAGGATACATTTAAATATTGTCGTAAAAACGACTTAAGTAACATTTTACACTGGAAAAGGAAACAAAATTCGGTCGCCTCGCTTCTGCTGCTAGCAGACAACTACTTCCGCTATACGTCAGATAATTTTCACCTTCAGAATAAAAGCTCGATCTGAACCGCAGGAGCTGCATTTAGTTATATTAATAAAAAAAAAACTAGAAACTTAGTTTCTAGATGTATCTTCGTTTGATTAAAGATACCTCTCAAAAATAACCTTTAAGGAAGTTTAAAACATGCTATTTAATAAACCCTGTCTTAAAATGTTTGAATTGTTCTGAAAATTATAAAAGAAATAAATGTTGAAAACATAATTTTATGTTTATTTTTTCTATACAATGTTTTCTTTCTTCTGTGAATTAAATTACTGAAAGAAATGAAACATGAAAAATGAACTACTGAGTACAAAAACTAATCCTCTGCAGTTTAGAATGACCCGGTATAAGAAACAGTTAATTTCTTTTGGGAGCAATTATTCTTTAACTCTAAATTAAAGTTTTTATTCTAGACAAATGTGATTACATCTGAAGTTGTCAAAATTAAGGCAAAAAAAAGAAAGGAGGAAAAACGTCTGACAAAAAATGTAAAGGACTTAATTGGGTCCTTTAAAAGAAAACAAATAAGAAAAACTTAAGTAGAGCTGTTTCAATTCATAAACAGCAGTTGCCTAATTTGAGGTTTTTGTCCTTCCAGGAGTGATTAAAAAAAGGCCATTTTCTTTCCCTCTGTTCAGGGCTGACCATTATGTTCTTGATTTTACTTTAAAAATGACCTTACACTGGATCCAATTGAATCAAGATTAAATTCAAACCAAGACAATCAAATCATATCATCATATTTAGTTCCAATTGCAATAAATGTTTTATAGTTATACGGCTTCTCTTCAACTGGAGGTCCAGCATCTTCCTGGGAGGATTATTTCTTCTAAAGAAATACTTTAGACAGAGAAGCTGAAAAATAAACAGCTCATTCTTCAAATCAGTCTGGCATATGTTTTGACTGCAGTTTGTGCAACTGGAGGGTTTTCTTCCATATGTGTTCCAATCTAAGCAAAAACAAAATTACAAGAATAAAATGATGTGAGAATAAGTTCAGAGAATAGTTATAATGTAGCATCCAGTCAATTGTGAGGCCAGAACTGAAGGTTAAATTATTTATTGAAATCATTCATCAACCAGAACAAGTAATCTTTACAATTGTTTCTCTCTCTGTTGTTATTAGTATCTCATTACATTAGTGGAATTATTTCAATTAACAGATTGTTCTTTAAACATCTCAAATTATTCAAACTACAAAGTTACTGACATTATTCCTTATCGACTGAAACAAAAACTGAGTTTCCTTTTATCCTTTTTCTGTTTTGCAGTTAACCTTTTCAGGTTTTGTTTACTTACGATTTCCTTTATTTATGTTTAAATCTTTAACCATGTTTTACACTTTAACCATGTTTTACATGGTTAAAGATTTATTTAACCATGCAAAACCTCATTTTCAATAGGTACAGCTATCTGGCTATTTTGCCAAATTATCAAAATAAAAGCACATAACCTTAACAGTAGTTACAATGAACACTTCACTCAGCTAGTCTTTACACATATTCTTGTGTGGCTCCTGAATGTGTGTCTCCACTTGAATGTTGCCTTACAGACAGAGCAGCTGTAAGGTTTCTCTCCAGTGTGGGTTCTCATATGGTTCCTGAATGTGTGTCTCCACTTGAATGTTACCTTACAGATAGAACAGCTGTAAGGTTTCTCTCCAGTGTGGGTTCTTGTGTGCAACACTAAGCTGTTTTTGAACAGGAACTCCGCTTTACAGACAGAGCAACTGTGTCGTTTTTCTCCTTTATGACGGCTCATGTGAGTCGACAGATAGGACTTACACTTGAAGCGTTGGCCACAGAGCGAGCAGCAATGAGGGGCTTCGTTTGAGTGGGTTTTTGTGTGTTCTCCTAAATGCCTTTTCGTTTTGAATCCTGCATTACACACAGAACATATGTAAGGTCTTTTCTCTGTGTGCATGGTGTGGTGTTTCTGTAAGTTTCCTTGAGTATTAAAAGCTCTGTTACAGATGGAGCAGTTGTAAGGTTTCTCTCCAGTGTGGTTTCTTGTGTGGCTCACTAAACCTCGTTTCCTGTAGAAAGCTGCTTTACAAACAGAACAGCTGAAAGGTTTTTCTCCAGTATGGAGTCTTGTATGTTCCACTAAACTACTTTTCCTTGCAAAAGCCACATTACACACAGAGCAACTGAAAGGTTTTTCTCCAGTATGGGTTTTTGTGTGCTCCACTAAACTGTTTTTCCTCAGAAAAGACGCCTTACAGACAGAGCAACTGAAAGGTTTTTCTCCAGTGTGGGTCATTGTGTGCATCTCAAAACTATATTTTCTGTGAAAAGCCGCCTTACAGACAGAACAGCAATAAGGTTTTTCTTCAGAGTGACAGCTCATATGAGCAGATAGATTTGACCTGTACTTGAAACTTCGACTGCAGACTGAGCAGGGGTAAGGTCTTTCCCTACTGTGAGTTATTTTGTGTTTATTTAGTTTTCCTTTTGAAAGAAAGTTTTTGTCACAGACAGAGCAACTAAACGGTTTTTCTCCAGTGTGGATTCTGTTGTGTTCTAACAAATGCTGTCTACAGATGAACGTTTTACTGCATTCACAGCAGCGATGTAACTTTTTACCTTTCTCACAAACTGGATCTGTGTTATTGGTTCCAGACCCCAAACCTGCCTGAGCGTCACTGCTCTCTTCCCAGTTTCCATCACTGACGTCCGTCTCCGAGGACTCTGAACAAGAATTAGAAGTTTCATCTTCAACATCTGATTCTAAATGTTTTTCTGATTCTGGTCCAACAAGGTCTCTGTTTTCCTTGGTTTGGTTGTGATGAAGGTCTGGGAGCTGAGGTTTCTCTTCCTCATCATCACTTTTCACAGGAAGCGGATTAAATATGAACTCAGTGATCTCTTTCTCCTCCTGTTCGTCTTTAACCTGTGGAGGCTTCTGGTCCTCCTGGTCTGATTTCCACTTCTCCTCCTCTTTAATCACTATTAGCTGATGTACATCTGCAAGAAACAAATAAAAACAAAAAACAGACAAGTTACAGAAAATGGCTCTCATATAAATTGTTATATTGACATATGGCTTAAGGGTGGAGCAGGAAATGTATTTAAAGATGCTTAAATATGCAGACCTGGACTATTCTAACTTGATTAACAAGATGTAAAACTAAATTATCCTGATGTTCCCTAGTGACAAAATTCAGGAGAACATGGAAGGTCAAACTTAAAAGTATGTGAATGAAGCACCAGAGAAGTTTCATGTGTGCATCAGATGCCATGAGATAGTCACTTCAACAAAGCAATATGCTGCTAACTGAAAGACACTTGCCTTTCAGTTAGCAAAGGCAAATGGGGGAGAGCAGCCTGGAGCTGAGACTGTAGTTGCAGCTGGTATTCCTGCCAGCGCCACTGTTAGGAATATCTCCTTCAGCTACACTAAGCTTCCTTCATTCCTTGGAAATTCCCTCACTGAACTACTATGCTGTGTCTGGGCAAGGGGAAATTAGGCTGGTGTAAACAAGTTAAGTGTTTTATTGTGCAATTTTGCATTGTTGATGTTTAAAGCTGTTCCAAATGAAGCTCATGATTCATTCCAATAAGTTGTTTAATCAGCAATACTTTGGAAACATGAGCTCTTTCCTTCACCATCTTACCACTAAGCAACTGAAAATATTCCTAACAACAAGCTAAGTGTCTTGTTTTCTCAATGGCTAAAACATAATGAAGCTAAGGAAGCTATTGAAGCTAAAGCTAGCTCAGTGAACCCGCAATCTGAAATAGCTTACATGGCACTCAAGCAGATGATAAACAGCTCTATATCATGACTTATAAATCATTGAAGGGCTGGGCAGATTCATAGGACAAATCAAAATGTGGCAATGGAATAACTTCTCTCACCTAAGCAGAAACAAAATGGAAGTAATTATATTTAGATCTAAAGAGGGATGACCAAGAGTCAACCTGCAGCTTTAAGGTCTGACATCTAGTGATGGACGTGAACTTTGAGAGAAGCATGAAGACAATTACAAAGTGAGCCTGAAGGACATTTTAAAGACTAATATAAAAACGAGACCTAAACAAACTCATCCATGTATTTGCCTTTAGTCGCATTAATTACTACCACAGCTTCTTCACAGATTTAATGTCAGACAGCTGGAGCTGATCCAGAACGCTGCTGCTGGTGTTCTGACTAAAACCAGTAAGATGGAGCACATAACACCAGTCCCTACACCGGCTCTCTGTAGCTCAGAGAATAGACTTTAGAATACATTTCCTAGTGTATAAAACACAGAATAGGTTTGCACTAAAATGCATTAAAGATCTGCTGCTGTTGTCATAGCAACCTTCCAGCCCTCTCAGGTCTTCTGGTTCTGCTCTGCATCCCCAGAACCAGAACCAAACATGGAGAAGCAGCATTCAGCTTCTATGTTTCTCTAATATGGAACAAACATACAAAAATGTAAGACTGATGAATTTTTAAAACTTGGGCTAAACACCTATTTGTTTTCAGTTGTTTTCAACTGATTTATCTAAAACTCATACTGTATTTTAGTATGTATTACAGATTTTCTTTGCTTTCCTTTATAATGCCACTCCTTTTTATGATTTCATCACTTAAATCTCTTTTAATTGTCTTGTAGCTGAAATATGCTCCACAAATAAAATGCCCGGTCTGTGTCGTTGTTAGTAAAATGTTAGACGGAAGCAGCAGAAGATAATCACCATCAAACTGCAAGCCCCTCTACTCACCATGTGCTGGTTCCTCCATCTTTGATAGCTTTCTTCTTCCCAACTTCGAGGTCGTCTCCAGACGTGGAGGTCTGTTGTGGTTTTCAGAAAACCACAACAGAAACTTTTCTCTCCTTAGACGTCAGAAACAGCCTGTTCTCCATGAAAATAGCTATTTCCGTTTAGCTAACAGGATAAGCTATCTGAAAAAAAGACAGATAAGAATAATGTAACCAATAAAAACAAAAACACTTAATAAGCAATAAAAACCTCAGTGATTCCGCTGAAAAACCGACTGAATTGGCACATTGGAAGGACAAAAGGAAACAAAACTTAGCTTTTGCTGCTACCAGACAACAACTTCCGCTATTCGTCGGGTCACATCGGCCTTCAAAATAAAAGCTCGACTTGAACGGCTCTTTAAAGCTACAAAGGAACTGCATGTAATTCTATTCAATAAATTTGACTATGCGTCGCCATATTCAAAGTATTGTTTTTAATGCGCTGATTCAATATATTCATCTTAAATACCACATTTTAATGAGCTGTAAGAAAAAATGCTAAAAAAAAGACATAAATAAAAGCTTGAAAACTTGTCATCTATCCAACCTGTTTCATTCTGTGAGGTTACTCAAATAAACTTCTTAGTAATATTCAAAGTACTAAGTGACCAATAATGACACAATAAAGTAGTAGGCAAATTTTATTTATTTAGCAATTCCCATACATAAGTAGGCTACCTATAGCCTAACATGGATGTTTTTGGACTGTGTAAGAAACCAGAGTACCCAGAGAGAACCCACACAGACAGGAAGAACTAATCACCTGGCCTGGATTCAAATCAAGGTACCGACGACCCCAACATGAAGTAAGCATTTCATTTATTCAGCCCATTTCTTACAGAAGCATAAGTTTACACATAATGTCACAGGTAAATACTTTTATTTAAAAACGTACTAAACTGGCCACACTCCACTAAACTAACTTAAAGATGAAATAATGGTGAAAAGTATAACTACCAAAAAGTAAAACAAAATTATACATAAGAGTAGAAGACTGTATATTTATTATATCCAGGGCAGACCTCCCTTCGCCAGCGAAGTAGAGGAGGAAGTTACATATAGTCTTCCTGATGTCGGCGAGATGCTGAAAAGAAACCACTGTGAGATTAATAGTCATTATTTAGGTCTTTGTTTCCTGTAGTGCAGTCCTTGGTGGCTGGAGGACCAAAAACAATCTGTTGTTGTGTAACAGTCTCATGAAGAGGATGCTTTGGGTTGTCTGTAATTTTCTTGTTTTTATAAGGAATCCTTCTTAAACTGGGTCTAATTGGGTCAAGATTAAATTCAAACCAATCCACTTTATCCCGAGACAATCATGTAATATTACATGATTGTCTTCGCTTTTCGCAGGAACTGGACTGAATATTAACTTGATCTCATTCTCCTCCTCCTCCTCTTTAATCTGTGGAGGTTTCTCGTCCTCCTGATCCAGGATGGGATTGAATTTATCCTCCTTTTTCATCACCAACAGCTGCTGGACGTCTGCAGGAAACACAAGAATAGACCAGTTACACAAAACGGCTTTCGAATGAAATGTCACAGTAAGGTAGGGCGATGGTCACCAACTTGTTTGATCAGACTTTATTTACATCTTCATTGTTATTTAGATTTTTCACAACTTCTTGCATTGCTAGTCATTGAACTGCATCATCTACTTGGTTCTTGATTCACTGATTGCTTGTATAAAGTTGTTTGAACACTTGAAATGTGTTTTGAAGTTGTGATTGAGTAAGGTGTTTTGGGTAATTTCCTCATGGAACATCCGGATGTGTTGGTGTTTCAGACTCAAGATTTGATCTAATTTCTCCATCCCAAGTTATTCTCATGGATAAACACCTTATAAAATATATTGTCTACTGTCACACATAACTTTTTGGAAAATATTTGTTTTTGACAGAGTTTTGCTTGTCGTATAGGCTCGCTAGCTTAGTTAGCTTAGCATCAAAACCAGCAGGTAGTCAAGGCTCCTTTGCCAGCGTGTAGCCAACAAAGCAAAAGAAAGCAAAAGATGTTAATTCAATGTTGAATTATGGTCAAAAAGATTTATTTTTTTTATCAACCATCAAACAATCACCTAATTCTAGATAATTAACTGATGTTGAAAAGATGTAATTGAATCAATGTGATTTGTGGTCAAATTCTAGTGATAGAAATGTAATTAAAGCACTTGTTTGTTTGTGTCGTCCTCAAGGCCGTTACTCTGAATTTTTAGATCACATCTCAGATTTAAAAAAAAAATTGATAAGGTCAATATTCTGTGAGATTTTAGCATTTAAGTTGTACAGTTTTGTTTGAGTGATAGCCTAAGTATTCATGCAATCTTGGACTCAATTGCCTTTATTAAAAGTGTTCATAGCCCTAACTAAGAATGTCGTCCCACTTATACCTTGTGCTTACATGGCTTTGTGTGAAATAAATAGCAGTGCCTCCCCAAAACACTGTATTTTCTGACAAATAATAAATTGAGCTTATTTTAACTGAGTAAACCAAACTTGAGATAAATTTTCACTACGCGTTAAACAAGCTATATAGAGTATATTCCATGTTTAATTTCCTTAGAGAAATGCAGCAGAGCGCAGCAATTTAACAAACTGATCCCTTCACAAATTTATGCTCTTGCTCATAGTATTATTTCTTCACTGTTATAAGACATTGTGGCCCCGTTAAGAACAGGTAATTATCGACAGAAGACTTACTCCTCTGATCTGGAGCAAATGTACAGAAAATTGAAAAACTGCTGAAACACTGAGTTAATTTAAATCAAGGTTGTTTTTTTTACAGGTTTGTAAAATATTCTATTTATAATATTGATGCTTAATTTTAGTCTGTATTCCAACTTCTCTTTAGTTCCCTTTATTACGCCACTATAATGGCTCTTTTGTCTTCATCATTAAAGCAATTTGAATAGTCTTCCTTATGAAATGTGTTTCACAAACTAATATGTCTGGTTGCAGTAAAATGCTAAAGAACAAAAGTAGCAGGAGATAATCACAATAAAACCGAGTCTTTTTTTTTTAAAATTCAGCCCACATTTCTGCTCTAAAATGTTTTTATGGTCTGGTGAGATAATATCTTAAATTTTGGATTAGCTGTAAGCTGTAAGAAATAAATGCTTGAAAAAAATTCTGTCTTAGATTCATCTATGTAATGATGAATTTAAAGTCAATTATTTGAATTTTCCTCTTAAACTGTAACCCACTTCCTCCATTATTTTTATTATAGTCAGTTCTGATTACAGACACTAATGTAATTAAGTTACTCAAACACACTTAATATTCTAATTTACTGAATTGATGTAACTAATAAACCAATATACGTAAATGAGAGGAATCAGCATCATCAAAACCAGCAGGCAGTTTCTTTTTAAAATTAACAGAGCATATTTTAAGCTGTTACCAGATAACATATTTGTATTTCATTGTGCCAGAATGTTTTTTTTTCTCATCCTGGTGACAAATACTTTACTCAGGATTCACTCATCTTTTTTCTGTTACACCTGACATAAGGGGGCCTCCAGTCACTCCAGTGGAAATTGGAGGAGAGGAGAAGTTCACAGCAAACACAACAATTTTCTACTAAGGGCAACTTAAAGAAATCAATTCACCTAACATGAATGTTATTGGTCACTTGGAGGAAACTGTAGTACTCCGAGAGAACCCACACAGACAGGAAGAAATGCAAAATAAACAACTCGCCAGGTTTCAAAGCCAGGAGTAAATTTGTTTTACTTAGAAATTTTTATACATCGAGCAGAAATTCAAAATAATGTGTCTGAAAATACATAACACTGTCCTTTTGAAGTAATTGTGAAAGTTACTGATGATTTGATCACAGTTTGTATAATTGTTAGTTATTCATACTTATGGTATCTTGAGTGTTTCTTTAATGTGTTTCTCCACTTGAACTTCTTCTTACAGACCGAACAGCTGAAAGGTTTCTCTCCAGAATGGATTCTTGTGTGTTCTACTAAAGTGTGTTTCTTCAAGAAAGCTCTCTTACAAACAGAGCAGATGTAAGGTTTCTCCTCACCATGGATTCGTTTATGTTCCATTAAACCACGTCTCCTCTTGAAAGCTGCCTCACAGATAGAGCAGGTGTGAGGTTTTTCTTCAGAATGACTTTTCATGTGAGCAGTTAAATATGACGTACGGCGGAAGCTTCGACTGCAGACCGTACAGCTGAACGGCTTCTCCTCTTTGTGGATTTTTGTGTGTCCTACTAATGCGTTTTTACTTTTAAAATCTGCACTACAGACAGCACATATGTAAGGTCTTTTCTTTGTGTGAATAATCATGTGTTGTTTTAAGTTTCCCTCAAAAGCAAATGTTTTGCTACAAATGGAGCAACTGTGGGGTTTCTCTCCCGTGTGAATTATTAAATGTTGTCTTAAATTGTTCTTCCTTTTAAAAGCTGCATTACAGATGGAACATTTGAAAGGTCTATCCTGAGAGTGAACTTTTGTGTGATCTATTAAATTAGTTTTTGAAGGAAAAGATTTGTTACAAACTGAACAGTGGTAAAGATTGTCTCCAGTGTGGATTCTTCTGTGTTCTAACAAATTGCCTCTGTGGATAAATATTTTCCTACACTGAGAGCAGCGGTGCAGCTTTCTGCCTTTCTCACAAACTGGATCTGTGTTATTGGTTCCAGACTCCAAACCAGACTGAGCTTCACTGCTCTTCTCCCAGCTTCCATCACTGATGTCCGTCTCTGAGGTCTCTGACGAAGAATCAGAAGTATCTTCAGTACCAGATTCTACATTTTGATCTGGTTTTGGTCCAACAAGTTTTCTGTTTTCCTTGGTTTGGTTGTGATGAAGCTCTAGGAGCTTCTTTTCATCATCTTCACTTTTCACAGGAAGTGGATGGAATATAAACTTGATGATCTCATTATCCTCCTGTTCCTCTTTAATCTGCAGAGGGTTCTGGTCCTCCTGGTCTGGTCTCGGACTCCACTTCTCCTCCTTTTTGATCTCCAACAGTTGCTGGACGTCTGCAGGACACAGAAAGTCAGTGTTTGGCAAACTGGCAGTGTCACATGCCGTGCTTCCATTAATCAAATGATTTCTCAGGTTAAATTTGGTTATGGGAAAATCCCCAATTTCGAAAAAGCTAATTTTTCAATCAAATGTTTTCTCTTTTTTTTTGGACGAGATGATTATTTTGGCCATATTAGAATCGATTTATTTTGCAAAACTGCAATGGAAACACTTTATGTCACACGATCAACAACTGGATGTTGCCACTGGAACAAATCATAAAGAAGAAGATAACAGGAAGTAGATGAAGGATTTCAACATAATATGTTTTTTAATCACATCACGTGAACAAATTTATTCATGTCTGATTTTAAATTGCGTCTCTTATTTAATGGAAACACAGCTATTGTGAAATTGTGTTTTTTTTTTTTTACATTAGTGAAACATCAAAGTTTTGCACACATCTGTAATTATTCTACAGCTAATTCCCAAATTCTTAAAAAAAAATTCCGTCTAATTTAAATGTTTTGCTTCTTCCCTACTCTTTTGTTCATAATGGAGCTGACTTACGTCTGGACAGGTCTGGTTTCATTTTTATTATCTATACGGAGACGAAGTGAACGCCATGTTACTGTTGCTCACAGGACTTTGAGAAAAACTATAAGTGGAGGGCTACTTTAATTCTGATGTCAGTTTCTTTTTTGAGTAAAGCACTTCCATCAGATGACAGTTTGAACTGTTATCTGATATTGGTATTTATTGCTAATCAAAGTGGTTTGAGGTCACAAACATCATGAGTGTATGTATACAAACCTGCTCTAAAGTCGTAAGGAGACTTTAAAAACATATTAATATTCAACTAACACATTCATACCTTTAAATTGATTGAATATGAAACACTAAATTAAAATTCATTTAAAGGTACAGTATGTAACTTTTTCAACAAATATTTTTTCACACTTGATAAAATTCTCATCATGTCGGTAAAGTTCACTTTATAAGACAGATAATCTGTAAAAAATTTGAGCTTCTCTGGCTTTCCCCAAAGCCAGGAGTAGGGTCTTTCCACTGTCAATCACCCTCATGCAAATTCGCTCCCTGTTATGCTGCGGCTGATTCACAATAACTGATTCTGCCGATGAAGGTGGATAAACTACACGTTTAAGTTGTTTCTCTGCCATTAGTACATTTGGTAGTGCAGATATGAGGATGATTGACAGCACTAAGACCCTCCTACTGGCTCTGGTTCCTTGTTTCGACCAAGAGTGGTGCATTTCTTCAATCGTAGCTCTGGGAGGTGGAAGAGATAAATCATTTTACAAATTATCTGTCTCATGCCCAACTGTGACAACATGGTGATATTTTAAACAAATATGTCCAGAACATATATATTTTTAAAAGTTACATGCTGCAGCTTTAAGGGCTAAACACAGTGGGTCTGACTTACATTGATAAATATTGTTTATTTATGAAGTCATTATGATATGGACTGTGTTGAAACTTTCCTTTCCTTTCCTTTAGCATGCCAGTGAATTTTTTGTTTTCATCACGGACTTTCAGTGGTCTTGTTGTGCTAGACAAATCAACTTGCCTTGCCCTGGATCGTTACTGGTTCCGTTTTAAAAAACGTTGAAACAGAAGATAATGACCGTCAAACCGACAGTCCATCTACTCACTGTGTAGCGGTTCCTCCATCTCTCAGCTTCTTTCCTCCAACGCAGAAGCCTTGAACTCGCTGCATCCAGCTAGCATGCTAAGCTAACACACCAGGGACGAAATTAAGGACGAACTTCAGTAAAACAGAACTTCACAATTAACGTAAGATCTCAGTGGCTTTAAGGAGACGTATATAAATACCCGGACAGCTGACTGAACACGAACAGTTCACACTGAATAGGAAAATTAAAGTTTTTGTCCACCTATCGTTTGCTGCTAGGAGACAACTACTTCCGCTATTCATCGGATCTTATTAGCCTCCAAAATAAAAGCTCAATTTGAGGCGCAATTAATAGCTACGTATGAGTTGCATCCAATACAATAATATAAATTAGAAGATGCGTTCCTATCCGACTCATTTCGTAGATTAGTTAACTTTTTGAAAATAACAGCCTTTAAGCAAGTGCTAAACATACTTTGTGTTAAGTCTACATTTCTGTATTGACATGTTTTTCAGTGTGATGTAAATATTCTCATCTTATTGCTTTCATGAGCTTCAAGCAAAAATCAGTATAAATAACAGAATATAGAAAGTAACCTGACATGGATGCTTCTGGACTGTGGGAGGAAATTAGAGTATCTAGAGGAAACCAGACAGGGAGAACTAAAGACTTGACCGATAGTCAAATCCAGAAACTTCTTCCTGCCAAGGACCAATGCCATCAAAGACACCATCATGATGTTTGCACATTTCATTTATTCAGCCCTTTGCACACAAAGCAGAAGCTTACACAAATTCTAGTTAGAGAACACAGCTCGAAATACAGTAACACAAGCATAAAAATAATACCACAGAGTAAAAAAAAAAACTCACCAGCATATTGAAGAAAAACAATACCTCTGCGGTAATAAAAAGGTCTGGGATTGATATAATAAATCTCAACTGAAGACACCTTGTTATTGTACAACTCTTGTAAAGAAGGTGCTCTGGTTGTGATTATCTTGATTTTAACTGGACCTAATTATGTTGAATTTTATGCAAACCACTGCTCTCCTCCCAGTTTTCATCACTGCCATTTTTCTCTGAGGACATTAAAGAATCAAAAGTTTTCTCTAAGTACATTTTTGTGTGCTTTTTAAAATTAGCTTTTGAAATAAAGGTTTTGTCATAAGTAGAGCATCTGAAAGGTTTTTCTTCACTGTGCTTCTTCAGGTGTCGTGTCAAAGATTGTCTCCATGTAAAGGTTTGGTCACAGATAGAACAGCTGTAGCGTTTCTCTCCAGTGTGGATTCTCATATGTTGTATTAAATTGCTCTTCCTTTTAAAAGCCGACTTACAAGTCTGACATTTGAAAGGTCTATGCAGATTGTGGACTTTTGCGTGATCGTTACAGTTTCCTTTAGAAGTAAAAGTTTTACCACAAACAGAGCAGCTGAAAGGTTTTTCGTCATTGTGCGTCCTCATGTGCAGTGTCAAAGACTTTTTCCATGTAAATGTTTTGTCACAGACAGAGCAACTAAATGGTTGTTCTCCAGTGTGGATCCTGTCGTGTTCTACCAAATATAATAAACAGCTGAACATTTTCTTACACTTAAAGCAACAGTGCAACTTTTTACCTTTCCCTTTCTTATACACTGGATCTGTGTTATTCTTCCCAGACTCCAAAGCTGACTGAGGTTCAGTGCTCTCCCCACAGTTTTCATCACTGCCATCTTTCTCTGACAACTTTAAAAAATCAAAAGTTTTCTCATTGTGTATTTTTGTGTGCTTTTTCAAATTAGCTTTTGAAATAAAGGTTTCATCACAAGCACAGCATCTGAAATGTTTTTCTTCTCTGTGCTTCTTCATGTGTCGTATCAAACAATTTCTCCATGTAAAGGTTTGGTCACAGACAGAACAGCTGTAACGTTTCTCTCCAGTGTGGATTCTCATATGTTCTACTAAATTGCTCTTCCTTTTAAAAGCTGCATAACAGACTAGACATTTGAAAGGCCTATGTAGAGTGTGGACTTTTGTGTGATTTTTAAAGTTTGCTTTAGAAATAAAAGTTTTACTACATACGGAGCAGCCGGAAGGTTTCTCTTCAATCTTTTTCTCTTCACTGTGCATCCTCATGTGCAGTGTCAAAGATAGTTTCCGTGTAAATGTTTCATCACAAACGGAGCATCTGAAAAGTTTTTCTTCACTATTATGCTTCTTCATGTGCAGTGTCAAAGATGATTTCCATGTAAAGGTTTTGTCACAGTTGGAGCAACTAAATGGTTTTTCTCCCGTGTGGATTATGTTGTGTTTTAACAAATATTGTCTACAACTAAATGTTTTATTGCACTTAGAGCAGCAATTTAACTTTCTACCTTTCTTATACACTGGATCTGTGTTATTCTTCCCAGACTCCAAAGCTGACTGAGGTTCACTGCTATCCCCCCAGTTTTTATCACTGCCATCTTTCTCTGATGACTTTAAAAAATCTAAAGTTTTCTCTTTGTGTATTTTTGTGTGCTTTTTTAGATTAGCTTTTGAAATAAAAGTTTCATCACAAGCAGAGCATGTGAAAAGTTTTTCTTCTCTATGCTTCTTCATGTGGTTTGTCAAAGATTGTCTCCATCTAAAGGTTTGGTCACAGATAGAACAACTGTAAAGTTTCTCTACAGTGTGGATAGTCATATGTTGTATTAAATTGCTCTTCCTTTTAAAAGCCGAGTTACAAGTCTGACATTTGAAAGGCCTGTGCAGATTGTGGACTTTTGCGTGATCATTACAGTTTCCTTTAGAAGCAAAAGTTTTTCCACAAACAGAGCAGCTGAAAGGTTTTTCGTCATTGTGCCTCCTCATGTGCAGTGTCAAAGATCGCTTCCGTGTAAAGGTTTTTTTACAAACAGAACATCTGAAAAGTTTTTCTTCGCTGTGCTTCTGCAGGTGTTGTATACAAGATCCTCTCCATGTAAAGGTTTGGCCACAGACAGAGCAGCTATAACGTTTCTCTCCAGTGTGGATTCTCGTATGTTCTTTTAAATTGCTTTTCCATTTAAAAGCTGCATTACAAGTCAGACATTTGAAAGGTCTATGCATAGTGTGGACTTTTGCATGATTTTTAAAGTTTGCTTTAGAAGCAAAAGTTTTACCACAAACAGAGCAGCCGAAAGGTTTTTTGTCATTGTGCCTCCTCATGTGCAGTGTCAAAGACTTTTTCCGTGTAAAGGTTTTGTCACAGACAGAGCAACTAAATGGTTTTTCTCCAGTGTGGATCCTGTTGTGTTCTAACAAATGCTGTCTACAGCTAAATATTTTACTACATTCAGAGCAGCGGTGTAACTTTTTACCTTTCTCACAAACTGGATCTGTGTTATTGGTTACAGACCACAAATCTGCCTGAGCTTCACTGCTCTCCTCCCAGTTTCCATCACTGATATCCGTCTCCGAGGACTCTGAACAAGAATCAGAAGTTTTATCTTCGCCATTTGGTTCAGAAAAGTCTCCGTTTTTCTTGGTTTGGCTGTGATGAAGCTCTGAGAGCTGAGGTTTCTCTTCCTCATCTTCACTTTTCACAGGAACTGGTTTGAATATTAACTCAGTGATCTTTTTCTCCTCCTTTTCCTCTTTAATCTGTGGAGACTTCTGGTCCTCCTGGTCTGGTCTGGGACTCCAGTTCTCCTCCTCTTTGATCCCAGTCAGCTGATGGACGTCTGCAGGAAACAGAAACAGACAAGTTACAGAACACGGCTCTCGTATGAAATGTCATAGTAATGAACCAAACATGGAGTAGCAGCATTCAGCTTCTATGCACCACAAATTTGGAACAAACTTTCAGAAAACTGCAAAACAGCCAAAACACTGAGTTCCTTTAAATCTAGACTAAAAACCCAGCTGTTTAGAGTCACTTTTGAAACATAAACACTAATCAATAATCTAATGTGTAATGATGAGAAAATGTCATGTCTGTGTTTTCTATGACTTTGTATTTTTGTTTATTATGTAAAGCACTCTGAAATGCCTTGTTGCAAAAAAGAAAAACTTTTTTAAGCCACAGATCCCTGAACTTTGTCCTGAACCAAGGTAACATCTGCCAGTTAACACTGAACGTGAAAAACAAAAATATATTTATTCAATACAAATTTTAACTGTTAGAACACAGAATTAGCATGTTTGATTGCATCTTATTTACATCCTCATCATTATTCGTCAGAGCTTCTCGCAATGCTGGTCATTTAGCTACATTATCTATTTCATGTTAATGTAGATGCTCAGCTTTCAGAAATTACTGTGGTTTTCTGTGAGGATAAACTTATCTGGTTTAGTAAAAAGTGATTGAAGGTATGCGTCCGCTCTTGTCTTCCCTGTTTGAAGGTTTAGTATTATTGTTTTGTTCTTGTCTTATATATTCTGGTTCTTGGATTGCAATTTCAGATTTTACATTTATACTTGTGATGTGACTGAATAATTATGATAACTCTTCAGTTGTACAGGGCATCATGGATCATAAGAGCATAAAAACTGCCCTGGCTTGAATACTACAAAATGTGTTTTAGATGGAAATAGTAATATAATTACTAAGTTTATGAGTTCACTCAAATGTAAAGTAATTAGAAAACAAGACGAGACTAGAGAGGCAACAGTAGTAGCAATGAAAACAAAAGCTCTTGGCAGTTTGCAACTTTTACTAAACAGCCTGTTTATTCTTAATATTTTTCAGAAAATAAATTCTGTTTAAAAGTTGTAATGGGATCACTAACAATCAGTTGGTAACAAGATTAAATGTATTTGTACCGGGACCATGCTCTATGTTGGTGTCACTGCAAAAACTGGGTTGATCTGGTGACTTGTGCAATATATTATCTTTCCCCCTTTTCCTCTGGTTCCTAAAATAAAGAGAAGTGAAGTAAGATTTTATGTGGATAAACATTTTAACTACATTTACATTTTCTACAGAGCTTGTACCAATGCACATTAAACTATAGCAAAGGAGCAGAGGGGAAAAAACAGCAAAATAAGAGTAAAGAGAGGTCCAAATGAATTATTTTTACCCTTTCATCTTTGCTCCACATCTCTAAATGTGTTGAGTGGACATAAATACAGAAGGCACAAAATCTGTATTTTGGCAGTCCAGTGATGCGTCCCCTGTAAATAAAACACACCAGTTTATTAGCAACCAGCCAACATTATATGTCCAAATTTAACAGCACTTAGACTTTCCATCCAATTGCTCGACTTATGATTAATTTGTTCCACTACAACATAAAGTGGATGAAACATGGAAACGATAATGATGTGATATATGAAGCTTTAAACTGAATAGATAAATGATTCTTAGTCTGTTTTTATTGAAACAATGGCTGGATAAAAAGGAAAACTGGAAAAAATGAGATGAGAGGGTTGTCCAGAAACTTCGTTTCCAAGATTAGGGGGGTCTGGACCCCGTTGACCTCCCCCGGGATTTACGCCTATGTTAGAAACTTAGATTCATAGTTTTAAATCTAAGTTTCACACCTGATGTGCTTATCTGATCAGAGACAGCTCACCGGCAGGGGGCGCCCAAGAGCCTGTAACTGTCCCGGCTGTTTATATTTAAAACAGCTGTTTATATTTAAAACAGCTGTAAATGTGCAAAGCTCTATACTTTACAAAAGCTGTTAACAGAGGAACAGTTTCACATGAATGTTGCTAAAAATAATAAATAATGAACTCAGGCTTTTAGAAACAGAAATAATAAATATATTTTCAATTTGATCATAGAATAATTTAATTTAATAATGCTAAAAGTTGTTAACATTTTTTTATTGTGCTCTGTTTCATGCGGTGTCTCTGATGTGAGATTATTCCATCTGCTACAGAAAATTAGCTTTCATAGAGCGCAGATGTTGTCAGGAAAGAATCAACAGGTTTACTGAAGTTGGAATGAAACATTTTTTGTCCTTGCTAATATTCCAAGGGATTCTCCAGTCCCCAAATATTACTGTATGTTTGTGTTGAAAAATGACTCAGGTGACCTTGATCCACCATGTAGCAGGGTTTTATAATGCATCAGCAAAGATGAGGTATTCTTCATAGCCTGTTGTTTCAAACTGTTCTTTAAAAAAACAGAAACTAAAACATAGGATCTGCTGTGTTTATTATAAGTTATCATTTATGTTTAGTACGAGCAAATCTTTGATTTAGCAGATTAAAATGTCGCCAAATGAGGAAAAATTGGGTTCATTGAAATACAAAAATATCATAAAACAATAAAATGTGAGGAGGGAAAATACTAAATATCTGCTCATTTCAATACACAAACAGATGAACCAGTTCCTCAATTAAAACTATTTTTTCTGGATTCCTCGACGCATCACTAGTAGATTGTGGGTCTACGCTTCACAAACAACTGTTGAGCGCAGCCAGAGTTTCTAGTGAATTAAAAGAATATTCATATAACCTCACCTGATATTAAATGGGTCCCACAGACCCGAGCTTTCCTCGTGGTTTTCTCGGTCCAATCCACCCGATTGATAGGCTGAAACCACAGCCTCCTCCGAGGGCTCTGGAGCGGCCGGTTTCCCCCCGGATGCGTTAAACTTTTATCCCGTCCGGCCAAAACCGGTTCGAACAGCCGTAAACGCAACAACCCGACATTTTGAGTTCGTTGGTGGTACTTTTCACCGTTAAGTACTTTTGTTGTTTTTGAAAATTACCGGGGATATACTTCCGTTGCTCCACGATGCGTGCGCAACTTCTTGCTAACGTACGCTGGAAATACGTCATAATGACCTTCAAAATTAAAGCACGATTTGAACCGCACTTTAAAATATTTAATATAATAGAAATATTGTCGCCACAGTCGGGAAATTAAGTTGTTGAGGCGTGTAGGTTTACCCACCCACAAAAAATATTACAAACATTAAAAAAAACACACACACACACAAAAAAAATTAAGAATAGCTTATTACTAACTTAAACATAATGGGCAGTTATCAAAAACAAAGTACTCAAAGGATTATGCCAATATAACGCCATTTCTTAAATTAACAACTGTAAGCAAGCTCTAAACATAATTATTATTAAGCCTTCATTTCTGTAATAACATTTCTAAAGCTTTTATAATAATATTCTCAAATTACATGTTATGTTTTCATGAGCTGTAAGCAGAAAATCATCACAATTAACAGAAATAAAAGCTTGAAAACATTGGAAGGTGTAGTTCATCAATATGTTTCATCCTGTGAATTAGATAATAAAGAAAGATTAGATACAGGTCTGTAACATCTTGATCAACAGAAAGTTTCTTCAGTACAGGTTTAATTACAGTTTCTTAAAAGCTTGTGGTACATATGTTCACTAAGAATAAATTAATCAGATTTATTCAAAGGTAACTTCTTTAAGAGGTGGTGGGGTGTATTTTCCAGACACAGTTGCATTTTATTCCAGAATCAAGTAATTATGTTACCTTCAGTTGCTATAAAAATTCTGCATATAAAAAATTAAATGACACTTTGCAATAGTGGCCTCTGTTTGTGAAAGAGGCCACAAACACACTTGAGCCTCTGTCTCTTTAAGAAGTTCCTACTCTTTCCGACACTCCACCTGCAGGAAGTCATCACAACAATGCTCCTCCGTTATGCTGGATAAAATTTAAGAGCGTTGGACGGAGATCAGATGATGAGCTCAGCAGAGTGAGGTTCCATCAGGAGTTTGGTAACTGCTGCTGCCGCTAGTCTGGATGAGCTGAGTGGGGAAGGAACAGGGGAAGGATGCTCTGTGGAGTGGAAGCTTGGAGTTACCACATGGGTTAACACCGAGGCTTTGAATAACTGGAAACCAGTTCCTCTAAATCTCCAGGTAGCGAATCAGATGAGATGCAGGTGCATAGAAATTCACCTGCAGAAAATCAGTCCTGCAGCTTTCCACTGCTCCACCTTTAGATCTCCCCCTGGTGGAGATCTAAAGTATGGATGCTGGAAGAAGAGTAGCCACACACACACACACACACACGCACACGCACGCACACACACACACACACACACACACACACACACACGTACGCACACATGCACACACACACACACACACACACACACACACACACACACACACACACACACACACACACACACACACACACACACAGTGGATTCCTGGCAGCTTACTAAATGTTTATTCAAGTTTTACAACACTTTCATTCTTTGAGAAGCCAACTAAACTTTGCATTTAAAATTTATATTACTTTCAACTTCCGTATAAATTTTGCTTATGAACAAAGTGACAGTGTTCACACACAGATACGCTGATACATAAAAGTTAATATTTAATTAATACAGACCCGTCAGTCGGTCAAAAATTTGATAAACAAACTTTTTGACACAGACATCATTGTACTTCAGTTTGGATGTGACATTAATATGAATATACTCAAATTATTGGACCAAACTGATGGAGAAATGATTCTTCACTGCATTGAAGAAGTTTTGTTGCTGTATTGACAGATGAAACATTGTTTATATGCTCTTTTATTTTTATTATATGATTAATTTAATGATTTTTTGTTAAAACGTAAACTACTTACAGCTTATTGTTGAAAAGAGAAAAAAAATTCTTTCTGGTTTTCATGCCTTCATCAAATAATTTCCTGGTCAATATGCAAATATATTGGTGCCACCGTCTGATGACTGGAATTGGTAACCATGAAAGTGAAACAAGTTAATAAAGTTTCCTGCAGCTTTTTGTAGTTTCCATTTAGATTCCATTTGATTCAAAGTTTAAAAACTACAAACTAAATTAAATTATAAGTGCATAACCTGTTTTGTTGTTAACACTGAAAATAATAATTCAGTTCCTCAATGTTGTGAAATAATGTTGAGTTACTATATCTGAAGACTTGCAGAAATAAAAGAGAAACACAAAATGGAGTTTGTCTGTTAAATAATTATGTTTGTGTTTTTGTAGGTTCTCAACCTTGTTTGCTTGTTTTGTTTTCCATATTTGCCAAAGTAAGAGCAATTTCACTTTGAGTCCAGTCTGATGTCAGTTTTACTTTCATTTTTTCTTACTGTTTAAATAATATTCAGGTTTGCTGTTTTTGTTTTTTAGGATCTCCACAATATAGAAAAACATTGGTGCATAAAATACTGTTGCACAAAAGTACTCACTCCTAACAATGTTTTCTACAGTAGATCCATTTCTAATGGTCCTAATTACATCAAATTCACATTAGATATGAGTAAAAATCAAAAGAAATACATAGAGAAAGAAAGGAAACAAATTAGCCAGTAGACCAAAGTGTGTGTGATAAGGTAGAATTAAAATCTGACAAAATGAAGTTGCAAAATGGTAGAAAGTCCAGGAATCTTTCTCTATACCCAAGTGTTTAGAAATCTTCCCATTGTCAATGCAAATGAGTATCAGCTAAAACGTATATCGCTAACTGATGGCCAATAAAGCACCCAACTTTAATCCAAATGGAAATCAGGAAACTGCAGATTTAGATTGAAAATGACTTTAATTGATCCAGTTAGTTTGTTTCTTAAATGGTGCAGCCATCTCTGAATAAGGAAGCAATAAAACAGTTTATCTTTTAACAATTCTTCAGATCATTTATTCTGGTATGAGCAGAGAAATCGCCATGGTGACATCCTGGTTTTTATCCAACAGTCAGTTATGAACAAGTTTTATCCAAAAGTCAGACGTTTCAAGACACATCTTTACTTTTAAGTTTTGATGTTGTTTTTTACAATTACAGTTTGTGTCAGTTTACAGTTTGAACTAAATCAATACAAAGAATTACAAAACAAATATAAATATTATGGAGATAAAATATAATCGTAAAATATTGTCAAAATAGCCGTTAACCTGTAAAACGCAGCACCAAAATCTCTCACCAGCTTGGATTCTAAAACACCGTAATTCTACCTTCATCTCTATGTAAAAGTGCGCGCACACACACACACACACACACACACACACACACACACACACACACACACACACACATATACTTTTGCTTCATATTCTAAACAAAACTTGAACTTCAGTGGAATATGGATTTGCATAAGACTTCTGGAAACAAGGGATTCTTATCTAAAACAAGGAAGAGAATATTACAAAAATACAGGGATGTGAAAAGGTGTTTTCCCCGATCCCGAGTTTATTTTTTTGTTTATCGTCCAGCAGCATTCAGGTGTGGGTGTGTTTATGAGAGGAGGAAAAGGAGCTTCATAAAATCCAAACTCCTGGTTGTCGCTTTCACATTTTGGACACAAACAGCAAATTCTCATCAGAAAGGTACGTTTATGAGAAACCCAAGAATTAACTAGATTATTTATGTGTTTTCATTAATCCTGTATGTAGAAAACATTCATTTGTTTTAAGTAAGGCATTGTTTTTTTGTTTTGTAAAACTAAATTCAACATTCTATTTGTAATAACAGTTTTGCTGTAATTTAAATTCTGCCAATTGAGGAACAAACAAAATAAATAGTTTTGAAAATTCCTCAAAGTTTCCATAAGATTTAATAAGTTCAGAGTTGAAGTTATACTGTGAGGATATTTGACTACCAAAGTAACATGATACAGACAGTGATGTCATGAAGTTTGACAGTGTGAAATCAGTGGCTTATAGCTATGAAACCTTTTCTTCATAAGTAATTTTACTTCTATCTTAAATTAGAAACAACGTTTCCTTTGTTAATCTTAATCTCATCTTTTATATGTTACAGACGATGAAGCATCTGATTTATCTCTCACTGCTGCTGCGTAAGTTTTTAAATAATCCAATGCTGAACATGCATTTATATTATTTTTACTAACTAATTTATGCGTCTATTTTCTGTAGAATCTCAGTTTCTCCATTTGTTTACTGCAGTGACTACGATCCTGAACCAATGGAAATTAAGCATTTTGTTTGCTGTATTGTTTTCTGTTGTTTCCGGCAGCCCTGCTGATCTGTGGAAATACAAAGAGCAAGAGAAAACGACTTCAGTCATGAAAGTAACTGCACTCTTAATGGATCACCCACAATATTGACAATTAAATGCAACAACAAGGCTTGGGAGCTTCAGTGCAGTGGAGATAATGATCATCTGAATATGTCCTTCAGATGTTCTAAAAACACAGATTCATTTCAGTTTATACTCTCACGTTCAGGTTTGTTCCTTCAGTGTCCTGCAAAATTTTCTTTGATGTTTTTGAGCTGCTAAATAGGAAAATTACTCTATAATGTATAACCAACAGTTCTACATTATAGAACTGTTGGTTATACATTATAGAGTATAACCAACAGTTATACTCTAACTGTAAGAGCGTTCAGTTATAAATGCGATTTATAACTGAAATCGCATTTTTATGAGAAATAAAGTTTGGATACACACGTCAAAGAATAGGTTTCTGAACTTTTTCAAAGTTCAGATATGTCCTTAACAACTTTCTGTGATTTTGATTTTCAGAAAACCGTTGCTTGAACATGAATTGCAAAAATCTTTTAAAAGATTCTGAAAAATCCCCCTGTAATAACAAGTAAGTTCTGTATCTGTGATCTCTAAGCTGTGGTCTGGGGTCAGTTTGACCTACAGAACAATTTGTGCCTCCAAAGTTTCCCAAGTGCATTTGGTTTACTAGCCCAGGCGGTTCAAGCAAATACAATCTAAAAGATGACAATTGGGATTTCCACTAAGATGAGCTCTTCCAAAATAGATGGAGACAAAGATATAAATCACAAATTGCTAATCTTTTATTAAACATGTTTTGCATTTAAATAAATCTAATTTTAGATAAAATTTGTGCCTTGTATTACTTTTCTTTTTATAGTTTTGGCCACTGTGGCAAAAATGTTTGGACATCTCTGTGTAATATAAACTAATATTTACACAATTGTTTTTGATCTTGTTTCAAGAAAATATTTTTCTTCCACAGTCAGATCTCCATTTCTTCACAAACTGATCGATCTTATAAGATAAGCTACATGATTCTAAATGTGAATTTTTCACTGTTCAAACGGGTAAGTATTTCAAAGTGTTGAAATTGTCCTGCAACTCTTAAATTAGTATCTTTTGAAAAACAAAGTGATCCTACAGTAGCCAAGTTAAGTGAGATGTTTCTAAAATAAATTCTGTTATTTTACATCTTGGTTCACATTTTAAAGTTATATTTGCAGCCCGACTGAGGAAAAAGATAAAACGAATGTTTTGACACCCTGAAAGTTACAATGTTTTATCTCATAATCTATTTTCCATTTTCACCATGTAAAATTATTATGTTTGCAAAACTTTGACAGAAATCAATTTTAGAAAAACTCCAAAATATTTTGCCAATATATTTTGGAGTTTTTCACAGCAACATATATTTTTAAAACTGAGTAAACAATTCTCTAATGAATGGTTGTCCAGATCACATTCTTACAACACAGCTGATTCAAATAGTCTAACTTCCTCAGCATATCAGAAAGTTCTGCAGAGGTTCTGATAATGAACAATCACTTAATCCTTCCCCCATTCTTCTCCCACTCAGCTCCTCCAGACTAGTGGCAGCAGCAATTAGCAAACACCTGGTGGAACTGAAAATCTGCAGAGCTCATCATAGGAGCTGCTTCTTATCCAACGCTGCTCAGAAAGGCTGTTAAAGGCTTAATGGAGGAGTACTGCTGTGATGACATGCTGAAGGCAGAGTGTCGGGATTAGCTTCTTAAAGAGACAGAGGTCCAATTTTAACCTCCAATAAACTTGCATTGAATTGGTGCAATACATGCGTCATGGACAAACATTAGTGATTAAGATTTAAAACTTCATCACAGCCCACAGTCCAGGAAGCAATCATTTCTCACAGCTCAGACCCCAGACCCTCTGGACAAAGATTACCATTTCATTGACTACTTATATCTCCATGCAAAGTGATTAAGATATATGACTAATCTTTTTGTCTGTTTTTAAAGGATATTTCCAATGACCAACAAACAAACTTGGATTGAAGCTTTACAATTCTGCAGATTACGTTCCACTTTGGTTGAAATTACCGACCAAACAGTTTGTGAAGCAGTGACTACGATCCTGAAAAATAATGCAGAACTGCAGAACGGTGCCTGGGTCGGCCTGGAGAGATCCATCTTTGGGACCAATCCAGAGTGGATTTGGACGTCTCAGAAGAAAACTGAGATTATCAACCATCCTGTTGACCCTCTGAACAACCACTGTGGAAAGGTTGCCTTGGTCAGGGGTGAATTGAAGCTGGTGGATGAAAACTGCCATAAGCGTTTGCCTTTCATCTGCCAAGATTACCTGGGTGTGTAATCTGATAATATGATCTTTGTCATTTTTATTTAGAATTCTGGTTTAATGTAATTTGACAAGTTCTTCTGATTACTTTGGAGGATTTTTATTCACTGCTGATGCTTCAGATTACACCTTTAATTATTACTTGTGAGACATGAAGTTCTGTTTCTGACTGTCTTTCTACAGGTTGATAAACTGTCATTATTCATTAACACATTTTAAGGTGGCTTAGTTTGACTATTTCACTTCTAATTTTGACTTGTATGAATCATTTATTTATTTATAATTTTGTTGCTGAACCTTAGAGGAATAAGATTAAAACCCATTTTCTGTCATTGGTAAAGTCCTTTAATAGTGGTAGGGATTACAAAGTCTTGGATTAGGATAATCTGAGAGAATGTTATCTCATGCTAATGACCATACCACATGTAAATAACTGATTATCATTGAGTTGTGACAAACAACACCTGAATTAATGTACAGTTCTCACTGCAGCAGCCAAGAATAGCTAAAGGTTACAAAAATGTTTAGATTTGTCCTTTCTTAGACAAATTTAAAAGTTTTATCAAATATGTGGCGTATGTTTGTAGTAGAGACACTTAAGAGATGAAATATCGGTGGAAACGATGCAAAAGCAGCTCTGGGTCTCTTATTTATAAACCCACACTTTAAAAAAGCAAACAGGAAAAAGTAATAACTAATCTTTGTTCATGTTTCTTAGGCCTGGTCCACTCAGAACCAGATACATGGGAAAATGATACATTAAGACTAAATGTGGAAATCTGAGAAAACTCCACATTTGTGTTTGTGTGTCAGAAATAAAGATTTAGGGTCTTTATTAGGATGTTATGTTGGTGCCGTCCAATAATCCACCAACATAACTTGTTTTCTTTGATCTGATTCCCAATAGACATTGTTTTAACTTTATATTCTAAAAGTCTATTTTTAAAGTAGTTTTGTCCACACCTGGTGCCATGTTTAATTCCTGACAGGAAGTCATGGTTGTTTTGAAGCAATCTGATTGGCTGACGGGTTTTAGCTCAGCACTGCACTGCCCCCTATTGGTTCATTTGGATACAAACCTTTCTGAAACTGATGTGATGAGATATTTGTTTTCATAAAGACCTGGCTATGAGTGAACAAGGCCTTAGCAAAATGTAAATATATTTATGGTGCTGTCAAGGTGGTGGGATTTAAACTCTTACAAAACTTTATGAAAACACCTGAGTGGCACAAAAAAATACAGCTTGTAACAATATTTATCAACTCTTTTTAAAATTTAATTTTACGTTGTAAACTTGATTTTACTGTCATTAACATTTCCATAAATAAAAAAAGCCTATTGATATTAGCGTTGTCTCACATTTCATAAAGAAAATACCCAAATTATACCTCAGATTATTGAAATGCTTTATGTCAAACTGTTTCAAAGTTTCAGTAGTTTATCTCTTCATTTTAGAAACTACCAATAAGTCATTGTGTGCTCATCAATTAAGTCTCTGGTGTGTTGAAAGAAATGGGAAAAAAATGGGCAAAACCAAAAACCTCAAAACACTGAAAAGCAGTGAAAAGTGAGTATGCAGGAAAATAAAGATACAAGAAGAAATCAAATTCAAAACAGTGAGAAAGGTGTCCCTCTGCCTGAGAAATGCTAAATCTGACCAACAGTTGTTTGTTTTTCACTTTAAAATGATCAAATGTATCAAACTGGCATTTACAATCGGTGCTCACTTCATGATTAGTGACAAAGCGTGATTCCATGTGAAGGTTTTATCACAGATGAAACAACTGAAAGGTCTTACTCCACTGTGCTTCTTCATGTGTTGTGTCAAAGATTGTTTCCACATAAAGCTTTTGTCACAGATGGAGCAACTGTAGGGTTTTTCTCCAGCGTGGATTCTTTTGTGTTCAAACAAATATGGTCTACGACTGAACGTCTTCCCACTCAGAGCAGCAGTGTAACTTTTTACCTTTCTTGACAACTGGATCTATATCATTCTTCCCAGACCTGACTCCACTTCTCCTCCTCTTTGATCCCCATCAGCTGCTGGACGTCTGCAGGAAACACAAAGTCTAGATATAGGAAACAGTTCTCCAATCTAGGATCATTTATAGATATGTTGATCATCTATAGAGTTTATTGTAATAACTAGAGATGCCCAAATCTAATTTTATATTCATCGGTCGCAATATAGAAAAAAAAGTCTAGATCAGGTTCTAGATTGGTGACAATGTGACTGATTTGTGCTGTGAGCGACAGCTTGCTTTATTATTTTCTTTACATTATATTTAGCATTCCGAATTGAACTTTCTGAAGGTTTTTAAAAGGTTTTAAAAGTTTTTTTTGAGTTTACTTTTACGATTTAAGTAAATTTATTGTTTCAGTTTCTATTACTTCTTCTATTTTACATTGGCTGCTTTACTCCTAGTTGCACTGAGTGGGTATATTAAAGTTGTGTTGTTTCTTTAGTAAGCTTGGTCAAACATGCTTGACCAAGCTTGTGATGCTATTAAAATGTGCTGTACTGGTGCAGAGTCCTGAAACAAACTTGTAATATATTCATGTCTGTGATTTTTAAAAAAAGGAAACATTTTAAGCCAACTCAGCACTGTTTTTCTTTTACATTGACCAATGTAAAACCTCAGATCTTGGTATCTGAAGTAAAAAAAGGGGCTCGTTGCATCCCTAGTAATAACTCTCACACCAACAATGCAGATTCCATGAAAGTCAATGATCATAAGTGTATTTTCTTTTACTTTTTAAAAACTGTATAACTATCAGGATGCCTAAATAAAGAATTTTAATTGCCTGGTTTTGGGTACTGAATATTGTAATTTCTTTCATTATGAGATCAGTAACACTGATATATTAAATGTTATATTAGAACAATCTTATCTACATCTGCAAAGGTCTGAAAATCAGCGACTGTCTCTTTACTCTGACAGACCGACACGACCACCAGGCAACGTCTACATGACAGTTATGGATTCTCTCTTTTACTTTATCTCTTTTAGCCTCTTTTATCTCCTTACACCCACACGCTGCAGCTTGCATAACCATGTTTGTGTGTGACTCCCACCAGTCATATATAAACAGACATATAAGCAGCGCCTGACTCTGACTGTAACTCTGTGTCTGATCCATTTGTATGACTTGTAACATTTCATTATTTTTCAGCATTTTAGCCTGTTTTTATATCAAACCAAATCTCATTATTTCTCAAGGTAATTTACACTCAGGGGTTCTGGTCGGGTTCTGGGTGAAACACAGAGACAAAAATGAATCAACTCCAACATGTTGCTAACTTTTACCTCACTATTGCCAACGTGCAACTTTTTCTTCTTCTTGATTTGTATTTGCAGTTTGCATGGACTGCAAAGTTTGCAGGGAAGCAAACATTTTCATAATGGAGACATTCAGAGAACGAGAGGGACATGAACCTCAGATACAAATAAAATGAGATCAAATATAATTTTCAGTTTTAATAACTACTAATAATTTAATAAATACTTTTTACATTTACATAAAAATAAAAAATATCTGTTAATTATTGTCACAAAAGTAACCTTACCAATATTCTATCTTTTTTTATATTTAAAAATGTTGCCTATGGTATTATCTGATGCATGGAGTTATGGCGCCACCAGGAGGCCAAACGACTGAAGAAACGACTTGCCAGGAATGTCTTGCCTGTAAAAAAAATGCTGCCTTGTCACTTCAACGTTTTGGGATTTTTTTTTCCAATATATTTTTATTCTATGCAAAAAGAATTTTTTTTTTTGACATCTTAAAAAACCGATGTTGAGTGCATCAGAATGCTGGGATCATCATCGCAACAAAAATATCTAAAAGTCCCCAAACAATTATGAGGATTCAAGAAAAAACACCACTTTGCACCAATCTTCTGCTGCACAGGGATCAATTTAATTTGGCACCAGTTCACAAATGTAAGGCACTTTACAACACAAAAGGTCCAGTTTAAATCCAGGTACAAAGAGTTCAACCTCATCACAACATGAAAACCATTCCAATATGGTGGAAACCGGTTTTTATTAGGGACCAAAAACGCATGTGAATATTTGAGAGATCCTCTAAAAACATGCTTACTTGTCTATTCTGATAGTTCAAAGGCAAAATATACCATAAAATGCATCACAAATTAAGAAATTAATTAATTGAGGTGTGTTGAACCAAGTTCCTCAAAGCCTGGAACTGAGGACTGGTACACAATCTTATCTCTCAAGTTTTGGCAGCTTAGTCATCAGTATGGATTTTTATATGATGTGTGAATGTATTTTTCCACTTGAATGTCGCCTTACAAACGGAGCAGCTGTAAGGTCTCTCTCCTGTGTGACTTCTCATATGACATGTTAGACTCACACAGTGGGCAAAGTTCTTCCCACAGACCGAGCAGCTGTAAGGCTTTTCTCCAGTGTGAGTTTTCACATGTGCCAATAAGACATTTTTCCTTTTGAAAGCTGCTGTACAGAGAGAACAGCTGTAAGGTTTTTCTTCAGAGTGACACTTCATATGAACAGTTAAATACGACCTGAAACTGAAGCTTCGGCCGCAAACGGAGCAACTGAATGGCTTCTCCCCAGTGTGGATTCTTGTGTGTTCAATTAATGCATTTTTACTTTTAAGAGCTGTACCACATAGAGAACATCTGAATGGTCTTTCCCCTGTGTGGACCTTTGAATGTTTTTGCAAGTTTCCTTTTGAAGAAAAGGTTTTGTTGCAGATGGAGCAGCTGAAAGGATTTTCTCCGGTGTGTATTCTGTGGTGTCCTAACCAACCTTGCCTGCTTCTGAATGTTTTTCCGCAGTCAGGACAGATGTGTAACTTTTTACTTTTGCCACATTTTCTATCACCAATAGGAACGCCGTCATTATCTACAGAGTCTAAACTTGACTGAGCTTCCCTTTCCTCCCAGTTTCCATCACTGACGTCCGTCTCTGAAGAACAATTTGAAATTTTGTCATCATCTGAGTCTCTGTTCCCCTCAGTCTGACTGGGAAGAAGTTCTGATAGCGGAGGCATCTCTTTGTCATCTTCATTCTTCACATGAACAGGATTGAAAGTTAACTCTGTGATCTCATTCTCCTCCTCTTCCTCTTTAATCTGAGGAGGCTTCTGGTCCTCCTGGTCTTCTCTGGGACTGCAGTCGTCCTCCTCAACAACCAGCTCCTCTTTGACCACCAACACTTGCTGGACATCTGCAGGAAACGCAAACAAAATATATTAGTTTTTGTATGAAATGAAAACTGTGTTTATTGTCAAAATGTGACAATAAATGAGACTAAAAACAAAATTAACATTGTGATCTCATTCTCAAATAAAAACTACAGCTGTTAAAATTCCACAGCAAACGACAAACATTTACTGAAGACTTTGTAGCCACATGTTCCACTGCAGAAAAATACAACTGAATTTGGGAAAAAAAATAAAACTGATTTTATAGGAAAAAGGTGTAATGTGGCAGTTTGTTTCTTTATCATCTAGCATTCTGTTACTTTTAAACCATAAAAAATAAACATGGGGTGTGAAAAAAGGCCTTAAACTAAAATGCTGAAGTAAAATATGTTTACTTCTGTTTTAATACTGCCTTTTCTGTTTGTTTACATAAAGAGCGAAATGGGTGCTAGTCAATTTGTTCCTTTGTTGGACATTTTTAAGGCCTAAAATTAAGATCAATTATTTTAAGAGCACTGCTCAGCAATCTTAACAGGGTAATTATGTTTTAAGCGGATACTTGGCCAGCTACAATCATTATGTTTGTTAAATTAACTTCAACAAATCAAGCAGAGAATATTAGCTTGTGGTATTTGTTTTATCTAAAAAGAACCAAACAACAAAAATTACAATATTCTGTAAAATATTGCTAAATCTAGCATGCATTTGTGCTATAGCTTGTTTGTGCTTGTGCATAAAATAAATTAAGAACAAATCATGTAAAAAGTCAAAAGAAAAAAAAATTGCATAATTGTCAGGATTCATTTCATTTTAGAAACGATAGAAACAATTCTTGCTTTTGTTTTAAATAAAAGCAGATTATGCATTATCTCAATTTCTTTAAAATAATAATGCTATAATGCTATCAATGAATAAGAACTTATAATGTGTTGTAATACCATAAGTATAATACTCAAACTGATCACTGTCTAGAAAAATTGTTAAGCATTTTATTTAAATTTGGTATGTAAATAAATCAGTAATTGTTGGACAATGTTCACAAACTTGTTCGCCCTAGGTTTTCCGGTATTGTTTTCACTTGAATTTAACTAACGTTAGTTTGTTTGAATGTGTAAAATTATCATTGGAAAAAAAGGTATAGTTCCAGAAATGTTACAGTTATGGAAAGACGTAAACATAATCACCATAAAGCTGAGAGTCGGTCTGCTCACCATCTGGTGGCTCCTCCATCGTCCTTTCCTTTCTCCAGCACTCTGGACTTCCTATGTTTTCATACAATCACAGAAGAATATTTTATCTCCTTAAAGTCCATCAGAAACAATTTATTCTCTCTCAAAGTGTCTCTGACTCGCTGTGCTGCTGTCCAGCTAACGGGCTAAGCTAACACCGCTACTTCTAGAAGGAAATTTAGCTAAAAATAATTTAAGAAAACACGAAAAACAAGAGATTAATGATGACCTTTAATAGAATCTATTACACTCGTAGGACACTTTCAACGACGTAACGTCATTCACCGAAGGGAAAAAGGAAACTAAACTTGCCCGCGTTGCTTCTGTTGACAGTCGGAGGTCACTTCCGGTCGTTAGTTACCGGGTCGGATTGGCCTTCATAATAAAAGCTCGAAATAAATCTCAACATTACTGAGGAAGTCGTGGCTTATTTGGAAAGATCAGAAGACAAAGTGATGGTAAATGGTGAACAGGTTGAAATCATTGACTGACAAACATATTTGTCACGTTTTACAATATTTGAAATTTTAAAGAAAGTCCAAGAAGGTTTGTGTTCAAACTTTTTCTTTTAAAACAAGCAAAGTTCTTTGGACATTTTCTATTAAGGCCACTTGGCTAATGCTTTAACAAATTATTACTTCTGTAGATGATAAAAACTTATGAAAAAACTTAACCAAGCAAGTTGGATAAGGAATAGACATTGTTTATAATTCAGTGTCATTATAAATAAGTAAATAAAGTCAAATCTGAAAATGGCAGGAAGTAAGAAACTAATTTTAATCATAATAGCTGTCGTTTAGAAAGTGATTAAAATTCTTATGCTAGCTTTCATTTGCATGTACCAACAATCACTGGGAAAACTGCATATTCTATGCTAAACTAAAACACGAAAACATCTCACTCTGTAAGCGACAAAGACCTGGTTCACCATTCACCTTCACATTCATTAAAAATCTGGAAAAAGTTTCAACATTTAGCTTCCCTGTGATAAATCAAACAAAGATTTAGATACATCACAATCAGAATCAACTATATTCAACAACACAAATCAAGAACTGACTTTGGCTTCGCTGTGCTCTCAATAAAGACATTTAAAATATTAATATAAAACACTGATTATGTTTAACATGAAGTTGATCAACTTCTGGAATTTGTAACATTAATCTTGGTGCTCTGGAACAAAGGTGTCTTGATGAAACATCAATTTTAAATCACGTCAAGTTTATTTGTAGATTACATTTCAGCAACAAGGCTGTACAAAGACTTCACATGATAATTTCTGGGGGAAATTCCCCTAAGGTATATGGAAATAACATTTCAAGTATTTTGATGTATTAAACCTGAAAACAACATAACTAGTCCATTCTCACAGACTTCATTATTGAGCTGCATGGATTTTTGAGTGTTTCAAAAATGTTTTCTTCCATTTGAAAGTGGCCTTACAGACAGAACAGCTGTAAGGTTTCTCTCCTGTGTGACTTCTCATGTGAACAGTTAAATATGATTTGGAACTGAGATTCTGGCCACAGACCCGACAACTGCAAGGCTTTTTTCCCGTGTGGATTTTTACGTGTTCTGACAACGTTCTCTTTTTCTTAAAAGCAGCGTCACAGACAGAACATTTGAAAGGTCTGTTCTCTAAGTGGATCTTAGCGTGTTCTTTCAAGGTTCTCTTGGAAGGAAAGTTCCTTTGACAGATGGCACAGCTGAATGGTTTTTCTTTTGTATGAGATCTCATATGTCGGATTTCACTTTCTTTCCACTTGAACATTTTTCCACATACTGTGCAACTGTAAGCCTTCTCCCCAGTATGGGTTTTTACATGTGCCAATAAAGTATTTTTCCTCTTGAAACTAGCAGCACAAAGAGAACAGCTGTAAGGTTTTTCTTCAGAGTGACACTTCATGTGAACTTTTAGATACGAGCTGAAACCAAAGCTTCGGCCACAGACAGAACAATGAAATGGCTTCTCCCCAGTGTGGATTCTTGTGTGTTCAATTAGTGAGTTTTTCCTTTTAAGAGCCACGCCACAGATAGAACATTTGAATGGTCTTTCCCCTGTGTGGACCTTTGAATGTTTTTGCAAGTTTCCTTTTGAAGAAAAGGTTTTGTTGCAGATGGAGCAGCTGAAAGGATTTTCTCCGGTGTGAATTCTGTGGTGTCCTAACCAACCTTGCCTGCTTCTGAATGTTTTTCCGCAGTCGGGACAGATGTGTAACTTTTTACTTTTGCCACATTTTCTATCACCAACAGGAATGGCGTAATTTTTGACAGAGTCTAAACTTGACTGAGCTTCACTTTCCTCCCAGTTTCCATCACTGACGTCCGTCTCTGAAGAACAATTTGAAATTTTGTCATCATCTGATTCCACAGAGTCTCTGTTCCCCTCAGTCTGACTGGGAAGAAGCTCTGACAGCTGAGGTATCTCTTCATCGTCTTCATTCTTCACATGAAGAGGACTGAAAGTTAACTCTGTGATCTCATTCTCTTCTTCTTCCTCTTTAATCTGAGGAGGCTTCTGGTCCTCCTGGTCTGCTCTGGGACTCCAGTCATCCTCCTCAACAACCATCTCCTCTTTGACCACCAACACTTGCTGGATATCTGCTAGAAGCGCAAACAAAAACAAGTTATATTATGTTCATTATCAAACTTTGACAGTAAAAACTACAAATCATTATACTAAACTGTTTGGGAAAAATATGACCACCGCACTGCACCAAGAGAAATACATGCTACAAGCACAATTATCAAAAGTCTTATCAATGTTCACGTAGCTTTTTAAAACACATTTGGCATAACTCATTCATATACAAGGAAAGAACAAATCATGTTAAGAGATATAATTACCATAACTTTTAGGATTCCTATATTCCGCAAGCAGTAGAAAATAAAACCAGTCGTTACATTGTGATCTTAACTTATTCGAGAAACTGTAGTGAGCGTGTTCTGTTAAAAGTTATTATACAACTTGAGTTTCAAAATGATTCCTGACTAGAAAAATTGTGAAACATTTTGCTTGAACTTGGTTAATGTAAATAGTGAGTGAGTGACGATGCTCGGTAACTTCTTTGCTATATTGTTTTTTTCTCGTTCGCTTACATATCTTAGATTTAATAAGTGTTAGTTTGAAGGTGTGAAATAATTATTGTAAACAAAGGTATAGTTCCTAAAATGATATAGTTATGGAAAGATGTGAACATAATCACCATAAAGCTGAGAGTCGGTCTGCACACCATCTGGTGGCTCCTCCATCGTCCTTTCCTTTCTCCAGCACTTTGGACTTCCTATGTTTTCATACAATCGGAGAAAAATATTTTCTCTCCTTAAAGTCCGTCAGAAACGGTTTATTTTCTCTCAAAGTGTCTCTGACTCGCTGTGCTGCTGACGGGCTAAGCTAACACTCGGACCCGGTGCTACTTGCGGGAGAAAATTCAGCTAAAACCATTTAAACCAAACACTAAAAACATAATCGAAGCTATTAATAAAAACTTTAATAGAAAAGCTATCATACTAGATTAACGAAGTGACTTAACATACCGAACGGAAGAGAAAGGAAACTAAACTTGCTCGCGTTAGTTTCCGGGTCGAATGGACTTTCAGAATAAACGGTCGAGTATATACTAATGTTCCTGGACATGTATCATCGTTATACGCTTTGCGTTGTTATATTGACAAAAATACCCGCACCACCATATTTGCTGGCAGAGGCCTGAACAAATGGAAATAAATTTGTATTTTTATTGTTATTTTTATTTGCTATAAAAAAAACAAGAGAGTAGTAGACTTATAGTCGCTATACAGTTGACATTGCACACTATGGGCCCAGGGGATTCTGTTTTTAATTCTGTTCCATCAATAATAATTAACGTTGTAGGGAAATTAGCTATGAAGTCTTTTGGTATGTTGTCTATTATAGTTTGTCTGTGGGGCCAGATAGAAACAGTGCATAGCTTAAGATATATAATGTCAATCCAAGTGTTAAATGCTACACCAGCTAACTGTTATGAAATGCCGAAGTGCGTTGTTGGATCGGATAAACCAAAGTTTTGTCTCAGTCTGCACATATTCTGAAAAAGCCCATTTTCTGCTGACATTTCTCTAATATCATTTCTGTTTCCATCATAACTCAAAGACTCCCTACTTAGCAAGAGAAATGTAAATAGTGACAAGAAACGCACTAATGTAAGTCCTGTATAATATACACACAGATTTTTTCTACCATTCTTCTCAGTTTCAGCAACAGTATCAATACCAAATTGTTTTCGTTTCTGTTCTTGCCGTACGGCCGTCTTCTCTTTCTGTAGGTTTGTTTCTAAATGTTCCACTTTTGCTTGTAAGCGGATGATTTCTGATTTTGCCATTTCCAACTCTGCAGTCAGTGCCAGCATATCCAGCGGCGAAATCCCTGAAAATAAAACAAATATATAAATATATATGATAATGCTCTTGTCTCTTTTGTTTCAGACAAGGAAGGCAGATATGACAGCAGTCATGCAACAGTGTGGCAATACCAGTGTCACAAATAACCCACTAGTGGATCTTCAAGAAAGATATAAAGTGTTGAAAGACATTAATATTTGTAAAGATCCTGTGGAACTTGAAGCTCAAACCAGAGATCAGATTAAATGTTTTGAGTGGTCTGAGGCAAGGAAAAAAAAGGTCATGGTCAGAAAAGCAAAGGTCACAGACAAGTTTTTAGAGATAATTTTTGACGCTAACTCGGTTTTAGCCCCTTCACTGGATTACAGGCGAAGAATTGAGCCCTTAGGGAAATCTAAATATTTACAGATTCATCAGAACCGGCACTAGCACTAGTGTGGCTTCGTGGTCAGTAATCGCTTTCCCTTCTTACTTGCTTCACCCGACAGCAAAGTATGTGATGGTGGCCAGTCAGATATAACAGAAATAAAAATTCCATATGCCGCTCAAAATTCCACCATTGTGGATGCCTGCATGCTACCTAATTTTTGCTTAGAAATGCAACCCAGTGGCTCTGCTCAGCTGAAGAAGACACACATGTACTATGCTCAGGTTCAAGATCAACTTATGATCACAAGATGTGATTTTTGTGATTTTATTGTTTTCATCCACAAGTATCTATATGTAGAAAGAGTGTGGCCAGACACACCGTTTATGTCATCCATGTTAGAAGTTTTCGCTGCTTTCTATTGAGATCATTATGTGCCTTATTTGCAAAACATGTAGGCAATCAAAATTGAAGGAACCGGTTATGCTCACTTACACTGTTCATCTGTTTGCACCTCTATCCCTTTGTCTGCGTCATTGCTCACCGCAGCATCGTAAGTATCCCTGTAAATAATTCAGAACATACACTGTGATCTAGATGGTATCCCTATAAATAATTGAAATAAAAGTGATTCTGTTTCTTTTCGTGCATCATGTGATGTAAGATGAAATTGATACTAGATGTTCATAAGTTTGTGGAAAATGTGAATTGCAACAAATTATAAATAATAAAATAACTTTAAATAAGAACTCTGTTAAAGGTGTGTATGTAATTGTGTACTTACAAGTTCTCTGCTCCAATCCTGTCTTGTCTACTCGCTCTTTCTGATGCTCTTTTTCGGGCAGGCCTTGCTTTGTGCACTCCTTCTGCTTGTGTGGGATAAGGATGGGACGCTGTTGGCCCATCCCCGCCGACAAAATGCTAATAAATAAATTGTAATATATTTTTAATGCAATACATATTTATCCTACATAGTGAAACAGTTGTTGAAAAAATATTCCACTCAATTGAATCTAAATGTTCCATTTATCAGACAACAAAATGCACAACACTACTGAAGCTGGAAAGCAGAGTTTCAAATGGATAAACAATCACTCAAAATATCCCCATTCATTCAACAGGAAGAAAGCAAATCAATAATACTTACACCAGCACACACTCCTTTGTTCTTGTTGATCCTACTCAGGTTGAGCTGCTCATGCGGTCGTGCACAAGCTCTGATCCAAGCAAGACAATCTGCTTCTGATTTTGGAAATCTGTGAATTTTACCACCACAAATACGATCACGATACCTGACGTCACCAGTACAGATACCCCACTGGCAATGAAGAACCATTCCGTTTCGATTGTTGCTGCGAAAACTTTCTGCCGGTCTGCAAGTCCACAATGCAGTCTGGCTACATTAGCTTGTGTTTGTGAGACGGCCACGCACGTGGGAGCCGCGCTACTACGTAGAGCGGGCATCAGCCAATGAAACGCGGCCCCTGTGGTAAGGTTAGCATCTCTGTTAGCATCTACCCCATAACTCCAACAGTTATGGAGTAAATGCTATGCTACAGTTACTCCATAACTACTGCAGCATAGCATCTGCTGTAAACTAGGGGGAAATCTACTTGTGACGTCACCAAAGTGACTTCTATCTGTGTTTTAACAAACACGAACAACTGCATGTGGTCACATTTACATAAAACATGAGCTCAACGAAGAACAAGGAAACTACCTCGTCTCAGGCAGCCTAGCGCTAACCGAGAGCACTGACGTCATAACAATGCGCTCTTTTAAAGTGACAGTACAGGTCTCAGAAAACTCTTTAAACATAACCAAAAATGAGGATGATATAGTCTTAATCAGAATTTGGTGAAATTTTAAACATTCTAATAATAACTAGAAGCATATTTTCTCAAGTTGTTACACAAATCACAGCATACAGAGGAATTCATGTTTTATTTTAGAGTATTAATAGACAAAGTGATAGTAAACAGATTGAAATCATTGATTGATGAACATATTTAGGTGTCACTTTTAACAACTTGGAAAGGAAGCCAAAAAAAATTCTGTATCCAAACGTTTTTCTTTTCTTCTCAAAAAGCAAAGTTCTTTGGAGATATTCTGTCAAGATCACTTTGCTAGCTCTCTGACACATGTTGCCTCTGTACATCATAAAAACTTATTTGAAAAACTTAACCAAGCAAGTTATTGGTCTATTCCTACAATGTTGTTAAAAAACAAGTCAATAAGCTCAAACCTGAAAATGGCAGGAAATAAGAAACTCATAAGATGATCGATTTGAATAAGAAGGTCCAGTGTGCCTGCAGATGAGATACTTGTAAACACATTGTGAAAAGAGATTAAAACTCTCATACTGCTTCTATCCTGATCCCAACATGAACACTAAAATTCTGAAGGATTTTATTGTTGAGTTGAATGGACCACTGAGTGTTTTACAAAGGTTTTTTTTTCCATTTAAAAGTGACAAGGGTATACAGAAAACGAATGGATGCTTTTATTTCCAAGCACTCAAACCACTGGGAAAACGGCCTTTTCTGAACTAAACCAAAACATGAAACATAAAAAACATGAATGGCTCAGTCCACACAGGAAGACATATAAACATCAGTCAATATTTTTCTTCATATTTATTGTCAAATCTGGAAGTTTTACAATATTTAACTTCTCTGTGATAAACCGAGCAAATATTAATTACATTATAATAATAATCAGCTTTATTCAACAATTTTGCAAACACCAATAAAGAACTGACTTTGGCTCCGCTTTGATCTCAAAGACATTAAAAATATTAATATAAAATATTGGTCACTCATTTAAATCTGTATAACATGTTTGGGGTTGTCGTTTTGCTAAAACACCAATTTTAAAACAAGTCAAGTTTTTTTAAATAGGACGTTTCAGCAACAAGTCGGTTCAAAGTGCTTCACATGATCTTTTTTTTGTTTTAGAGAGAAATTTCCTCTAAGGTATATGGAAATAACACTTCTTCAAGTATTTTAATGTATTCAAGCTGCTGCCAATATGAACACTAACGTTCTGAAGAATTTCATTATGAACCTGAATGGACCCTTGAGTGTCTTACAAAGGTTTTTTTCCATTTGAAAGTGGCCTTGCAAACAGAACAGCTGTAAGGTTTCTCTCCTGTGTGACTTCTCATGTGAACAGTTAGGTATGACTTGGAACTGAGGCTTTGGCCGCAGATCCGGCAGCTGCAAGGCTTTTCTCCCGCGTGAATTCTTGTGTGTTCTGACAACGTTCTCTTTTTTTTAAAAGCGGCGTCACAGACAGAACATTTGAAGGGTCTGTTCTCTGAGTGGATTTTAGTGTGTTCTTTCAAGGATCTCCTGGATGTGAAGTTCCTGTGACAGACGGAGCAGCTGAAAGGTTTATCTTTCAAATGACATCTCATATGTCGGGTTTCACTTTCTTTCCTTTTGAACTTTTGTCCGCAGATGGAGCAGCTGAAAGGTTTGTCCTCGCTGTGACACGTCATGTGCCGATTTATACTCTCCTTCCTGCTGAACGCTTGCAGACAAACAGAGCAGCTGAAAGGTTTCTCGTCACTGTGACACCTGATGTGGTAAGTTAAAGTTTCTTTCTTTCTAAATGTCTGACTACAAACAGTGCAACTGAACGGTTTTTCTCCACTGTGTGTCCTCAGGTGTTGCACTAACACATGTTTCCATGTAAAACAGGCGTTGCAGATGGAGCAGCTGAAAGGTTTCTCTCCAGTGTGAACTCTGTTGTGTCTCAACAAATCCGACTTTTGGTTAAATGTTTTCCCACATTCACTGCAACCATGGAGCTGCTTGCCTTTCTCACTTACAGGAAATGTATGGTTCCCAAAAGAGTGTGAATGAGATGGAGTTTCACCGCTCTCCTCCCAGTTTCCATCGCTGACGTCTGTCTCAGAAGAATCTACATGACCTGATTCTGAGCCTCTGTTCTCAGGTTGGCAGTGAAACTCAGGTTTCTCTTCATCATCTTCACTCTTCACAGGATTGAATATAAACTCTGTAATCTCATTCTCCTCCTGTTCCTCTTTGATCTCTGAGTGTTTCTGGTCAAGGTTATGACTCCAGTTCTCCTCCTCAGCAGGAATCTCCTCTTTTAAAACCAACACCTTCTGCACGTCTGCAGGAAACAGAAACACAGGCAAGTTACAGGAATCTCACAAATAAAACAAAAATACAAAGGAAGACAATTGATCAAATCCAGAATATAACAAGCTTTACAGCAATAACAATAAACGCAACAAGGAGATGAATCATCGAAGTTTTGAGGACATAAGAGCTCCAGAGACAAAGGAAACTTAATTAAATAAGTTGGTCGGTTGACGCCAGCATGATATCAAAAGGAGTATTGTAACTAAAAGGTTCAAAAGCTGCCTAGTTTAAAAGCTTCCAGTCATCTCAGGCTCCTGCAAAGGAAACCAAAAATGTATAGAAACTGAATGTTTTTTTTCCATGAAGCTTTACCATCTGATTAAAGACCCAGACTCATCCAGTTTTCTTTAACTACCAGAAATGACCTCAAGCTGCCATTCATGATGAAAAAGACAATACATATTAATAAGAACTAACAGATGTAAACTTTTTATTAGGATCAAGCGAGTAGTTTCTGTTGTTGTTTTTATAGTTAAAAGGGTAAATACTATTCTGAACATTAAATAAAAGGAATTTGTATTATCATTAATAATTTTACCTAAAATTGGTTATACATTTGGTTTAAACTTATGAAAAGCTTAAAGGGTGAGGATGTATTTTGTTTATTTTGTGGTAATTTTGCATTTCTTATTTCATCACTTGCAAAGGAAAATGTTGTTTTGGTTTTGTTGTTGTTTTTTGTGACTTTTATAAATTAAAGTAAGGGTCCTGCAGCCTTTACAATACAAAGAGCCATTTTTACTCTCAGCCCAGCGAAATAAAATACGTTTAGAGCCAAAAATATCACACAGACTTTTAAAAAAAAGACTGACTTTAATTTTTGTTATGAATATATTCTATTGTAAATTTGTTATTTCAAAAATCCACAATTTTATTTATATTTTTAATCTAAAGAAAAACTTTTGCAGTAAGAGGAATGATATATTTTCTGTGATGTTATTTATGGAAAATTATATATTAAAAGGAAGAAAAAAGAAAAAGAAAAATTTTCAGCCTGGGCAGAAAATGGATCTAAAAATATTGTCGCTTAAAGTTGTGTCAACACAGTGACACTATTTTTAAGTGTCATTCTGTAGTGAAAATTAAATTATTACATGAAAAAAGGAAATACTGCAAGAACTTGCATATTTTAGTATATCTATATATATTTTTTAAAAGATACATATATATAAATATATCTTTTCAATCGTAGCCTTGGTTAAAGAGATCCTGCTGTGACTCAGACAGTCACTGTTTATAAAACCACTTTCAGCTTAATTAAAACAAGCATCATTATTTTGTCCACTCCTGTCTTGTGTTTTTGCAGGTTAGTTTCTGAATGCTAAACATCTGCAGAATTTAAGAGCTAAATCACCATCCAACTGAGAGTCCATCCGCTGCCTGTGTGTCGGTTCCTCCATCTGTTAGTTTCTCCAACGCTTTGAACATCTGAGGTTTTCACTCAACTCCATCAGAAACACTCAGTCTGATGCTAGCGAACAAGCTAAGCTAACACTCTGAGCTTCTGCTGCTTTCGGGAGAAAATTTAGCAAAAATTGTCAAAGATAATTAAAGCCATTGTGACTTTAGACGTGTGTGTAAGTGACGGAGTAAAACAACGTTAACCAGGATATTTCCCCTGCACTGTCAGGAGGAAACTAAACGTTGTTCTGTTAGCTTCTGCTGCTAGGAGACAAACACTTCCGGCATCAGTGGGCTTCAAAATAAAAGTTCAAAATTAATAGTACTTCAACGACAGAGTTAAGGTTTTTCTCCAGACAGGCTCTCCAAATGACCAACACCAGTGTGTCCAAGAAACAAAATATATTTTAGTTTTTAGATTTAATAAGTTTTCTTTAATGAAAAAAATATTTTCTTATATAGAAAATCCATTCATAACAAATATTTCTAACACTATTTGTATCATTCTTTTTTAAAATGTTATTCATATGTTGCACCGAGGAAAAACTGTTAAAACTAGCATTTTAAAATTACTTTTACATTTTTAAAATATTGCTAATTTTTTTAGTATTTAGTACTTAAAGCTACCAGCTAATTAATGGACTGGCTCCAAGGTTGGACACAAACCACACAAAACTATAAAATGGAAATGGTTTTGAAATAAGGTATATATCTAAAAAACAAACAAGAGATGTGAGAAAACAATCGCACACAAAAGTATTTTTTTATGAAATTATCAAAACTGTTTAAATCAATTACTGATTTAAAAGAATAAAAATAACAGGCTAATGTAGCACAGATTTAGGATAAATGTAATTAATCTAAATGTAATTCTTTAGAATGAATAAAAATAATCATCTTCCAACAGATCAACTGTTTCTTTCATTTAGAGATGATCCTGGAGTGCAGAGATTCTGTCTTCAAAGGCAGCAGCCATAACTACAAACATCGAAAAATGTTCAAATGTTGTGGATGAATGTGAAGGAAGCCTAATTATACTTAGTATGAACATGTAAAAATCCCATGGAAATCACCCAACATTTCACATCCCAATCAAGAGTAAGGCACAACTACAAACTTATGAAGACGTGATCCATCCGCCTAAACTGTGAGGCCAGGCAGGATGAGCTTTAATCTGAAACACAACCGAGAGCCAACAGAGACTTTCTACAGGAGATGAAGTCGTTTTCACAAACCTGTTAAAGTCATCCTGCTGATAATAATTTGATCAAAGTATATTTTCTTTTCACAACCAATACAATATAACTTCATATTATTATGAGTTTATTCCCATACCAATACAATGTAATTCTGGTGTTGTTCTTTTGTTATTTCAAATTAAAAAAAAAAAATCTTAGCATGGCCTTCCTACTCCTTCATACTGCAGAAACTCTCTGTTAGAGGCCATTATGAGAAATTTTAATTCACATGATTCATCTCTAGCTTGGAAGCCAACATCATCTCAGCTTGCTGCGTAAGCTTAGACATCGTTTCTGGTGCGTTTTGGACCAGGACAGCTGGGTAAACTTCTTGTTGCAGCCCTTGCAGCTGTACGGTTTTTCTCTGGTGTGAACCCTCATGTGCAGCTTCAAGCCGTCCTTCCTTTTGAAGGTGGCCTTGCACACGGAGCAGCTGAACGGTCTCTCCTCTGAGTGGATTCTCATGTGCTGGATTAAGGCATTCTTCCTGATGAAAGCCACCGCGCAAATGGGACAGCTAAAAGCTCTCTCACTGTCATGAAATCTCATGTGCCGAGCCAAGCGAACAGCTTTGTCGAAGCTTTGGCCGCACAACTTGCAGGTAGTCTTGCTGTGAAGTTTTGCGTGGTTCACAAAATCCTGTTTTCTCCTGAAGCTTTCCTGACAGACAGAGCAGCTGAACGGCTTCTCCCCGGTATGAATTCTTATGTGCTCCACTAAAGTTTGCTTTAGCTGAAAGCGGGCCTCACACACAGAACACTTGTAAGGTTTTTCTCCTGTGTGACGCCTCATGTGCCGATTCAGGCTCTCCTTGACGCTGAAGTTTTGTCTGCAGACAGAGCAGCTGAACGGTTTCTCTCCGCTGTGGGTTCTTAAGTGTCGCTTCAAACTGTCTTTTCTTCTGAAAGTTATCAGACAATAAGGGCAGCTGTGTGGTTTCTGTCCACTGTGGATTTTTGAGTGCACCACCAGAGTTCTTTCACTTGAAAAAGGTGCCTTGCAGACAGAGCAGCTGAAAGGTTTCTCTCCACTATGAGTCCTTGTGTGCTCAGCTAATTCACGCTTGCACACAAAAGAACAGTCACAGATAGAGCAGCTGTAAGGTTTTCTTCCAGTGTGTCTCCTCATGTGCTGAGTTAACCACCCCTTCCTCCTGAAGTTCTGGCCACAGATGGAGCAGCTGAAAGGCTTGTCGTCACTGTGAGTTTCCAAATGTTTTATTAAGGCGTGTTTTAATATAAAAGCCTGTCGGCAAGAAGAGCAGCTGAAAGGTTTTTCTCCTGTGTGGATTCTCTGGTGTCTTAATAAATAAATCTGGTGGCTGAACTTTCCGCCACATTCTGCGCAGGTGTGTAATTCACCATTTGCTGATTGACCATCCACTTCATTACTTCTAACAGAGTTTGTATCCAATAAGTTGCTGCTTTCCTCCCAGTTTCCATCACTGACGTCGGTTTCAGAGGAATCTGGAGTGTTGTCTTTATTGTCTGATTCTACGCACTGATCTGGTTCTGGTCCAACAGAAGCTCTGTCCTCTTCGGTCTTGCAGTGAGGAAGCTCTGAGAGCTGGGGTTTCCCTTCATCATCCTCATGCTTCAAGTGAACAGGACTGAACGTTAACGCTGTAATATCATTCTCCTCCTGTTCCTCTTTAATCTGTGGAGGTTTCTGCTTCTCCTGGTCTGGTTTGAGACTCCACTTCTTCTCCTCAGCAACTACTTCCTTTTTGACCTGGTGGATGCCTGCAGGAAATATTAAAAGTGTCATGATTTACCGAATGATTTATTTATGATGACAGTCATAAATATTCATGAGGACTTACTCATGTTAATGACAGGCGTTATTACATGTTTATGACGGTGTCATGACAGTCTTATTCACAACCCGCCAAATAATGTGTTACCCTAACATTTTTGGTTTAGATTGCAAAATCCTAAATGTATTGTGTGAAAGGACTTTATAACTATTTAGGGACGATGAGTGGATACAAATGGGTTCACTTACTGGGAAATATATAAGAAAATGTAAAGGTAAACTTACCCAATACAATGTCATTCATAAACATTACTTTGCACCTGTTTGACTGCATAGAATTGGCCTGGTTTTAAAGATGACCCACTATTTGCTGCCCCTGAAGTCGATATCAGACATTAAAAGAGAAAAAATAAAGAGAAAAAAACAGAGACTTCACCAGAAAGTCGGGGAGATTGACCAGATTTTCTTCCAGTCGGTCCTTCCTCTGCTGTTTCTGGCTGCTCGGTGTCTAAGTTCATCCTCCTCTGGAGCTCAGACATCTTCAAACAATCAGGGGAACTTCTCCATAAACTCCATCATGAACGCAGCCTGATCACTGGTAAAGCGTCGCTGTGACAACGTCCCGTCCTGTCGCTCAGTATGCTAAGCTAACATTAGCTTAGCTGCTGCCAAAAAATAATGAAAATACCTTTAAAATAATGAAGGGCCTACTTTTAGACACATTACCTGGTCAAACCAACTTCCTCTAAATGGGATATACGTGGACAAACTGAGTACAGAAGTAGCTGCTGATAACGACGGAGTCACTTCCGCTATTCTTTGTTTTGGCTAGTGCCCCTTCAAAATAAGAGCTCAGATTTAGATGCAGTACGACTGAAGATATTCTCGTAATTTTGGTTGGTTTTAGTTTGTGCTAAAGAATGATCAGTGGTTATGTAATGTATCTAGTAACAGCTGAAACTACGTATTTTATGCAGACTCTTAAAAATGACATTCTTTTTATCACTTTATTCATTCTTATGACCTGTTTCATTAAAAAAAACATTGACAACTTCTCTGTTGCCACGTAGAAACAGAATTATCGAGGATAAGCTCAACCACCATGATTTGTATTACATATAAATACAGTTTGATGTGTTTTCATTACAAAACCTCATCTAACTAAAAAAAGAATTGCCGGAGTTCGAGCTTTATTTTGAAAATCATTACCCGGAAGTAGTTTTCAAGCGCTTTGTATTTGTTTATGTTGGTGGGCTACAGTCGTTCGGAGTAAAATTTGGCAGCTTTAACCATTTTTAAAGAATGGATTTATATCAACAAAGACCATCTACTGGATCGGGACACACAGGTTCGGTTCTGTGTTTCTCTTTGTTTATTTTTATCAGTTTGATCTGAAGTTTATATCTAAAATCGATGCTAAGATGAAGGTAGCTAAGCTCAGCCTGGCGCCTGATATCGTTTTAATTATACTTATAGATTAACGTTTTAAAAGTTTTATCGGTAATGCGCTGTATTTCATGCTTATTGAGTATTGTAATGATTGTATTATAAAATAACAACGATCTTGTGGGAATCTGCAGATCCCTTACCTTATGTCATTAAGTGATTGAAAATTATGGTAAGATAACCCAGAGTAAAACATTTACCTCATTGTCATTGACAAAAACTCAACTAATACAACCGTTTCTGTAACTGGCGGTGTAATAGTGTTGGTACCTGTTAATAAATCTAGGAATTGTTGTGCAATTACTGCACATAAAGTAACTATGTACACAAATGTTACTTCTGATACATGTGGACTCAGTCTGCTGATTTTTATTGTTGCTATTTTCATTCATTTTTTCTGGCTCACAAGTACTTAAGAACTGACAATTTAGGTTAGTTTGATTTAGAGAGACTAATTAACTGACAGTAAGGTTTGGGCTGTGGGAGGAAGCTGGAGTACCCAGGAGGGAACCCACAGACTCACAAGGAGAACATGCAAACCCCGTGCATAAGGATTGGAACAATCCTTCTTTCTGCAAGGCAACAAGGCTCCTATCAGCACCACCCTGCAGCCAACAACTGTTACTTTTTCACTGATAAATAAATCAGTGAAAAAGCTCACTAACTGGTGTCACAAAAGTATCTGTAGATGTTTTCCTGTAGATGTCTCTGTAGATGTTGTCTGTTTTTTTATTGTCTTATATCCATTTTGTGTTCCACTAATACATTTTTAAACATGGCAAGAATGTTTTGCTGACATAGTGAGTGAACTGTTACAGATTGTAAGTTAAATTCATGCCAAATGTTACTAACTCGTCCCATTAATGCTCAATATTTGTTTATTTTGGCCCTAAATTTGACAAACTATGTCTATTTTTGAAACCTGTCTGAAACGTTATTGTTTCACTCAACAGAGACTTGATTTTACTCAATAATTTGTCTGTTTAACTGCATCATTTTATTGTGTTTCGAATTGAGCTTTTAAGTAATTATTTTGTGTTTAGCTTTGTCACTTTTTATGCTTTCTTTTGTCTTATTTCCTTATGACTGATGTTCAGTACATTGTTTCAGCTGTGGCTATTGTTAAAGCACTTCATAAAAATCAAACTTTGAAAGGTTTAATGTAGCAGATTGCTCATGTATAGACACTAATTCAAACATAAATTTGTTGTTTCTGTTTTGTAGCTACTCTGCAGGTGTTTGAAGTAAAGACTCCACCGAATCAGCTGGTAAATAGCTCCGGAATGGACAAGGAGGACAAGCTTTATAAAGATAAGAAAAACAGTCTGCATCCTCCTCAAAGACTAACTGAAGCTAATGTTTCTGAACATACCAGTGAAGACTATATGGAGAACATTAGAAACTGCCACTCCGCACAGCCGAGTTTAAATAGCCAAATAAAAGAAGAGGCAAGTGAGTCGGAAAGTCATTTTGACCCAAAACGGCTTAGCTGCTTTTTCTGTGCAGCAGAATTCACAACAGGAGGTCTGCTTACGATACACACCTCAGATCATACAGGAGAGAAGCTGTTGACCTGCATTATCTGCAAGAAAACCGTCAGTTCAGAATCGGAGCTTGTTAATCATGAGTGCGATTCTCTTGAGTATCCTAATAAACAAACTGATGACCAGATTCCAGCCAACAAGCGGCTCTGCTGCTCTCAGTGTGGCGACGGATTCTTCACAAGCGAAGAACTCGACCTGCACATCAGGTGTCATTCCAGGGAAAAACTGTTCAGTTGTTCGGTCTGTAACACCAGCTACAGCGACAGAGACTCGCTGGTTCATCACATGAGGCTCCACACCAGACAAACCCAGTTCACCTGCCATGTCTGCGGGAAGGACTTCGCCTGGAGGAGGCACTTCACCAAACACATGGAGGTGCACAGGAAGAGGAAGAAGGTGTTTCGCTGCAGGGTGTGTGACGCTGAGTTTTGTACCTATTATCTGTTGTCTAAACACAAGACTCTTCATCAGACATCAGAGCTTCCTCAGGAACACACCGAGGAGCCGGCTGAGGGTGATGATGCTGACACAAGAGACCTGGTGAACACAGATTCTGATCTGCAAAAAGAGACCAATATGGAGGTTTCAGCTTCTTTTAAAACTGAAAATGACTTGTGGACAGACTCGAGTCATCTTCTGCCAAATTTCAACCTCAATGGACCCAACAACGTCTCTGAGACTGAAAGGATCACAAAGAAGAAGTTGAAGGAGGAGGATTTGCAGCCTCCAAAAATTAAAGAAGAAGAAGAGGAGACGGAGATCGGCAGGTTCACTTTCAGTCCTGTGCCGATGAAGAACGAAGAAGACGAAGAGAAGCCTCAGTTTTTACAGCTTCATCCCACAGAGGAGCATAAAGACTGTGTGGAAGGAGGGGAACCAGGTAAGATTGAAAAAACCTCAGAGTTTTCCGATCCCGACACCGACGACAGCGAATGTTGGAGACCTAAAACAACACTTGGGTCGGGTTCAAATTCAGAAAGCGATTCTGGCAGAAATCCTTCCAGCTGCTCCGATTACAAACCGTCTGAGTCTTTGCAACCCGAGAGCGATGACAGCGTCGACAGCGACTTCTGGAAGGACTACAAAAAGCCGCAGTTGAGCTCAAACCCGCAGAAACAAGAGCCTTTGGAGAAAGGAGTGAAATACGTGACAGATGTAAAACCATACAGCTGCCCTCAGTGTGGCAAAGCCTTCCGCTATAGCTCCTACCTGAAGATCCACATGAAGCAGCACACAGAGAGGTACTTCTGTTCCATCTGTGGACACAAATCCACCTCCAGCTCAAACCTCAAGGTTCATATAAGAACTCACACTGGAGAGAAACCGTTTAGCTGCTCGGTTTGTGGGAAAAAATACACAAACAAGGCAAGCATGCTGTCTCACATGTCCATCCATGATGCCGAAAGGAAGTACAACTGCGACACGTGTAAGAAAAGCTTTGCTTGGTTCACGGAGCTCAAATACCATCAGTGTGTTGGTGAGTCGGCAGGGGAACAAACACACGAGGAGGACACGAGCATCAACCTGAAACTAAACAAGTTATACAGCTGAAGTGACTCATCTGCAGAAGTTGCTTCAATGACTGTTTTTATCGGTTTGAAAAACTGTATGTCAGTTATTTCCTGAAGCTTCTTGAAACAGTGAGGTTTTTCCTAAAAAATATTCTCAGAAATGGTTAATTTCTTAAGGAAGAGCTCAGTAGTGCCACCTTCTGATAAAAAATAAATAACGTTCAAGTTAAAGTGTCTTCTTGCATTCTATGGGGATGGTTTGGTAGCTCCATAGGTACAACTGAACACTATTCTTACTGAAGAACTTACAAATGTATTCATTTAATAATCGTGTTTTTGACGTTTGCAAAAATCTAGAGACGGTCTGGTCTTTTATTTTCAGACCTAAGAATGAGTTTATTCAAAAGAAATCAATGTTTTGTCTCCCTCAACTGTTTTATACAGTTATCTCAAATTCATCATATTAAGATAAATTATGTCATAAAGAGCATCTTAGGATAATGAATATTGTCAAAGTAAAGTTGAACTATTACCAGAGAAGCTGCAGCTCCATTTGTACCAGGAATAAAAATCTAATGAAATAGTATTTTTATTGTTTTTATTTATTTGTGTTTGTTTTATCTGAAATCCTGAAAGTTTGGGATAAAAAACACCAAAGTGAATGTCACAAATTAGTTCAGGACCCCACATGATTGTTTTTACAATCTGATAGTTTTAACATCAGTCATTGTTACTTTTTATCTTTAAGACAATCTGTGACCTCCTGGATGAGCCGTCGATGTGCTTTTGGAGTAATTTTGTTAGGCTGACCACTGCTGGGAAGAATGGAAGTGGGATCCCAGACTAGACATCAACGACTGTTTCTAATCGTTTTTTGAATCTCTTCAGATCAGGACATGATGTGTTGGGTCCACTCCATTCTGCATCAGTACCTAAAAAACATCCACATAACTTAATAATTTAGAAAACCATCACACAATTCTTCCAGTCAGATGTTCTTCAAGTCAGGGGCCTGGACCTTTGATTATGTCTGTATCTGCAAAAGAGAAGCATAAATGCTGCTGCTATTGGATCTGGTGCCTGCCTTGGGTTTGCTTAAGTTCAGTTCAATCCTCTTCTTGCATGAGGTTTAGAAAAAATGAAGTGGATTGCACTGCTTTGTGAAATATATCCATATTTATTTTATTTAAAATACATAAATTATTTTTTATACCAGTCACAGTTCAAGGTTTTTTCTAGACTTATTTGCAGTTAAAGAACTGAAGACAATGAGTCGAGTATTATAGTATAAAAAGGTTATTTGGGTTAAATAGGTTAATATTCTACAGGATTAGGAATTGGAGAAAAATTTCACAAATATTCAATAAAATGAGGTTTTACAGCTGCAGATAAGATGCATCCGATTTCAAGTAAAATTAGTCATCCAGAACTCATTTCTGGTCCTGATGGACTTCCAGATGTTTAGTCAGACCTCCTTTCTGTCTGTATCTTCTCCCACACACCGGACAGCTGAAGGGCTTTTCTCCTGTATGAATCCGCATGTGAACTTTTAGGTTCCCACTTTCAATAAAACCTTTCCCACACACAGTGCATTCATAGGGCTTCTCACCCGTGTGGATCTTCACATGTTTCTGCAAGCAGCCGTTCCACGAGAAACACTTCCAGCAGATGGGGCACTTATAGGGCTTTTCCCCAGTGTGACATCTCATGTGAGCCTTCAGTTGTCCCTTAAAGCCAAATCTTTTCCCACACACAGCGCAATTGAGAGGTTTCTTACAGGTAGAACCTCCTGTACAGTTTACATGGACTTTAGCACTTCCACTGTCATCAACTTTGAGATGAGGTCCTGCTTTTATATCCTCTTGAGATGCCAATTCTTGTCCTTGCACAAAGTTTCTATTCACCCCTGCCTGGCTGGGATGATGAAGCTGCTGTGAATGATGAAGACTGCATTTGATTATGCTGTCACCTTTGTGAACAGCCATGTGCATGTTCAGATTCCCTCGTTGTGCGTAGCTTTTTCCACAAACGGTGCAGCTGAAGGGTTTCTCTCCTGTGTGAATTCTCATGTGGACCTTAAGATTGCCGCTCTCGCTGAACCTTCTTCCGCACACCGAGCACCTGAAAGGTTTCTCCCCTGTGTGGATTCTCATATGCTTCTGGAGACGACCTCTCCACGAGAAGCACTTCCTGCAAACCGGACACCGGAAAGGTCTGTCTCCTGTGTGGCATCTGATGTGCAGCTTCAGGTAGCTCAGGGACTTGAATCTTTTCCCACATTCAGAGCATCGGAACGAGTTCAGAACATTAGACCCGATGTCGTTCAGAGGATTTTCATGATCCTGGATTACATCACACTCCTCATCTCCTGGGTCAGTTTTTGGTGCCATTAAGTCTGGATCAGCGTAACCGATGCAAGTCTCAGTTTCTCCACCGTCGTCTTCCTCCAGAATGATTACAATTTCTTCAGTCTGGCTGTCATGAAGCTCAGCACACTGAGCTTCCACCTCCTGTTCTTCTGTCTTCACTTGGACAGAACCACTAAACATGGTGGTGATCTCAACTTCCTCTTGTTCCATTTTAAACTGGAGGCTCTTTGGTTCCTCCTGGTCGACTGTGGAGCTTTTCTCCAGCTGCTGCTCAGAGTGAAGCTTCATCAACATCTGCTGGACATCTGAACGACCTAAAGCACAGAAACACAAGGAAGGGAGGGATTTTTGCTAATAGTTCCAAACAGCAGCAGTTCCAGCATTGAACATAGTTAAATTTCTGTGTTTCAGAAGTGTTTTCTCCAGTAAGTAATAAAAATACATTTTCTTGCTATTGTGAAGAGTTATCTGACTGTTCTGTACCACAATTTAACAACAGTAATATTTTATGTTGCCGGTTTTAGTGAATTAAAACCATATTTTCTTGCTAGTTGTAATTTAATTGTAAGCATATCTGGTTATAACTGATCTGTTTTAGTATGTATCAAGCATTATTATGTAGAAAAAATAATGTTTGAGGTATTAAAAAATATGGGAAAACACTTTTTAACATCTTATAAAGCCAATTCAGAATAATATGCATTGTTGACAATTCAACAACATTTGTTGAATTGTTGTTCGTTTTTATTCGCACCATAATTAAATTTCTTTGTGGGTTGATATATGTGGTTGAAATAATTAAGAATGATAAAAACAGAAAATGTCGGTTTAAATTGTTATAATGTTAATTTGGAGACATTTAACACTGCTGTCTTTTAAATAATTTCTTAGATGGCTACTTTTTTACTTTTACTTAAGTAAAAAATACGTGAATTGTGTAGTATTTTTTTGGATGCTCCATACAGACCTCTATCTATATCACATTCCTGCTGCAGAAAAAAAAACATAAAATCATGCAGCACTTCTAAATCATAATAAAACGTCAGATTTTTGTTTTCTGACTAAATGTAAAACATTTTATTCCTTCTAGTTGCTGTTTAAAGGAGGATTTATGACCCCAGTTCAGATGCAAACCAGCTTTGCGATGCTTCATTTCAGTCGTTAAAATCACATCCAGAAAGTCTCGATGGCGTCGCTCCGTCTCCTCTTCGTACTCCAGGATCGTCTCCTCCAGGTGTCCCAGGATTTCCTCCACGGCCGCGGACAGCCGCTGGCTGACGAAGACCTTCAGACTCTGGAGCCTGGACATTATTACAGCTCAAGACTTTGGCGTTTTTTGAGCTGTTTTAAACCAGAGAAACGAAGCATACCATCCTTCTGCTTAATTTGAGTAAACAAAGGGTCGGCTTCCGGGTCGGCTTCAAAATAAAAGCTCCAATTCGCGATTTGTTTACAACTGCTTGTCATTTAATTCCATCGTGATTTTTTGTAAATGTTATTTTTCCAGGTGTTGGTCCAGGCGAATTTTGAATTAAAGACGTCTTTGTCTAAATCTACGCAAAAATATTTACTTCTAAATCTGGGCTTTGCATTGACTTGACACTGACTCGAGTTGTAAAAAACGAATTTTGTTTTAGAGTTTTGAACATGCTGAGATTTTAAATGAGTACTCTTGATTGTGATATTTTTGTGACAGTTAATACATCAGAGCAGAAGATTTTTTCTCTGCATTGAAACTCAAACTAACCAAGGTTGTGCTTTTTTAAGATGTAAAATTAGTCCTTTTAAATTGAGGTCATTTTGTATGAGATTGTTATAGTACATTTTGCCGTGTTTTTTGAGTCCTTTCCTGCTACTAAAGAGATTGGAACATTAAACGGTCTATTTCAAATTAGAGATTTAAACGAATAATAATAACTAGACAGAGTTATAATTTGGACCTTTGAAATTATAACTCTAAAATTATAACTTTAAAATCAATCAAAAGCTTAATATCAACTTTTTAAAAATTATAATATTTTAAATTTAATAGGGTAAAACCGGTCTCCATTGTGGTGAATAATAATTGGTGAAATTAACGACATTTTTGATTTTTGAAAACAAGCCGTTAAAAAAAGAAAGAAAGAAGTTGTTGCCATGGCGGCGTTGCTGGGATACGACAAGCCGCTCCGCCGCCATTGCCTTTCTTTTTCTCCTTTCAGTTAGAGCTCGAGTTAGAGCTCGTCTTCGGTTCTTTGGACTAAGTTTTAGCCAGGTTTGCTCTGAGTCCGTCCTACCGCCTCTCGGTTCCTGCCAGCCATGGAGATCACCTACGTTTACACGAAGCTGCGCCGGGAGTTTGGCCGCCAGGGTCTGTTCTCCGACCGGGCCGAGGCGGTGATGGTGGACATCCAGCCGAATCCGAGCCTGATCGCCAACTTTGTCGTGAAAACCCCCAGAGATCAGGCCTCGCAGGCCTGCATGGACATGTGCGAGCACCCGGTTGGTTTGCCCTCTGGATTCATTTTTAAATAACCGTTTCATAGTAAATCACTTATTTGACGTTATTACTTAATTATGTTAATTGATTAATTCATTAAAAATAAATGTCAAATCAGAAAATGAGGTGAAATCTACAAAATAAATGCAAGGATATAAAGTGGAGAATCTGAACCTGTGGTTCAGATCTGGTGGTTCTGCTGTGATAACTTTGGCTCTTTTCATGAGCGGAAAGTTAACATTAATTAGAGGGAAATATTGTTTTAGTCTTTAGCTGCTTTTTCGTTTATGGTGTCTAAATAATTGGAGCTTCTGAATGAACCAAACCAGGTGTGTGAAATCTTAATATACCAACAGAAATATGCAAACAATTGAAAAATTATCAAAGTTTTTCTAAAATCATTTAAGAACAAGTTTTAAAAAATTAAATAATAGTGTATTAACATGCTTTCTATGCCATATTTTCATCTGATTAGTAATTAGAAACTACTTATTTAAGTTACTTGAAAGCCTATTAAAGAAGGGATCATTTTAGACATATATTAATATGAATTCTTAATCCTTAGTTTTAAGCGACTAAGAATTAATGTGTGTTAATTTGGGTAAGATGTTTGTCGTTTTCAGGTAAACACTGAGCGCTTTGAGTCCAGCAACTGTGGCATAAACCACTTGGAGGGTGCGTGGCCAAAAGATATCAACCCAAGGGACCTGGAACAAACCGTCCGCTTCAAGAAGAAGATAGAAAAAGAGGAAAACTACGTTAACAGCCTTGTGCATCTGGGCTATGTAAGATCAATTTCGGTCCAGTCAGCAAGTGAAAGTCACCGCTGCTTCAATTTATTTGACTATAAGTCTTTCCATTCAGATGAAGACCGTGTAAAGTCAGAAAATGTTGCTTTATCCATTTACCTGACTGCTGTCCCTCTGCTGTTACCATGACAACCAGGTGATGGACCACTGCATCAGGCAGAACAACACCATAGACCTCTACCAGGAGCACTTCAAGGAAGACAATATTGAGAAAGTACCAGAGTTACCGACAGCGAAGACCATGAGCGTCTTCAGGTAAATCTGACCAATCATCACGCAGGGCTCCAGCTAACCATTATTTTAGTTATTGATTAATCTATCGATTACTCTGATGATTAATAGGAAACATTTCCACAGATTTTTTACATAACCACTTCAGCCCTTTTAAACTGTATTAAAAATACACTGAATGGTGCAAATAAACAAGATATTCAGTTCAATTTTCAATTAGAAAATATAAATTTTCTTGCATAAAGTGCAATAGCAGAAATCCTTGAGTGAACGCTTGTACCAAAGGGTTCAATTCAAAAACACTTTATTGTTCCTAAAGGGAAATTAAATGTTGGTGTAATTTATTAAAATTTTAATGCAGCTGAAAAATATTTCTAACATATTAAAGCTTAAACCTTTCTGCCTGACTTAACATCAATACAGTGAAGGGATGATCTGGTGATTATTTTTGGATCGACTGATTATTAATTGGTTATCAAAAGGTGTTTAATAAGAGATTTATTTACAGAATTTGAATCTGGTGAAGATAAAATTGCCACTTGAGGAGTTTTTAGAAGGAAGAAAGGAATTTTTTTATTTTGAATGGAAAACTTTTATATTTTTTGTACAGTTTTGGCTTAATATAGGCTCAGTCTGTTGTTCTTTTAGAAAATGATCCTTCTTAGAGTTTCTATACGGCAGTTATCAATCTCTTATTAAATTAGTTGATTATTTCAATAATTGATTCACCGCCATTAATTTGATTAATAGTTTCAGTCCTACGTCAGACCGATTCACCACTGAGACTTTGTTCCATGCTTCACGCCTCCCTCAGAGATCCTAACGAGGTGAAGCGTACCATCACCGGCCTGTCGTGGCATCCCGATGGTGGCAGGAAGTTGGCGGCAGCGTACTGCAGACTGAACTTCCAGGAAAGCCCCGTAAACATGAGCTTCGACTCCTACATCTGGGACCTCGGTGGGTCGAACTTTAGTCACAGAGGCCTGGTGAAGTTTCCTGCAGTTTTTCTTGACACAATATAACCAAAAACCTCCAGTGGTAGTGGCAGCATCATCCTGTGGGGATGCTCTTCTTCAGCTGGGAGAGGGAAAGTGGTTATAGATAATGGAAAGGTGCAATAATTGGTTCGTAAAATAATTATTAGTTGCAGCCCTAAGGAGAAGTTTGGCCTGATTTCACTTCAGACAGTGGAAAAAAAAATAATTTGGTGTATGTAAACTTCTGGTTTCAGCTGTAGATGATTCCAGATGTTTCCATCTAGTCTGACAGAGGGCGGAATATTAAAACAAATGTGCAGAAATTTAGAATTCAGGCGTGTAAATGTGGTGGAGACATGACCGAGAGGAGCTGAACATTCAGATAATCTTTAGAGTCATTGAACACAACATCAGAGATGCAAACTAGGTCACAAACAGAAATCAGCTGGATAAAGTAGAACAAAAGAATATGAAATAAAATACAATAAGAACCAGATCAAAAATGGGAAAGGCTGAATAAATATGAGTGAAAACTTTAGCAAATAAATAATATATATAAAAAATACATACAATTACACCAAATAATTTTATTTAAAAACAACAACAACAACTTTGTGTTATTTTGATTTCACTCCACAGCTCCGAGCTTCTCTTGGTCTGTAAAACAAAAAACAACTTTGATATTTGTAGTTCTAAGGTAGAAACGTATTTCCACCTCAACCAGATTTGTTGGACATTTTGTCTTCCAGAGAACCCAAACTACCCTGAGATGGCTCTGAAACCAGAATCTCCACTGGTTTGTCTGGACTACAACCCGAAGGACCCCCACACTCTGGTGGGGGGCAGCTACAGCGGGCAGATTGGTGCGTTCAGATTCAGGATTCAAATCATTCCCAGGGTGGAGATTTATCTGTGGGTGCGTTTGTTTTAGCCTTCTGGGACACCCGAAGAGGAAGCCAGCCTGTGGAGTGTTCTTCTTTGGAGCACAACCACAGAGACCCGGTTTACAAGATCATCTGGCTGCAGTCCAAGACGGGGACGGACGCCTTCTCTGCCTCCACCGACGGACAGGTGGGACAATCCCACACAGATGAAATCGTGTCGTATAGGTGGATTAATATGAATCGATTCATCAATCATTGAAATTATTGTTAATTAATTTACTAATTGTTAATTGTGGTATGCACTCAAGAAAATGTCATTTGCTGAAAGAACAACCTGGATATTAAGCCAAAACTTCAAAAATTATATATTTTTTGTCTTTTAATACAAAACTCATCAAGTAGCATAGATTTACTGCATCGCTACAGAAATGCTACGTTGTTGCATTTCAAACAAAATAACTATATTTTTTAAGAAAAATAATTGAATTATTTGTTTATTTGCATTTTTTTAAAATGTTTTTGCTTGTATAAAAATAGTTTTTATTTGATTCAGAATAACTGATTGCTAAAATGATCGTTAGTTATTGCTTTAGATCAATGACGGCTGGACTAGACCGAACCGGACCGGTCAGTGAATGACGGAGGGACATTTGATGGATTAATGGAGATGTCCTAGTTAAAGTAACGAGCCTTTGAGAGGACGGTTTATCTTCTCTCTTCAGGTTCTGTGGTGGGACGTTCGTAAGCTGAGCGAGCCGACAGACCGTCTGGTTCTGGACCCGAGCCGGGAGGGAAACCTGGACCGGGCTTTAGGTGCCATATCTCTGGAGTTTGAGCCCACCATGGTGACTGTTTGTTTCTGTCGCTTTGTTTCTTTTTTATTTAAGTCTGCTGGAAGCTAAATGTCTGTTCACAAACTGAAACTGAAGTTTTAACTTTTATTCATTCAGAATATTATTCAATTAGATTTAATAATTTCGGTGTTGATGAATTAAAACATTTTAAATAGTTTAAAATTTAACATCAACAGGAACTATGAGGACTATGTTGCAAATAATAGTCCTCATAGTTTATTTCTTGTTACCATAGCGACAGTCTGATGCAATGAGTACAATCTTTGTGTTTGAGGTCAGTTTAGCCAATAATGTATCTCAGCAAATAATGACCAATTATCACAGATGGTTTTTAAGTTCAGCCAGTTAAACATGGCCGCCTCTCCCAGATTCCTCCAAACCTGAGTAGAAACGCTTTTAGTTCCTGTTTAAAATATGTTCTTAACAGGAAGAAACATCTTCAGCTTGTGGGCGGCCTTGAGTTATTTTCATCAATAATTGTGTCTCTTATAATTTTAGGACATTATTATTTGTCAACAACTTGACTATCTGACCTTTTTTATTATGTTTTTATCAAATAAAGCACTTTAAACTGCCTTGTTTCTGAAATGTGCTTTTCAAATAACCTGGACTTGACTACCTTACTGTAATTTTTTCCCCCTTTTATCTATAATAATAATATAATAATAATAATACATCCACCTCTGCACAAGCAATCAATCGATGTTTAGAGCTTAAGTTACAAAAAAAACAAGACTTACTTGTTTTTAGTGCTTTTTTATGAGTCTGCTGGAAGCTAAATGTCAACATCCTGATCATGTTGATGTTTCCCTCAGCCAACGAAGTTCATGGTGGGCACAGAGCAAGGCATGGTGGTCTCCTGCAACAGGAAGGCGAAGACTCCGGCCGAGAAGATCGTCTGCACCTACGAGGGCCACCACGGACCCATCTACGCCATTCAGAGGAATCCCTTCTTCCCCAAGAACTTCCTAACTGTTGGGGACTGGACGGCCCGCATCTGGTCAGAGGACATCAAGGAGTCCTCCATCATGTGGACCAAGTAGGAATCAAAACAGACACTAATATTGGTGCATCTCTACTAAATATCAGACGTCAGTTTTATTCCTCTGGGTTTGTGCGCTCCAGGTACCAGATGTCCTACCTGATGGACGCCTGCTGGAGTCCAGTGAGACCTTCTGTCTTCTTCACTGTGAAGATGGAGGGCGTGCTGGACATCTGGGACCTCCTGTTCAAACAGAGTGAGCCCACGCTGAGCGTCAAGGTGCCCCCATCCCACCAGAACTCCCAGCAGAGTCTCCTCCACTGAGTCAGAATCACCGTGACGTTGCTCTGTGCCCAGATAAGCGACAAAGCGCTGTACAGCCTCCGTATCCAGGACAACGGCGAGGTGCTGGCGTGCGGCTCCCACAGGGGCGAAGCCACGCTGCTGCATATCTCCTCTGGACTGTCCACCCTGCAGAATAACGAGAAGAGTCTAATGGCTGCTGTAAGAAACACAAAACATTTCCTGATCAGAGATGTCACTTAGAAACAAGATAAACCCGTAAATATAGCACCTTGTAAAAATACTCTAAAACAACTCCTCCTTTTTGAAAGAAAGCATTTAAGATTTTGTTTCACATTGGAATAAACTTTATCCAGCAGCATCCTCTGGAAAAATGTTTCTGCGTTCTTCTATAGATGTTTGAGAGAGAGACGAAGCGAGAGAAAATCCTGGAGGCCCGACAGAGGGAGATCCGTCTGAAGGAGAGAAGTCGCTCCGAACAGAGCAGAGTGGATGTGGCGGGGCAGGACGACGAAGACGACGACACCGATCAGCTCCTCGTCAAGGTTGAGAGCGACTTCTACAGCCTGGTGGAAACAGAGATGAGGAGGAGGGAGAGAGAGAGGAGAGCGGCAGCACCACAGGTGAGGAGAGACGGTTATTTTTCTTATTGGTCACATCTGTTTTATAATCTGTTTCACTCTTTCCTCCAGGAGGAAGAGGCCTGTGATGAAGAGAAGAAAGAAGCAGAAGAAGAAGTGAAGAGTGAAGAAGAAGTGAAGAAAGAGGCAGAAGATGGTAAAACTGAGTAATCCTTATGAATGAAAACATCTGTCCTGCAACAAACTCTTCACCTTCGTTCCAGTTTAAAGTTGTTCCATTTACTTGTTATTTGCATCTGAGTTTTCACATTCTGGTGTCATTAAACTGAGTGCAGTTCATCTGTGGTTGTGTGATCTGTTCAGACACTGTGGAGCCCTTTATGAAAACAGAGCTCCTCAACAGTCTGGAGACGTTTTACATAAACAAGGAACCCAAATCAGGCTGGGTAAAAAAAACAAGCAGTCTCTGGTGTTTGCAGATTTTAGACTTTAAAAATGATCACTGTAGAAATATGAACTTCATTTCTATACTTTAAAGACTGGCAAAAAAACAGGACTCAAACACTGAAACATTTTCTAATATTTTCTATTTTCAAATTGTACAGATTCTTATTTTCTACATCTATTATTTATATTCTATATAAAAAAAACATATTTTTAATGTTTTAAGATTTTATGGGTGGATGGATATTAGTGGTTTAAGTTAAGGAAATAGTTAAGGAAAATGTATTATAATTAGTTTCAGTTTTTTAATCCTGACGGTTTAATTTATTTTGGCACCTGTTAAAATACATTTTAAATCATGAAAATACCAAACGAGGTAAATCAGAGCATAGATTTGATTGAGAAAATAAACCAACTCAGGTTAAATTTAGATTTATTACTTTCAGAATGCTATAAAAATAATGCTTATTATACTGATCTGTAATCAAAAACAGAAATATAGATACTTTATTGAGAAAACATCTGATCACAGCAGCTTTTACAACACGAACAGAAAGTTTATAACGTAAAACACGATTAATCAGAACAAACATTATATCAGTGGCGAACCCTGATATAATATCAGGTTTATTTCAAGTCAAATAATTTTAGTTAACACGTAAAACCAAAAGAGGGCAGAAAAGCGATTACAATAATTCCAAGCAACCGCAGAAGCGAAGAAGAAGAATTCCGGAAGTCCTTCTGTTGTTTACTTCCGTAGCGCCCGTTAGCAGTAGCCTGTCATTCGGAGCGGCTTTTGTCCAGAATAGTCCAGATATTCCAGCCTCTGCCCCGAAAGGCGACATGTCTCGGTCCCAGAAGCTGCGTTTGTTCGTCACTCAGCGCCTGAACGCGGCGGTCGAGGAGATTTTGGCGGCTTTTGAGGAAACCATCATGAAGTACGAAGAGGAAGCCGCTCTCAGCCAGCAGGTGATTTCCCGCCAACACGCGCTGCTCTGCGCCCTGGACAAGTCCGTGATGGAGGCACCGGCCGCAGGTGAGCCTCCACCTGTCCGTCCACAGTGGATGATGGGACATGAAGTCTTTTGCGATGCAGACTTTCACCAGCAGGGGGAGCTCAAGTTATCCAGTTAAACGGCTGTTAGTATTCCTCAGGACCTGAGGCGGGTGTTTGAATTTATACTTCTTAAAAATAAATGAAAGTCTTTTTAGGCACGTCTAATTAAATTCATTTAAATTGTTCTTTATTTATCCCTGAGGGAAATTAGATGTCGAATCTCATGTCATCCTAGAATCTTCACCGAGATGCTGTGGGCAGTATAGCAGTCAGTCTTACAACAAATCTGAGGAAGCCTCTGATTGAAGCTTAATTTCTGGGCAGCTCAGACGATATTCCACACAGTAACGTCCTGGACGACACCATCAGCCTTTGGGAAACACTGCTGATCCATATGCTGCTCCTCTTTAGAAAACCAGGCATAAAGATGTTGGCGACTCTATTCTTCTCAGTGCTACTGCTCTGTATTTTTACTTGAGAACAGTTTTTGTCTTCTATATCCACCTCTGTCTGTAGAGCGTCTGCACCAGGAAAGTTAAAACAGAAATATTGTGAAGTGCATCAGGAATATGAAATTCAAAGTTCTTTTCAACTTCTGTCACGTTAAACCGAGCTGATGCAGCTGAACGCTCACACACAGAGACTAACAAACACACATCCGACACACCATGAAGGACAACTTTTATAAGGTTGAAACGATTAATGGTGATTAATCGGGTATTGAAATAATCCCCAACTAATCTTGTACTCTATTAATTGTTAACTGTCGTATAGACTCTTAAAAAAGGTTATTTGCTAAAAATAAAAACCTAACATACAGTAAAAACACACCTTTTGCAATCCAATTATTGATTTCTTAATCCAAACATTAATCAACAGATCATTCCTACATTGTATCAAGCCAAAACTTTGAGCTTTTCACACGTCGTTAGAATATTTTTATCTGCAGATTCTATAAATGATCAAGATTTCACTAAATAAATAAAATGTTATTGCATTTTAAGCAATAAATTATTTTCCTATTTAAAACAAGGGCTAAAATGTTTCTTTTAAATATTTTTAATAGGCTTACGTGAAATATCTGCAGAATGTGTCAACTTTTTATGGCTCATCACAATAATCGATAATCGATTACCGCAGTAGTTTTTAGTTGCTGTCCTAGTTTGTTTATATGGAAATGCTCTGCCTGAACTCAAAGTGAATCTCATATTTACTTTTATTTTTTCCAGATGTCTTCACACAGCAGCTGCTGGATCCCAGAGACGACCTGCTCCTGACCCGACTGGACCAGAACCCAGACCAGAACCTGCTCACTGAGCCTTCCTGCCATGTTGAGGTTAAACCCGAGGAGACTCTCCCCGCTCTGGACGCGGCGGAGATCATCGAGTTCACCTACAGCTCCCGGCCGTCTGCGCGGCTACGCAATGGCGTCCACCCCGTGGCTGACCTGGACCCGGACGTCCAGGTTGTGTTGTCGTCGGAAACCGAAGACAGCGATGACTACAGCAAAGGCTCGCCTGAACCCGGGTCAGCTCCTCAGGAACGGCCGAGTCAGCATGGCGACGTGTTCAGCTGCCAGGCCTGCAGTCGCACCTTCGGCGCCCGCAGGTTTCTGTTCAGGCACGTCAGAGGCCACCTCCAGGACCCCACGCCGGTCTGCGGTCTGTGTGGGGAGCAGTTTGAGGTCCCTTACGGACTCAAGCTTCACCTCCAAACCCACAGCAAGAAGAAGGTTCTGAAGAACCGAAGCAGAACCCAGAGAAGAGCCAGGCGGCTCCAGCAGGTCTCTGTCGCCAAAGAGCCGGAAGCCCAGAAAGAGGAGAACCCAAACCAGACTGGCCTGAAGAAGAAGCCCCGGGGTCGGGCTCGGAGCAACAACCAAGAGCCAGACAGTCAGAAAGTTCTGAAGAAAATGAAGAGGAAACTCTAAACCTCTAATCCCAGATTTTAATCCAGTTTATTCCACACTTATCGACTGGAGCTTGGTTTATCTTTAACTTCTGGATTTTCAACTCCTATCTTTGGTTTATTTGGCTTTTCTACTTTTAAAAGTACTTTTTTTTTCTGGCAAAAAATTCCAGAGAAATTCTGACTTTTTCCAAAAATCTGACTTTAATCTTGTGAGAAAGTCATATTTTTACCATTAGTTCATTTCTGGTTCATTTCAGAACCAGAAATCACGTTAGTGACTGAAACACTGAGTTACTTTTTTTTTTTTTATCAGTTATGTCTCAGATAAAATAAAGTTTAATTAATTGTTCAATGCAGAAATTTGGTTTCACATTAAAAACTTTTGTACCAGTTGAAGTGGCTCAGAGATTATTGAATTTCAACTTTCCTCAATCTGAGAAATCCAGTTAAAACTTTTATTAAAAATAGAGAAAACGTGTTTATATATCAAGCTTTATTCAGAATTCAATCCACAAAAGTAAAAATTTTAAATAAAGTTATTTTTTTCTTTTAAAACAGATTTTTTGTATAACAACGAGTTAGAATTAGTGATGGGTAAATGAAGCATTTTGACCCAAAGCAAAACTATTGATACTGTATTGATGCTGTGTCACAGAATACTGACACCTGCTGGACATTAAAATCCCTACAGGAAACATGGTTGACAAAGTAATCTGATGATCTAGTGAGTCTATACAATAACATTTAAGTTATTGTATTTCATTGTATATTGTATTAAAATACGTTTTTCAAATTTAGTCTGTTACGCTTTTTTGACATAACCTCCTGCTGGAGAAAAAGTGAAGTAAACAATACATTTATATAAAATAATTTATAAAAAGCAACTGAGTAATTTGTAGAATGGCTGCACACCTGAGTTTATCCTCGGTGTATCTGGGACTTTGTTCTGATGCTCTATGATGGCTCAGCACTGAGGAGGTGGATTTATTTAAATAAGACAGTTTTGTCAAAGATATGCAAATCTTAACATGCAGAACATAATGTGAAAGTAAACTAAGCGTGAATTTCAACTGAATTTGGATTCATTAAAACTGAAAAGAACTTGATGAAACAACAACCAATGATAACCAACACCTTATTTTCTGATGTGAGATCAAAATGGTCCAAACTACGAAACCTTTCGTTTGCCTTGAGGCTCCATAGTTGACGCTGTACCATAAAAGATCCCGAATTGTTTTGGGTCCCGTTGACATATTCGCTTTCTTATAAACACAGTTTGGTGTTTGGTGCGCCAGTATCGTTTCTGAACAGTTCCTGTATCGACTGACTTGCTGAAAGCAATACGCGCACCGACACGGGGTTTCGTCTAAAGGCTTGACGCATGCGCCGACGCACCGGTGTTGCTGGACCCAACACTAGTTAGAATCATTAATATTGACGATCAGATCAGTCGAGATGCTGCAGGAAATAATTGTAGCTCTCAGTAATGGGAATAAATAACTAATCATCCGATCTAAACGCTCCAGAATCAGAGTTCTGTTCGGTTTTATCTGCAGGAAATGTTTAAAAGCTTTTGAATCAATTTTTGTGTTTCTGGTGCAGGAAACAAATAATTGATGAGAAACTGTAAAAGAAGCTGAAGTTTGTTTCAGTCTAAGCTGATTAGCGTGACCTCGGCTGTAGCTCATAGGTCAGACCCTGCACTGACCTGTGACCAGGTTTCTTGTCCCTGTTCTTGGAGTGAATTTGGGCTCTGCATTTGGTTTGCTTCTGGCTCGGCTGTTTCTCATTGGGTCACTGATTTTCTGCTAACTCTTCACCACAAGCTCTGTCTGACATGCTATGCCACGCTGTTGTTCTCACCTTCTCCTCATGCTTTATGACCATCGCTGGTTATTTCCCCACGGCGAGCCCCATGATCGGGTTTCTCTCCGGCTCATCGATGCCGTTGTTGCTCCTCTTGGCGGCGTGCTGAAGGTCTCGGATGTAATTCTTCCTCTCGATGCGGTGACCTCTGCTGGAGTTGAAGAGCTCCAGAGCTGCCGTGGCGTCCAACCCGTCCACATCGATCAGGTACCTGCAGATCAAGTAGCCGGTGCGGTTCAGCCCGTGGGTGCAGTGGACTCCGATTAGCCTGTTGTCGTCTGGGTTCTCCCTCAGGAAGTGCCTCACCGCACGCTTGAAGCTCAGGATGACTCCGTTGTTTGGAACGCGGTGACCCTCGGTGGGGATCTTGATGTAGGCGCAGTGCTGCGGGATGTCTGACACTGAGTAGTACCTGCTCGTAAAGGTGAGGTCGATGATCAGACCGAGCTCCTGGTTCTGCCGTCGCACCGAGTCCAGCAGGTCCCACAGATCAAAGGACTGGGAGGCAGGAAGTTGGCGGTTCAGGGCGGCTTTTAAAGGAACCTTGAAGGGAATGAACCTGGTTCCTGGGATCCTCGATCCAACGGGACAGTAGTCCAGCCACCGATCAGGAACGCCCGTGTTCTTCTTCTTCTTCTTCTGCTGTTGCTGAGACATCGCTGCGCCTCGGATGGTTCTGTTCCCAGCTGACGCTTTAAGACCTAAAACACAGAAAGATCCACAAAGCCACAATATCAAACTTAATGTCAGTATTTTAAACATATTATTTTAGATATTTGTTGAAACTGTTGCAATGTTGTGACAGTGTGAAACATAATCTACTTTAGTTAAAAAACTACAAAACCTTGACACTTCAAACCAGATTATTCTCAATGAATAGCGGAGAATTTAAAGCCATGTTTGCGATTTGTGAAACGCCAGTAAAGGTAGATTTCAGACTCTTCTTGCATCTGGATCACACCAAAACTGCTCTAATTCCAAAACTACAACAACTACTGGATTATTCTGATCTAATATCAAAATATATAAAACAATGTATGGGATTTATGAAACCTTTATTTAATTTGTGAAGCTTCACGAAACTTCAGATTGCTATTCACACTCGTTCCATGCCGATTTCTTCAAATTCAATTTTAATTCACTTTATTAATCTCAGAGGAAATTAAATATCAGTGTAACTCATTGATTGTTCACAGAGTAATTGTAGATGGTGATGGCTGTTAGAAGGAAAGGTCTTCTGCAGCGGTCTGTGTTGCACTAAATCTGAAGAAGCCTCTGACTGAAGATACTCTGCTTTCCCAAGACAGTCTCACGACAGGGGGTTTGTATAATGGCCTCATCAACTCCAACTCCACTGCAATTAGCAAACTGCAGGGGGTCTTATTATTTCCTTGTCTACTTATTCAGGTGGGCTGACAGGAGTCTCTCTAGGACCTTCCTGCTGTGGAATACTAGGGCTACTGGTCTGTAATCGTTGATGACTGATGGGTAATATTCTTAGAGCAGAATAAACCAGTCCAGGTTTGAAGTGTCAAGGTTTTGTAGTTTTTCAACTAGAGCAGATTAAATAACTTGAAGGTGGTGAAAAATTAGGTAGAATCGCCCTTTAACCATTTTCCAAATCGGAAACCAACTTCAGCTTTGTGGTTCAAAACCTGAACCAAACTTTCTTGGAAAAATGTTTTGTTTTTATGTAATCATGTGAAGAGCGACATAATTTAAAAACATCACCTTACTTTTCTTCACACGTAAGAACATCCTCTGGTAATATTATTTCAAAAGGTTGTTTCTCGAAAGAACTGGCAGAAGGCAGATGAACTCAATCACCAATTAGAGATGATGAAGGCAGTAAAAAATTAGGTTCGATCGCCCTTTAGGCATTTCCCGAATCTCAAACCAACCTCAGCTTCGTGTTTGAACTCAAATAACAACCAAAAAATAAAAACCGTATTTCGACAAAAGATAAAAATGTTAACATAAATCGTTAAACTTACCTAACAACGCACTATTTCGGCAGATAAACCAACTCATCAGAACTGTTTCCTTGTTGCCCTAGAGATGACGTCACGCCCGCGCCGGAAGTTCTTCGTTCTGTTTACATGTCACCTTTTTGTTGTGTTTAAAAAGCTCTTAAAAATGTCCAGAAAGCGGGCAGAGAGCGGCAGTCTGAGGGCCTGTGTGGAGCAGCAGCTGGCGGCCGCAGCCTCGGGGGTCCTGGGGCTGCTGGAGGAGCGCGGCCAGGCGGAGCTGGAGGAGCTGCGGGCGCTGCTGATGAAGCGGATCGCGGCGGCCGTGGACTCCATCCTCACCACGTTCGAAGCGAGCAGAGCGGCCGGAAGAGGGACTCTGGAGCCGGGAGAGAGGCGGAGAGGAGGCCGCGGAGAGCAGCCAACAAGTCCGTGAGCTCACAGGGATTACATTACACCCAGAAAAATCATATTAAACTCATAAAAACATCATCCAGAGACTACAAGTGGAGCTTTCAGCCATATATTAACACCATATATTAACAGATCGATTTAAGAGTTTATCCCTGAATGGGGGTAATATAGGAGTAATAAGCAACCAGATAATAATAATAACATTCATTGTCATTATAAAAATATGTAAGATAGTAGGATTCATAAAAATACCGAAAATTGTTTAATTATATTGTTTAATATTAGATATCTAACCATACCAGTTTCTCTAATATTGTTTTTAGCCCTTTTATTTTTGTATTTAGCCAAAGTTCATTCGTTTCTGTTTGTTTAGTCATGTTTTTTATTGCTTATTACATGATCATAACATTCATTTTTTTGTGCAATAAGTGGAAATAAAGCACAAGTATTAATAAACTTTAATGTTGTCACATTTTTATGAAAACATTAAAGTTTTCACATTTTTGTGAAAACATTAAAGTGCGTTTCATTTGTGTGTAACATGATGATTTCATTTTTCCCAAGTTATAAGTGAAACAATCTGCCATTAAAATTTGAATTAAAATTTTAATCAATTATTTTTAAAACAAGCTCTTACGTCTTTCTGAAAAATGACCTGTGAGTTTCTTTTGACATATTTCAAGGTTACTAAGATATTTAGAATAGAAACTGAACCGACATGCTAGGTGAGGTTTGTATTTTTTATTATTATCAAATGCAGATAGTATTATCAGCAATTTGTTGTTTATTTTCTTTGCAGAACTGTGTCTGTCTGTTGGTGTTAGGAGTCAGCCTTTCCAGAGACCATCTGGTTCCATTTCCAGACTCGAGCAGCAGGCGGCTTTTCCAGACGAAGACACGGCAGCTGAGGAGGAAGAGGATGATTTTGTTGCAGCAGACGAAACATCTCCCAGCTGCAAAGTCTGTGGAAAATCCTTCGACACGAAAGGCTTTTTGATCAAACATGTGGAGAAACATGCCAAGGAAGAGGCGAGTGGGTGCGGTGTGTGTGGGGAACTTTTGGAGTCCAGCGCTGAGCTGAAACGGCATCTTCAGACGCATCGCGACAGCTGCAGGACCTGCGACTTCTGTGGCAAAAAGTTCCCCTCGATCCGAGCTAAGGAGACGCACACGCGGCTGCACACCGGTGAGAAACCGTTCAGCTGCCGCCACTGTGGCAAAGGCTTCAGCCAGAAGGGCAACATGATGACTCACCTGCAAACCCATGTAGAAGAAAAACTCTCTGAAGACTTTGTCCACAGTGTTTCACCAGAGCAAGACATGAAGACCGACAGTGAACAGACGGCGTTCACCTGCAAAGTCTGTGGAGCAGACTTCCTAACGACCTCTGACCTCAGGAGACACGCCCGAACCCACAATCAGCCGACCAACAGGACCAAACGCAGAAAGCCGAGTCTGACTCCTTCTCACTCTTGCAAGGTCTGCGGGAACGCTTTCCACAATAAAGGGAACTTACTGCGACACACAGAGACACATTTAAATCACCCCGATCTCCTGTGTGGCGTCTGTGGAGAGCGGGCCGAGTCGTCCGAGAGCTTGCAGCTCCACATCCAGAGTCACAGAGAAATGAGCAAGGCCTGCGACATCTGTGGTGACAACTTCAGGGACATGGAGATCCACATGAGAACGCACTCCGGGCAAAAGCCTTTCAGGTGTAAAGACTGCTGCAAGGATTTCCCCAGGAAGAGCTCCCTGGAGAGACACCTGAAGCTACACGCCGGCGAGAGGCCGTACATCTGCGAGTTCTGCGGAAAGACTTTCATCGAAAGCACCGTCCTCAAGCGCCACATCAACAGCCACACCGGCGGGAAGCCCCGTATTTACACTTGCGAAACCTGTGACAAGAAGTTCACCATGAGCCAACATCTGGACGTGCACAAGAGGATCCACACAGGGGAGAAGCCGTTCCCCTGCAAGGTCTGCAGCAAAACCTTCAGGCAGATCGGCAACCTGGACTCCCACATGAGGATCCACACGGGCGAGAAGCCGTTTATCTGCAGCCTCTGCGGGAAAACCTTCCGCCAGAAAATCTCGCTGGAGACGCACGAGCGTTTCCACAAGAAGGACAAGGCGTTCGTCTGCCAGGTGTGCAGGAAGGGCTTCGTGCAGAAGATCGACCTGAAGAGGCACATGCTGACGCACACCGGCGAGAAACCCTTCAGCTGCCACGCTTGCGGAAAGAGCTATCAGGAGAAGCGCTCGCTGGAGTCGCACATGAAGGTCCATGCGGGGGAGCAGGCCGCCAAGGACCCGGCTGTGATGTCACACATGAAGCAGCTGGAGGCGGAGGTCCAACCTCAGTTCACTCAGCTGTGATCTGTTGCTGTTTGTACGTAACAACTCAGCTCTTTCCCGTCTGATATAGGAAAAATGGCACAAAACAGGAAGTCTGCTCTCACATAAAGAGACAAAGCTTCCTGTTTCTGATGCTTTCTGACATCACCTTACATTCTGATTTAAAAGCTTAATGATTAGTCACAACAGAAATATTTTTATTGCTTCTGTTAGTGAATAATTGAACATTTCTAACAGCAAATTGGAGCCATTTTTACTCTTGTCACTACTATTATTCATTTTGAATGAATTTTGCTCAAAAATCCCTTGAAGTTCAGTTCTGTGCTTTAATGTGTGCAAAAAACAAAAGTGAGCTACAAATAGCTACTTTGAGGTGATCTGCTGTAAATATTTCACATTTTGGTTTAATTTGTACATTTAACTTTGCTCCTGAACTTGGAGGATTTTAAGAGTTTCTGTTAAGCAAAGAGTCGACTTGTGTCATCTTTACTTTCATAATAAACATTTTTATTGTAATTTATCCAGAAATAGGGAAGAAAAGATCAGAACATTTTGGATAGAAAACCAGTAAAATAACAACACTATTCCTATGTTAAGTAACTCTTAGTTGTTTACTGGAGTTATTTATAAATTAATTGAAAGCGTTATTGAAGCTGACAGAATAATTATTTCTACTAATTTTATTGACATCAAAGCACTAAAAATTAAATTCTGTAAACAGTTTTCAAAATACAGAGAAATCTTTAGTTCTTAACTTAATTCACAGTTATTATTTGTGTCAATTCCTAAAAATACCCAAAAAGAACTGTTTCTCTCACAAAATATGATACAAACTATTTTTAAGATTTTATTTTTTTTCCATTTTAATCTTATTTAATCCTCGTTGTGCTTTAAGGAGCATATTTTCTACAACTTTTATGTTTCAAAATTAATCATTTCCTAGACACAATTTTTAATTTTTATTTTTTTATCAGTTTCTTTAAACAGTTTGGGCCTCAAACTAAAACAATCAGCGATGAAAAGGTCATGAAAAAATATTTTCTACAGCCCATAAAAATCTCCTGAGTTGTTTATTGTTGTACAAGAACTTTGTAAAATAATTTAAACTTGATTCTTTTTTCCCCAGTACTTTTACTCATTCCTTTTTGAAAAGGAATGAGGATCAAAAATTTGACTTTTGCTCACTTATTAACATCTCTTTGCTGTAATCACAATTTAAACTTTTAAAATTGTTTAGTGCACTAAAATTGTGTTTTTGCTTTTCCCTCATTGTTTTGACTGAGTAGTAGCTCTTAGTGTTTTTATTTTTCTGCAACTTTAATGTTTGTTTGACTTTAACAGAAAACTTTTATTTTGCAGCACTTTTATTTGTAGTTGTATAATGATGTGGTAATGCTGGATTGTCTTTTATCCTGAGTTAATTCTGCTAAAACTGTGTGAAATAAAAAAAAAATAAAAACGGTTTGGTAAAATTTTGATGGCGATTGTAATTATTGGCTTTATGTGATATTTTCTTGCAAACAATGGTTAGTAGAAATGGAGAGTCAAATCACGATGAAGAAAAACGTAAATACCTGGGGAATCAGATCGATGACTGAACAGAAAGCAGACACTGCCCATCCAGCAGGGGTTGCTGTTACGATAACAGTAAATGTAAGCTTTGTGTTTTCATGTTTATTTACATTATAGACAAACGCAAACACTGTGCTCCCACCTCTTATTTTTAATGGACAGTGTTGTTACATATTACATTGTATTTTTAAATATATATAAAACTGTTAATACATTCGTACTTTTGGAAATAGTGGATTGTTTGATTACCTTAACCAAAAATGTCAAAAAGCGTGGAAATTATGAACATTTACATTGGTGACTATGAAACTTACCTAATATAATACGACTAATTGCCAATACTTTGCCTGATGTGCAATATTTTCATGAAAAGCAAAAATTTATTATCAAACACTACATTCTTTCCAACATGTTTTGTGATACATTTCCAGACTAAATCACTGACAGTTGGGGGTTGTTGTTTGTGTTAGTTATATTTTACTGTGTATTAATTATTTAGAGAAAGCTTTTAAAGGAGACGCCTCTCATTTTGTTGCTTATAAAACGTTTTTTCCCATATAATAACTGGTGGATTTCTAAGTTAGTTAATAAAGGTATTTACAGATTCCTCCTGACCAGCAGAGGTCGCTGTTTCCTCTTCAGGCCTCGCGTTCACTAAACGGAAGCGTTTTCCACAGATTTCCTATAAAAACTGTGTTTAAATGCTCCCATCCTCGCTCGTGTTTCAGTGGCTTTGGGAGCCTAAATCTGCGGCAGAATGAGCGCCATTCAGCTGCTGCGGATGTCGGTCAACCAGCGGATCAGCGCCGCCGCTGAGGACGTCCTACAGCAACTGGAAAACGGGGAGAAAGCGGTGAAACTCCGGACGCAGAGAGCAGTGATAACCGCGCGGCTAACAGCTACCGCGGAGGAAATCTTCGGACTGTTTAAGGAAACTTTAGCGGAGTACGAGGAGAGACTGCGGCAGTCCGAGCAGGAGATCTGCCTCCAGAGAAAGCAGCTGGATGCTCTGCTTAAACCTGAAGTCAGACTGCAAAGATCGGAGCAAACGGAGGCTTTTAAAGCCGCAGGATCCACTGCGGCCAGCGCTTTCTCATCCAGTTCCGGTCAACTTCACAATAAAAGCCCGGCAGATCAGAGCGAAGAGGAAGTTGAAGACACAGGTGCGATGAAGAAACCTGAAATACAAATTAGTGCCAAAAGAGTGTTTTCAACTAACATCGGCACTTATTCAACATATTTTTACTCAAGTGAAAGTACAAAATCGCTGTCTCAAAAGTTTCTCCAGAATTTAAAAAACTTAACTTGAAAAGGCCACTTGATTACTGAATAATCATAACATTTAATACTTTAAAAATATTATCAAACAGCCAAAAATATAAAGTTGTGTGCAAATTCTGGTATTTCACATATTGAAATGAAGAACACATATACAAATACATATATTTTAAGAAGACATATTTTTCTAAATATAATTTTTTATATAAAACTACTGAAACTAATGCATTTCCCTGAAAGTCAAAAATTCATACTTTTTTTTCTCCTAGAAAAGTTCTGAGATTAAGCTCAATATTTCAAATTTTTTCTAACTCATTTTTGACTTTTGGAGCTTAGAAATCTACGTATTTTTCTATTGAGAGAATTTCTGAAATTAATCTCAGAATTTCTGAGTTTCCCTTTTTTGGCAGAAATGTATTCCTCCTTTTCTTCTGCCTATGATGGCATTAATACGCCACTCTGCTTCCGAAAAAGTGATTTTCTACTAACTGGCTAAGTTCTTGTTGACATGGTAACCGGAAAAAATACGTCATCGATAGCTTGCTGCTAAGAGCGCTCACTTTGTCATATTTCTACAAATACAATATAACAGAGTACATTTTTAACACAGATGTCCCACTACATTTCAAAACCCCAAATGTTTGCCGATTCCTAGCATGAATTTAGTTGAATAATTTCTCTATTGATGTAATGTTAAGATTGCTGTGACACACAGTTACAGTCATGATTAATTAGAAAATATGTAATAAATAGTTATTTTCACATTTATTGACATCGTAATAACGTCTCAAAATATTGTGGTAAAACTTTAAGTCCATATTTCCCACCACTACTTGAAATAAAGTCATTCTGGGGAGAATTTCTGACACATTTGGATTCTGGAACAGGTCAGAAAAACACTAACAAGTTTTTAGAGTTATGTTTTTTTTTTTAAGTATGTTAATCTCTTTAGTCTAAACATGCAACTTTTTTTCCCAGGCCTCCTGAAGATAGTGACCCTGGAAGATTCTGGCCTGCCAGCCCAGTTCGACTCAGCGGACCTGAATCCGCTCGATTCTGAGAATGTCAGCGATGCTTCCTGCCCGTCGTCGCCACGCTCCTCTTCTCCATCCTACCACCTGGCGGCCTCTACGTGCACCGACGACGACGATGACTGGACGGAGAGTCAGTCTCTCAGGTCAGAGGGCAAAAGGAAAAAGAAGAGAGGTCGGCCTTTTAGATCCGTCGAGAAAATGGAAGGAAGTCCGCCTCTCGAATCTGCTGGGAAGAAGAAACGAGGACGGCCTCTCGGATCTTTGGGCAAAAAGAAGAGAGAACTTCTTGGTCTTGAACCTTTAGTCATTGTGAAAAAGCGAAAGCGCACTCCTCCTACAGAGCGTTTCAGCTGCCATGTCTGCGGACGCCTCTGTCCGGGGAAAGGCTTTCTGCTGCAGCACGCGCTCCGTGTCTGCGGCAGCAATCTGGACCGGCGTTGTGGCTTCTGCGGCGAGCTTTCAGACTCCGCTGATGGCCTGATGGTTCACCTGCAGGCTCACCAGCAGAACACCAAAAAGTGCTCTGTCTGCGAGAAAACGTTCACCTCCATCAGGGCGCAGGAGCTGCACTTCCGCATCCACACCGGGGAGAAGCCGCATGAATGCTCCGAATGCGGCAGAATGTTCCGGCAGAAAAGCAACCTGATGTCTCACATGCTGGTTCACGCGGCAGAGAAACCGTTCAAATGTAAAGAGTGTCCACGCGCCTTCTGCCACATGACGTCGCTGGAGCGCCACATGGAGGAGCACAACAAAGCTCTCATCCTCTCCTGCACCATCTGCAGTCAGGAGTTCAACAAGCGGAAGGACTTGCGGAAACACATGGCGACCAATCACAAGGACAGCGTCCCTAAAGCGAATAAAAGCCGCACATCTGTGTTGACCAACTGCAAGGTGTGTGGGGAAGCTTTCGACAGGAAGATCCTGCTAGTCAGGCATGCTGGGTCTCACGCGCAGGAGCCCAACTGCTGCTGCGGCGTTTGTGGGAATCTGTGCGACTCCATCGACAGCCTCAACGCTCACCTGCGCTTCCACCGGGTCGCTGCCAGGACTTGCGAAACTTGCGGGAAATCCTTCCCCGGCCGTTCGGCGTTGCTGATGCACCTGAGGATTCACACCGGGGAGAAACCCTTCAGTTGCAGCTTCTGCGACAAGGCTTTCAACCAGATCGGCAACCTGAAGATGCACCTGAAGATCCACACGGGCGAGCGTGCTTTCTCCTGTAGCATCTGCGGGAAGGGCTTCACCCAGAAGAACAGCCTGGACACGCACATCCGCTTCCACAACAAGGAGAGGCGCTTCCTGTGCCAGGTGTGCGGGAAGGGCTTCATGCAGGACGTGGACCTGAAGAGGCACATCCTGGTCCACACCGGGGAGAAGCCGTACGAGTGCAGGGTCTGCGGGAAGAGCTTTCAGGCCAGGCGCTCGCTCAACGGTCATCTTAAGATTCATGAAGCCGGAGGGATGGCGGGCGTCACCGAGGACCAGAGGGTGGACAGCTTCTTCTCTGGACCCTTCCAGCTGTAGGTCAGAAACGAAACCCAGGGCTGAGCAAAGAGGCTTCAAAATGAAATTTCTGATATGATCAAACCCAATCTGATTTAAAATTTTACAAAAAAAAAATTATTTTTTTCTCTAAAAACCAAGTTACAAATGTCAGAAAACATTTTCAAAAAGTGGCCTTTTCTTTCATTCTACCTTCTGTGAGTTTTACGAAGGAGAATTAGGGACAGATTGCGAGAATTTTAGCTTAGTTAAGCAAAGGTGCAATTTTACCAGACATAATATCTGAATATTAAGAGAAAAGCATAATTTCAACAAGAACAATGTGGTTCTTTTTCCGAAATGACTTGAGCTATTTGCTCATCATTTCAAATTCCTGCTACTGATAGAAACAAATGTAGTATTACCATTAAAAATAATCTGTGAAACCTATTCTAAAGAATAATTTTAGTAGGTGCTCAAGATTTGTCATCTTGATTTTTTTGTTATTTTTCATGTTGGAACGGACATTTTATGAATTCTCATAAAATTACAACTTTTTTCTTGCGATTCAAAAACGAAACTTAGCCTGATGCTACAACTCTTTTGTAGAGTTGACCTGAATTCACAGTCCAAATAAATAAAACAAGATAGATTGATGGGGGAAAAAAATCAAAATTTTCCCAAACATTTTTTCTTTCGAACCCCAAAAATTCAATCAACATCCAACTTGCTGTCTTTTGTTCTTCTGAAAACAAATTTCTGGATTTCTTTGTGGTCTCATCTCTTTATCTGGACATAAACTTCTCTAACTACAAAATTATAAAAGCAGGAAAAATGATGTAGATTCTTAAAAACAGTTTGCAGGTTTTAGCCCTGCAGGAAATAGAGGAACTGACAGATAATCCCCTCAATGAGACAATAGAAATATAAACAAAAGTTTAAAATTATTTTAATTTTGTTTTTATGGAAAGAAAGGTGAAAAAATATTGAAATTGGAATTAGTATAATTTTTAATAATTATTTTTAAGTCAGTCTTTTTGCCACAGAAATTAAAATCCTACACTAAACATGAAGAAGCAAAAGGAG